AATACACAGGTTTAAAACCCTCATTTAGCTCAGGATCGATCACAATGGCGCAGGTATATTCACTCTCTGTCTTCCCTTAGACTATGAGATTAGAATTACTTTATATCTTTCGTTCTACCAACTAATTCCTTCTTCCTGTACTATATCTTCATACACAATCTTTCTTTTTATATATTACTACCAATGAAGTAACTAATTCTGTGAATTCGGTACTCATTTTATTGTGCTAATGAGGTGTAACAACTTGGACCGATGTATATACGTGCCTGGCCCTACGTTGCAGCTGACTGACTGATCTAATCAGTAAGTGGACATTCTCAACACCACTTTAGCATCACTCAAAGATCGTTCATAAATTATAGTCTCATCAAAATTTTATAGATAAACACTAAGTGAGTTTGTGCAGAATAAAAGAAAATTCAGGTTCACTGTATGTTTTCAACCAATTTTATTCTTGTAAAGTTAACTGTTCAGACAACATTTTTAATCTGAAATGAATATGTAAAATGAAGGAGTCCCATACTAGGACGAATTGGACGTCCAGTGCTTCCAGGTTTTCCATGGTAGTCTAGCTTCAATTGACTCATGATTTCAACCTGTGAAATTTCTAAAAAATCTCCACAAAACCCATTCTGATAATAATATTGTTATATCTATATTGTTATACATGATACCTATAATATAAAACTGTCAGAAATATACATCATAATCTTTAAATATCCTTACCATAGGATATTTTCTTTCATCATCCTGTCAAATATTCATCATTCCATTTGTCATTATATATACTAATGAATATAATATCATTGTATTTCATGTACAATAAGATTAAATATATTCTATAATATCCGACAGATTTCTCACCTCATTCATTTCTAATTTATAAATTATACATTTCATTTTGTCAAACTATGCAAAATCCTACAAATACAATTTACATCATACAATTATTATTAGTATGTATATTGATATACAACATAAAGGATTATAGATAAGAATAATGTATTAATGGTCTTGGTGATGATGATGATGACGATGATGATGATGATGATGATGATGATAATGGGGTTATTTTTTTAAAGAAGGAAAAAAGGACAATGAGAAAAAAAAGGAGGATTAGTTATTCTCATCACAACTGGTTGACATTTATTCTTTCATTGTTGACATAGACATGTGAACTAAATTTAGTTGAAATGTATAAAGAATATTGGTATACTTATAGGACATGGATAATGACGTTTGAATTTAATGAAATCTGTTGATGTAAACAAAAATTATCAATAGTGGCTATTGGTAGAGTCCAGGGTACATTTTTTCATTTGATTTATAACTCGTTACTTAAATGTAACTGTATACAAGTGGATTGACTACAGTCTTTAACACTAACAATGAGAAAATAAAGATCTTTACAAGTAAAATTCATGCTTATTCCAGAAGCTTATGGTTGCAAGGACTAGAGAATAACGCTTTAACATTTTAAAAGAAAGGTACTGTTTTTAAATATTAGTGTAATTATGAACACTAATATGCAAGTAGATCCAACTGACGAGTCATAAAGAGAATGAAACACAAGTCCTAGATTCCACTCCTAAGTGCTATCATATAGTACTCAAACTGTGACCAAATAGCAATATTAAGGCAATCCCCTCAAGATGTGTATATATCAGAACAAACTGACCAATTGTTATCTGTAACACTAAAAACTGGAAAATACAAACCCTCAGAAATAACTGTTACCTATCTGAAATATTGGTAAAGTGAAATTTCTTGAAATAGTTTTGCATTCAGTAAATGATGATTGACTTACTAAAACAAAATGTAACTGTGAAGCTACAAAATATCTGTAGTATACTGTATTTTAAAATGCATAACCAGGATCTTGTTACCAAATGATTAAGAATACCAATAACGTGTGAAAAATATGTTCGGAGGTTCCTAGCAATCGCTAAATATTATTCAAACATTCGATTGCATAGGGTTTTAGTGTAATATTTTTTTCACCTAGTTAAAACAGATTATGTGATGCTTAGATAATAAATATGTTTATACAGCACCAAACTTCTTACCTCATCATATACAAAAATTGTATTTTTCACTTTATATCTTATGACGATAATGATTGCTAGATTTTCAAAGTTATTATTTACCATTCTCAGAATGGGATTTGTGGAGATGGTATTAATTTAATAGTTCAATTCATGAATCAATTAAAGCTAGATCATTATGGAAAACCTGCAAGCACTGGATGACTGTTCCGTCCTAGTATAATACTCATCAGCAGTGCACATTCACGAGTCCGCACGTGGGACTCGAACCCAGAACCTTTGATCTCGTGCGCGAACGCTTAATCTCTAGACCATTGAGTCCGTATCCAACAATGTTAATGTCTAACTTGAACCAATCCACGATAGTGCGCCACCATTCACTTATTAAATGATAGTTTTTGATTAAATGAATCTTTGTAATTAAAAAAAATCATATACGGAACGGTACCGTTGTACATAGATACTTTCACTAACAAGCTCAAACTCATCATTTAGATTAACTTATAACTTCCGTAACGCAGAATTTTAAGAAGTTTCGATTAGCATTTTACATCTCCATAATCCAGAGAGAGTAGTAACCAATGTTAATCTAATGATAAAATAATGATCGTTTACGTCAAAAATCCACATAACGCTGACATAATCACACCTATTCGACTTTTTATTGAAATTAATATTCTGTCTTGGTCTTATAATCTATTTAAACCTGGCTAATATTAAGTTAACAAACGTCAAAAATCCAAGTTCCTACTGGTTGGAATATTACGGAAATACTAATATTTAATCAATAACTTTATTTCTATAGGTGTTCAATTTATTTGAAACTTGCGGTTCGACCCTGGTACTGATACCTACATTGCTAGTTTACTTTTGGTAGATTAAAACTTTTAGATGTCACAATATCAGTGGATCTAAATGCTTTGTACAAATGTTAAGTGAAGAATCATTGTTGTCGCAAGCATTTAAATGACACCAGGAAGCATTGGACATTCATTTCATCTTAGTATGAGACTTTTTCAGCAGTGAATCTCAATATAAACATTCTTGTTATATGAATAGTCAGTTTGTATTTCACTATCTGAGAATGTTATGTTGTCGGCCAATACTATTGACCTTATAAGTAACTTGATGAACAATGATATTTGGTTGAGATACTCCGAGAACAACAGATCAATTAGATTGATTTCTTATAACAAGCTTATTCACTAATCGGTCTTGATTATAATACAATTAGATGTGATCAGTTTTCATTGAGAGAAATAAAAATTAAATTAGACAAATTAGACTATGTGAGGAAAAAATAGAGTAGATCGAAATTGTATTAATCAAGTCATTTGAGATTTTTAAGACTTCAAAAAACCTGAATACTTTCTCTTGATGAATTTCACTCAAAACCAAAAACGGTCGGGTTAAGATGAACGCTTTAATTGAGACACTGAACGGTAAATTTCTCAGCCATTTAGGGAACATGTAAGCCATCTTTACTTACAAATTACAATCACATTCATATACATATAAATTGATAAACACAGTGAAGTCTTACATGATAATTTATATTCTGTTTAGGTTCTTTTGTAAAGCGTAGACACTGTTTTTTTGAACAATACTGACATCGGCTGGACAGTATGTTCTACAGCTGAGCGATTATGTTTTCCTTTCAACGTACAGCTATTTCACTCGTTTTTTGAGTGATATAATGAAATAGACTGGTTTTTAGGTCCCAATAGCCTAGTGAGTCTTGGATATCTATTCTGCATCAGTGATTTATTTAAAAATGACACCATTATTTGTACAAAAACGATCAGTTCTGTTGAAGAAAGCTCATCAATCAAACTTCTGTTTATTGGACTTACTAGTAATAATAGAAACTAATCCAGTGCCCTATTCACTTGGAGCTTGGTTGAGACAAGTATATCTACCTTAAATCTACAGTTGTTGACTCAAACCCCATTTTAACATCTGCTTAGTTCCAGAATATCGAAATAGTGATTAAGAATCATAATGTTAATTAACTTTAGACAGTTGCGTAACGAAGTACAGAACAATATCAATTGAAATCAGATAATCAAAACACGAGAAAGAGTCAAAAATTTTAAAAAAATGCTATAAAATGGATATAATAATACCAGAGTATTGAAAGATTGATTGTTGTTTCTTGTACAACACATAAATTTAAAGTTTGTTAACCCCATGATTCTTAATCATTATTTCGATGATCTGGAACTTCTCCTCTACCAATTCATTAATCTCAATTGATTGATCACTGGGTGGCGATCAATGTCATGCTTGTCTAGTCCTTAGTAGTGCAGATCGAATGCTATCGATCATGTTGCAATGTGGCCACCAGTCTAGGTGAATCTACACTGCGGGCACTATATATTGAGATGATCGCCACCCAGTGATCAATCAATTGTGATTACATCTCAGTCCTACAGGAGGTCGGTCGCGGATGGGATAGCTCAGTGGTAACGTCTCTGACTGTGAAGTTAGGTGACACTAGGTCGAACCCGCCAGGGAGCACCAGTTCCCTCAAGGCTACAGGTACACCTTGCTAACGAGTGCCAAGTAGCACGAAACCTAGGTCGAGGGTTTTTTGTTGACTACCTCCAACCACCATCTAATTCATTAATCTGAAACAAATATTTACTATCTTATTAACTTTATCGGAATCTTTGTTATATCATAATATACATATTCGTTTTTAATCACTTTTGTTTATTTACAAATATGCCAATTTCTATGATAATTTTGATTTTAAGACATTACATATGTCGTAAGTAGCTGATATGAATCTAGCGAAATAAAGTGAATTCATATTATTCTGCATCAATATATATATATATATATATATATATATATATATATATATATATATATATATATATATATATATAGATAGATAGATAGATAGATAGATAGATAGATAGATAGATAGATAGATAGATAATCACTAACCTTACTGCTCGGACGTTTGAGTACATCACCAATTCCGCCACCATTTAGTAGTCCTTCTCGTAAAGTTGTCAATATACACATACGTAGTGAATCACATCGACGTTCTGTACTATCAACAGCTTCTTAGTAAAAAGTCAATCGATATATAAAATGATAAAACAAAGAAAAACTCAAGTAATTAAATTAAAGAGATTTTGACTAAAAATATAATTTATGTAAAATTCTGAAGGGAACAGAAAAATTATGTACAAACACCGAAATTACACTGAAACTACGTATATATACAGACAAATATGGGACATTAGGGCAGAATGTTTTAATAAAAAATGATAAACTTTAAAGACTTAACCAAATTTAATGTATCTTATTAATCTGTTCTCTGATCTTAAAACCTCTGCCGGTAAATGAATATCAACACTACTGGGCGAAAATGGACATTGCCTAGCAGTGGAATCCAGGATGCGAGTTTCCTACTATTTGCGACTCGTCAGATGGATGTACTTGCATCTCAGAGTTGATATTCACTCTGAGACTTGAAACCAGGATAATTCGCTTCAAACGTCATCGCGTTATCCACTTAGTTACTGAGTCCTGATAGCCACTAGCTTGTGCACTGTGATGAAGTTTTAATTTATGTTGTACCACCTCGGAGATGAAAGAACATCAATCTGACGAGTTCAAAATAGGACGAAACACGCCTCTTGGATTTTACTGCTTATAGTGCCTGTGACTTAAAGTAACATCGAGGTAATCCACACATGATGCACATATGCCAATAAGAGACTGATCGATTGCAGTTCTAAACACCAATGGGAAGATTCAAACAAACATTACAAGATGAATTAACGTCAACGCTAGTTTAAATGCTTTCATATTAATTAACATGTGTTCGACCAGAACATAGAAGTGACTTTAAACTCAGTCATTGGTTTTACAAAGAAGTTAACATAATCTTACAAGTTTTCGTTATTTTAACAGAAAATGAATTATGACCTGTAATACACAATTAATAGTGATAGATGTTCAACAACCCAATCACAGGTCGACAAGCACCTCTTTTATTATCACTACTAACTGTGTTTTTAAATTTATGTGTACCTGCTGAAGCATCTACATTGGCCAATTAGAAAGAAAGGCATGTCTTGGATATTTTGAACAAGTTCCAGAATGCATTAGAACAATAGAAAGAACTACTATAAACAGAGTAATTATTTCTTGGACACAGGAAATCAGGTTGACACCTCACAGTCTTTCCATGTTATTAATAAACAGCCAAGTTCCAGTCTTCTGAAGTTTCCTGAAGTCGTTGATATCAGGATGCAGAAACTTGATCTATGTGTTCTAAATGAAGTGGTTATTGATCTTTCCTTGCTTTAGTGTCATAAAATTTTGTTCAACTCTTTATTTCCATTAAATAAATCACTGTCTTTTTATTTAGACTGTTTTCTGGAATAGTAATCTCATTTTGATTAATTCAGCTCTACTCATTTCATTTTACTTATTATAAGCGTTTACTCTTTACGTAATCACTTGTTTTTAGACCTTCGGACTCTTGATACAATCAATGCACCATCTTTGTATCTATACGAATATCAGTTAGTTGTAAAACACTACAGAATATAACCATGTGATTCTTTATTTTTCAGCTGTTTAAACCTCTCATTACATAAGTACTAAAGAAGAGGAAATTACTGAAACAGTTTAAGTAGAATTATTTCTAAACGAAATCCCATTTATTATCCATTAAGTTTGTCTTGAGTTAACCTAGATAGATTCAATTTGAAAACTATTGTTGGCTGCTAGAATTTTGATGCTTTTACTCTCTGAGTTGGATGGTTTGGCTGCGGAGAGAAATGATTTTCAGAAAAATCATGATCCAAGAATCAAATCAAAGGGAGATACAATCAAAATAAAGAGGTAGACAACGACAGGTTAAGGTTAACAATAACCAATCAAGATCACGGTCGACAGGACAAACTGTGAGTTATATGTGAAGAAATTCAAACCCTTCATTTCTACCTGAAGTTTGTACTGATGAAGTTGTTCAAAAGACCAATGCGAGCTCCACGATCAAACCATCCAACTCAGACAACAAAACTCTACTTAAATCACCAACCTGAGCTACAAATGTTCTTCGCCAGTTGCTAGACTTGAACATATACATTATACCCAGCTAGTTTAAATAATAAACAACTGGCAAGATAGTGTATATTAGATGAGTACAAATAAAGTAGAACTATAATATACAATGACTATTAGTTATTTCATCAATAAGCTCTCCTGAAGAATCGAATAAAATAAAGCATTTAACTTGATCAACATCTATATCCGATTTGTCCATCTAATCATACGGTTATAATATTCTTCCAAATTTGTCTATCTTAAAATCATGTTTATGTATAACATTCAAAATAGAGTAAGTCTCTAAAAATGTTGAAGTAGCAATACTTTGATCAGTGAATAAGGCAGAGTGTAAGTGATTTACTTGAAAATTATTATCTATATTATTAATGATGGTTTTATTTAATATTATATTTTGGTGCGATACAGAATTCATTAGTTTAAACTAATTATCTATTAATTCGTTAATCGAAGCTAGAACAGTATGGAAAACCTGGAAGCACTGAACGGCCGTTTCGTCCTACTGTAGGACCCCTCAGCAGTGTGTATCCACGATCCCGCCTCACAAGAGTCAAACTCAGGACCTATTAGTCTCACTCGCGAACGCTTGTATGTCGCTCAATTTCGTGGATTAGTCGAAGTTAGACATTCACACCGTTGGATACCAGCTCAGTGGTCTAATGGTTAAACGTTCGCACGCAAGACCGATAGGTCCTGGGTTCGAATCTCGGAAGTCGAGGTCTTGGATGAGCACTGCTAAGGAGTCCCACACTAAGACAAAACGGCCATCCAGTGCTTCCAGGTTTTCCCATAGTGTTCTAGCTTCAATTGACTCATGATCTTATCTATTAAAATTACTATAATATCCACAAAAACCTCTTCTGTCATTACAATATTAATATCAATAATTTATCAAAATGTTATTATCAATATTATTAAAAGTTATTAATGTAACTAACTTTGCTATTTTCATCAGTTTATTTGCCCTATTAATAGTGAAGCATATGTTTCCTACTGGTGATTACGTAATTCCAAAATGAATTCAATTGATCTCCAATGATAATGTTCAATACTCTTACTTTCCAAGCATCAAATAAACCAACTATATAGAACAATTCTGATTTACAACTTAACTAATTATAAAGTATAAATATGTCAAAATGATTTCTTTTTTTCTTTTTTTTTCTTATTTATAAACATTATCCATTATACATAGAAAAGTCTATTGTAAAATTAGACTAAACTAATGGATGGCATAAAGAAGTTATTTATTACTGTTTTTTACTATTACAATAATGTTTACATAGAAATTACTTTATTGTTGCCAAGTCATTAAATTCAGATGACTAATTCAATATTTAAGTCATTAATCTAAGTAGTTCATTTAACTTATAATAACTATCTGATTTATTGGTGATTTGTTCTTTAAATTATATAAAGTCTACTGGAACTCATCGATTTATGCCTAACAACATATTTTCAATTCAACAACAAAATCTACGAACAAACGAAAGGGACACCAATAGGATCACCAATATCAGGACTGATCGCAGAGGCAGTGATGCAAAGACTAGAAGCCACTATATTACCAGTGATCAAGTCAAAAATTTGGATTCGCTATGTAGACGACACTTTCATCATAGTCAAAAAGAATGTGCTGGGAAACACTTACAAACTGATCAACAACGTTTTCAATGACATCAAGTTTACTATGGAACAGGAGTCAAACAATAAACTGTCATTCTTAGATATATTGATCTCAGGAAAACTGGAACCTCAAATATATAGGAAACCGACCCATACATAGCAAATCCCTAACTACAATAGCAACAACCCAAGAGCTCACAAAATCAACTGCGTATACACTTTGTTCAAGAGGGCGAGGACACACTGCAGCACACTGGCAGCACCAAAAAATGAAGAGAAATACCTGAAGGACGTATTTTAAAAGAACGGCTACCCAATCAACTTCATCAAAATATACCAACCGCACGCAGCATCCAAACCCAATTCAAGCAGAGAAATCAGCAAAAGGATCACCCTACTATACATACAAGGAATATCAGAAACCGCAACGAGACTGCTGAAAACCTTCGGGATAGGTGTGGCACACAAACCGACAAAATCACTACAATCAATCCTATGCAAACCAAAGGATGAAATAACAAAGGAAAACAAATCAAACATCAGCTACAAAATAAGTTGTACCAACTGCGAAAAACACCACGTCGGACAAAGCGGACGCCCCCTTCACCTTCGCCTACATAAACATCAATTAGCAGTCAAACGCCATGATATCTCTTCACTTATATCAATACACGTGGACAACTGCGGACACTCATTCAATTGGAAAAATGTGGAAATCTTAGACAGAGGAAACTCCGAAAACACCAGAGAATTTTTTAGAAGCCTAGCACTCAGGTCAATCAGCAATCAACAAGCATATTGAAATCAATTCAATTTACCAACCAATCAGGAAAATCATGCACAAACATAAGAACAAAAATCAAAACAATGGGAGACACAACCAAAACAAAAAAGTAAATAATGACGAATTTAAGGTCAATAAGAACCAATCAACATCGAGGTGCACAGAACAAGCTGTGAAACACATATGGGGAAATTCGAACACTTCACTTCTATCTGAAGTTTGTGCTGATGATGTCGTTCAGAAGAACGATGAAAGTTCTACGATCAAACTATCCAGCTCAGAGAACAAAACTCCACCAAAATCATCCACCTGAGCTACAAATTTTCTCCATCATAGTTTGGTTGTAAAAATTTTATTATCAATTTGAATACTATGATTAGTACTTTTTTCATAGAAAGTGAAATGCTTGATTTTGCATAGATCAATGAATTGATGTTGATAAGAACCAAATTGATAGCATTCATAATTAAACTGTTTAGTTCAGGCAATACAACATTAAGAAAAATCATCTAACTGAGCAGCTAATTTTTGACAGATCATAATAGCAGTATATTTTGAATGAACTATAAAATAGAACATTCATAAGGAACAAAAAAATTCAAATGTTTACAATTAACTGATCATTTGGTACAGACCAATATCATTCTGCAATGTGGCCACTACTCTAAAAGACTCAATATCGTGTGCACTATCTTCAGACTTAAGTGGTAGTTTATGGAGAACCATTGGTTTCTCATCATAAACATATACCTCTAATTTTGAGGGAACCAATGATCCCAGCTTTATAGACTGAGTTATCTGGATTGAGAACGATCTCCTGTAAGATTGGGATATTTAGAATTGATTAATCACAGAGTAGTGAATAATGTCATGTTCTTCTAGTCGATCAGGGAACATCAGTTGCCCCAAGATTACAGGAATGAATTAATGACGAGTATCGAATGGTTCGTTCGAATCTTAGCTCTAGAGATTTCTGTCAACTACATTAAATCACTTAACATATTCGATCATTACAGTAAACTTTACAAATAAAAATATTAACTGTCATTTACAACGTAATTTTTTAGACATGATATTATTATTACAAATAAACATATAAACAAACCATTGTCATTTGTTACATCGATTTCGATGGTAAAATCATTTTGAAAATAAGCATATCCAATGATGGAATATAAGTAGATAATGATAAGTGCTAATATCCCAGTTAAGAAAATTGATCGACCATTTTTAGTCACTGATCGTACAACATTCAACAACGTCTCTTCACGTGTGATCACATCAAGTAACTAAAATTCAATAACAAAAATATTATTTTATTATATTATTTTGTAATGGGGAAGAAGATTTATAGCTCAGGTGGACGATTTTGATCGAGTTTTGTTTTTTGAGCTGGATGGTTTAACCGCGGTCTCCTACTTGAAGTTCGTGCTGATGATATCGTTCAGAAGAACGACGGAAGCTTCGCGACGAAACCATCCAGCTCAGAGAATAAAACTCCATTAAAATGATCATTTCGTGTCAAATAATAACTAACGTTAGCCTTACATTTCATATAATTAAACTTTACAAAATGCAAGAGCAAACTGAACAGTATATGATTGAGATCATGATCTGATTGATGTTAGACCACCATTGAAAATCTGGAAGTACTGGGCGGCAGTTTCGTCCTATTGTGGAGCTGCTCGGCAGTGTGCATCCACGATCCTGCTCGCGAGAGTCAGGGCTTTCAGCCTTGCGTACAATCACCTAACTCCTAGAACACTGAGCCGGTCGGCATCCAATGGTGTTAATGCCTAACCCCAACGAATCCACGGAGTTGCGCGACTATCTTCCATTGTATTGAGGTAGATACCTGTCTTTACCCGACACGGATTAGCTCCACTGGTCAATGGTGGTCTAATAATAATCGGTTCATGAGCTCAATCAAAAACTTAACAATCTCCACGACCCGCAAAATGAACAGGATATCTTTGATGTTTTTAAATAAGATTCAATTCGACAGAATAGTTATAGCGACTCACGTGCAAATGAGTTTAGTCTCATCTAACGCAGTTAAGCCATTTTGCTAACTCATTTAGCGGACAAAGTCATCCGCACTATAACAATTTATTGTACCCTTATTATTTTGTGCTTGTATGAAATACGTATGCTTGAATATTGCTTACGGCCTACGCATTTATTCACTCTGCTAGTCTTACTACTAACTGATTATTTGATTCGATTACTCATTCATTTCACATGCTATATATATGTTCATGTTATTCATACTCACGCACACAAACACTCTCGTCTCGCTCTTGCTCTTGCTCTCGCTCGCTTGCTTGCCTTTCGGTACAACTCTTCTATGCTTGTTTAACGCGTCTGTACATTTGGATATATGTGTGTGGTCTCGCAATAAATGTAATCAACACTTCGTATTTGCCTTCTGATTAATATACCGTTGGAGCGTTATATAAAACGATTATCAGGACGAACTGTATATGAAGTTTAAGGATTATATCGAATACCGACGACCACATAGTCCCTAGTCAATATACTAAAACTGATTATTCATCTTGTCACTTACAAACAACGATTTATTACTTTTTTGATAATCAAATGATGTGAATGAATAATATGAAATGTTTTGTAGACAATAAGAAAGTATAAAATATATCTACTATTTTAAAACGATAAAATATTCACACTGTATTATGCATTCAAGGAGAAATTCTTAGTTTATTAGTAGAATGTCTTTTTGTTTATATTAAAAATGTAAACAAACTACGGTACAGTCTCTAGATTGTTATATTTTAAAATATATACATGCGTATTTCTTCATAGTTTACCAACAACAAAAATATAAATGTTACATAATTATTGTTATTCTTTTCATCAGACCAACTGGTTACTTTATTGGAAAAAATAAAATATTGAAAGGTATGTAACAGATCTCTGTCTAATGTAAACCATAAAATACGATTCAATGAACTTTCAAACTAGATGTAATTGTCATCAAAACTATGATGATATGTTCATAAGAATTTCACTAGTAATAAAATACAAATAAATGTCAATCTATGTTTATCAGACTAGAGTTGTATAGAGAATTTTTCTTATTAATTGAGTTCATGAATCGATCAATATTAAGACAGACCTCTAAGTCTCAACATCTAATAGGTTACATAACTCGAAACCTTTACAACAATGAGTCACGTATCTTAATGTACAAAGTTTGTGCTTGACCTCTTCTAGAATATTTCACGTTTATTCTTAGCACTGGGCGCATAAAGGATAAATTAAGGCTGGAATCAGTACAGAGACGATTTACACTTCGTATTCTTCGAGCCGATTGTACCTTAACTTATAATTCTAGATTTAATAAACTTGGGCTAGACCCTTTATGGAAGAGGAAACTCAAATTAAATCTTATTTTTTTCTTCAAACTACTTCATAAACTATCGTTTACATCCAATCACGTGATTCAATATGCAGGAACGTCTCATTATGACATCCGTAATTCCTTGGCACTAGTGAAACAAACTTATTCTAAATCATCTCTTTATACGAATCACTTTACCTGTAAATTTTTTAGACTTTGGAATAACCTAATACAATCTATTCGTACGATAAAATCACTCCCATTATTTGTTCGCTGCATCGATGCATACTGTTCTTCTGAAAATGTATTGAATGGTCTAGCGCCTTTAAGTGTATCTCATTCCACAAGTGATATTATAGAAACCTTTAATGTTTAGCCATTTCTATTAGTACATTACCTGAGTAAAACCACCTACTTGCTGTCACTTTATGTTAACACCGTCCCCAGCAAGTTTAACTAATTTGAATGACATCAACAGTATATCACTGAATCACATGACACACGCATTTAGGTAGACCTGATTCATATATTTTGGTAATTACTGCTTTGTTTTTCCGTGCTCTCTGTTTTTGTTTTACTTTCTCTAGTTGTAGATAATTATCATTAACTCGATCTGACACACGAAATGACTTTAATTACTTCGTTCATAAATCAACGGGCTGTCCATTTAAGAAATATTAAAAATTCCCGCCTTACCGGAAAAGCCCATTTCGCTTCCCCATACGGCTCTCAAGGATCTACTGCTAGACTATGTTCAGTATACAAATTTCGAATGTCGTAGAGGAGGAAGATTTCATAAAATGATTCATGAGGATATAACAAACTCCACTGCATTACGTCATCCTAACCCAGTGCATACTCAAGGTTATGCAGATAATTCATTGAGGAGTTGCGATGCAGTTCACGAAGATGGGCAAAAGTTTGGTCAATGTTTGTCTTGTGGCAGGTTCCACTTTTTTAATTCGTGTAAATTTCGTAATTCTAAGTGCTTTAAATGTGGTGATATTTGACATATTCAGTCAGTTTGTAATACTACTGTTCATCTTGCTGCAACTAATATTAAGTCTTGTAATTCTGATTCTATTAAGTTGACTATTTATAATCATCATTTATCTTTATCAACGATTTCAGAAGATAGTGTACAGTCATATAGCAGTGCAGAGTTAAGTGAAACTCAGAATTCTTGTGAGACAACGGTTTCTAATCAATCAATTCGTCAGAATTCTCATGTTATTGTACTAAATATGGCTTTTCCTAATAATTCACATATTTCTGATGAAATTCCTTGCAAGTCTGAGGAAAATATGTTGAATGAACCTGTTCATGATCGAAAACCTGATGTAGTTTTGATGGATGCTGATTTTTCTAATGATCCTTTACTCTGCAATGACATTCTTAATAAATTTGAGGAAACTATTTCAGAAGGATCAAATCGTGATGTCATACCAAATATTATTTGTCCTCATAATGCATTTGTTGCTTATGGGAAATTTGTTCAATGCAAAGCACAAGTACTAAATGAGCTCGAGTTTGATTACAATTCGGATGATTTCATATTAACTGCTGTTTATACTTATCATGAAGTCACTTCTCATGTATACTCTAATCAATTTGAGAAATATGTTTTAAATGAAGCCACATCATTCATAAATTGGGGATATAAAGATCCAACATTATTTCGTGGGGGGGGGATAGTTTTGGGAAATCTGTGCTTTAAATCCTAGATAGTGGTTTCGGTACACAACCGACACGGCGATTGTATACAATCCCAGGAACCAAGTGAGTCAGTTCCGATTTCGGTTGTTAATTCCAATACTAATGAGCACATTCTACATAATACATAATCCTCATCCAATACACTGTCCGACAGACACAGGATGAACTTGAGGAGAATACATACAATTGATTACAGACAGTTGGACCCCAATTTAAGCTGTGGCGGATGTGATGTATGAATAAACTAATGATTCATTTGTACTAGTTGAATGCTTGATTTCGAATTCTAAATACAGAACATTCATTCGTGTTCGTCTAGTACTTCTTGATTAAATTGCATTATTTCTGAGATTCTTAGTTCATACTATCATTCAAATACTTCTAATTATCATAATTATCTATAAAAATCTAATACACAAAATAAATTAAAACATCTATGCATAGATGATCACTTACTACAAGACTATAAAAGAATGGATGTATCACAATTCCAAAACCAGTAAATATAATCAATATCAATTGATGTATTAATTGATAATGTAATTGATTTCTATTTGGAATATGGACATGAAATAAAGACAATTGATGATGAATAGATTTCAATAATTCATAACCAATTAAGAATAGATTATTATGATTATTATTATTACTGTTCCACCATAATGATAATAATGAGAATGTTTTTTTCGGATGAAACAATATTGTTTTCTCTTTATTATTTATATAGTTTAAATATGTTTGCCAATTTATTTCATTTGTATTCATTTGATTAGAAAATAAACAAGTTTTATAATTTTTTATCAGAGAATATTGTTTATATATAATGAATAGATTGGCAAATCTGAAAATGAACTAAAATTGTTAAAAATAGAAATCAAAGGTAATGTGTTATCAAAAGGGGTTTTGTGAAGATTAAAGGAAGTTCAATAATTGAAATCATGAGTCAATTGAAACTAGATCATTATGGTGTACGGTGGCGGAATTTCGTGGATTGGTTGAAGATAGACATTAACACTGTTGGATGCCGGCTAGCTCAGTGATCTAATGGTTAATCGCTCACGCACGAGACTGACAGGTTCTGGGTTCGAATCTCGTGAGAGGCGGGATCATGGATGCGTACTGCTGAGGAGTTCCATACTAGGACGAAACGGTCGTCCAGTGCTTCCAGGTTTTCCATGGTGGTCTAGCTTTAATTGAATCATGATTTCAACTGTTGAAATGTAGAGTAGTTAATTAAAATGGAAATAATAATATCCGATTGTAATTAAATTTAAAACAATTAGTCCTTTTGTTAATGCAATGAGATGAATTTTATCAGAATGATGTAATGATATATTTGTGCAATACACTTCGAAAAATCTAATCACACATAATGTACTTGTTGAGACATTTTTATATTAGTCATTGAGATCTTGAACCGACTAATGTTAGACAACCATTCAAAACCTGGAAGCACTGGAAGCCCGTTTCGTCCAATTGTGAGACTCCCTAGCAGTGCGCATCCACGATCCTGTTCGCGGGATTCAAACTCAGGGCTTTCAGCCTTGCGTACAAACACCTAACTTCTAGACAACTGAGCCGGTCGGCATCCAATGGTGTTAATGTCTAACGTCAACCAATCCACGTAGTTGCGCAACCATCTTCAATTGTACAGAGGTAGATACTTTTCTCTACGCAACACGGAATAACTCCGCTGATCACGGCTTCTCACTAGAACTCCAAGAATTTCCTCACGGAGTTAGTCACTAATGAACACATGGTAATCATCAGTAGAGGGTTGTAGAGATTATTACACAAAAACAATGTGATTACCACACTGAATAATAAAAAGGCCAAAGGACATACTACGTCGAGAAATAGAAGCAGATATGAAAAGGATGAATAACAACTGGAAATGATTGCTTGGGACAGGTTTGGATGGAGAGTGCTGGTGGTTGGCTTATGCTCCTCCACAAGGAGTAACAGTCATAAGTAAGTAAGTAAGTAAGTAAGTAATAAAATAACTACTTTTGCATAAATATGATTGATATTTAACCCTGATATTCTAAAAATTACCATGTTAGTGCAATATTCCTCATATATAAACACGGAGTAGTTGGTACATAATTGCTAACCATAATTTAAAAATATACTGAAAGCTTATATTAATAAATTATATGAAATTATATACTCATTACACTGATCAAATAGTCTTGAATATCAGTAACTGAGACACTGAAACTCTTAACTAACTATACTAAACGTGGTGGACAAGTGAGTGAGTGTGTGACACTAACAGCGAAAGGACAAAAAGTTAACATTTAAACCAAAAGATACTTGATTGAAGTCAAAATATGAACTTCAACGTCTTTATTCGGGCACATCCAGCTGAATAGTATCTAATCGAGCTAAGTCTTCAAACCGCTAACCGAAAAGAAGTAATTTAAAACAATCTATTTATATCATGTGTGAATAACACTAGATTATAAATACACCATGATATATTCAACTTTTATCTCATTTTAACCTTGAATCTGTTATGTCAATAACGTAACCTGGGAACAATAAATTTACCACAAAAACAAAATGGAAAATTTCAATGGTTTTATTTGTTAAAGAAGCAAAACTTACATTAGTTAGTCCTAATACAAGAATTACATTTTCAGTAGCACAAGCAAATAACAAATATAAAGTTTCTAGTCCAATGTATATTTGAACTAATAATTGATTTGAAGACAAAAGGCATAATACAACAGCGAGTACAGCAATTGGTATTACAGTAATCTGAGTTTCGAAATTATAGAAATCATAAGCTAAAAAAAGAGAAAATGCAAAATAATGAACAAGTGTAGTTTGGAGAAAACATTGCCTTCATATCAATGAATCATTATGTATTTTATGTGGAAAAGAAAACGTGAATAAGAATGTCATATAAAATTTTTGATAAACTGTTATTCACAAATATGACAGAACTCCTTCTAGAGATGTAGTGATAACTTACCCTTACGTTAAGACAAAATATTTACGAAGTACATGCTTATGTATTTAGCTATGAGACGAAACTTCAGTGTAATGGCTGATGATAAAGAAACGCCTTTCCAAAAACCGAAAACATGGAGCGAATCTGAACGTGTTTGAATGATTAACCATTAAGTCACTATGCTCTGACTAGTGAAATTGTTTTTTCAAATATGAAATGATCATTTGTTCACTACCAACAATGAATGACATTGAATTTTCGGTAAATTTATAGAATGTGGAATTTAGCCCACTTATACATCGAGTCACTACGTTTAAAAACTATGTCCATCAACGACACTACTGTAAGAAATAATTCAACATTGAAACCCAACTCTTTTGTAAGTATCAACAATCATTTCATGCATCGTTATGAATTGTGAACAAAAGTATTCATTTTTAGATATAAGAATGATCAACAATCAGTGACTTCATGGATTGCATTAGTCTTGCTCTGAACGTCCAAAAAATAATCAATGATGGATAGTAAGAAACTGATCAATTGCAGTCCTAAACATCGATGTGAAGATTCAAAAACAAAATAATATAAAATAAGTTTAAACTTCATCCCAATATACAAGCTAGTGGCTATCTGGACTGAGTAGCTAAGTGGATGGTACTGGATTCGAGTGTCTGAGTGAATATCAACTCTGAGATGCAAGTACATCCATCTGATAATTCCCAAATAGGACAAAACGCACGTCATAGATTCTACTGCTAGCCACTATCCATCTTTGTTTATAAAGCTTATGACTTAAGCTAATATCGAAGCCATCCATACAGGATGCACATATGCCAACAAAAAAATGATCAATTGCAGTTATAAACAACAATGAGAAGATACAAGCAAATAACACCAAGTGAATTTTTACACTTAGCAGTTTAAAAAAAGCTTTGATAAAACTAGTTTATTTGATATACAATCACACACACATATATATATATACCCATCAATTCCAACTTGTATATTACTTCCGGTTTTGACAATATTGTTTTTCTAAAATTATTTATTTCCCTCTTAGTTCACTGATCTACATTTCAACACACATTTCCAAGAACTATTATATATCTCCTGATCATTTGAAACAAATGTGTTATTAGAAAGCTTTGTTCTTTCACACACACACACATACACATACACACACAAAGGAAAGAAAACAGAATTAAAGCCATTAACTTCACTAAAATGATGAGATCATGTGTTTAACACAAATTTTATGTATTTATGCAGATTAAGTAGTATAACGTGATAATTTTTCTTTTCATGAAGTCAATGCAAATAAATTATCACCGATAACAAGATAGTAATCAAAATAACTAAGCATAAATTCAAGATCATAAATGAAAGGAAACTAATAATAAATAAAAATAAATTATGAACGAAAATTTATTGGGGATTATATGGTTTTTATGAACGGTGTTTTCTATATAATGATCTATTTATTGGTACAAGGAGGCACCAAACAGATATGTGTCATATAAATCATTTGATTTATGTGAAGGCTGGGATACTACCTGGGTGCCCAAACTGAAGTAGGTGGTTTTCTTAAGGGGCTACACCCGGAGCTTTTGACCTATAGGTCTGATCTACAAGGCAGTTGAGCAAAGTCAGGTGATGTTGTCCAAGGGTAGCTGGTGACAAACAATTGGTCCATACGCCATTTTTTCCCTTATGATCCTAGAGCCCATGTATACTATTGGTTTGGGATGAGGGTTTTCCAACTCCCCTAGGAGGACTCTCCGTGTCCATCAACCCGGTTAAAGAGCCGGACATTCGCTTTTCGTCCTCTTAATTTCGTAAACAACGCCCACGTCACGAGTAGGCAGTGAGTAGGACTTCCCTGACAGTGGTTATTTGTACGTAGCCACTTGAGAGCGTTTGGAGAGGGAGAGTTAACTCTCTCCACCAGGGCATTTGGAGGGTTATATTATGATGGTATATTATGTCATCTGAAAATCTACAAAAACCAATAAAGCACAAAACAGATATGTTGTCCGAATTTTAAGTTCCGTAACAATTGAACAATTAATAATGTTTTATTGGATCCATATCAGAAACATGTCATGGTTACGAATCCAATCGGTTAGTTAGTCAAAGTGAAACCTAACAAATATGTAAATCAGTTCATATTGCTGAAGGGTAAGATAATTTTAAATCTCAAAATCTAGTGTGAAACAAATTTTGAATCCATCTACCGTATTTTGATCGATTCTTTGTTAAGTCATTCAAAGTTCTGGACTAATAGTTACGATGATCTGGAAGATCTAAATCACATACATTACATCTGCCAAGACAGATCAGCCGAACAACCAATCACTTCGTGGACTGACGATACATTTTAGCCAGTTGCCTCGAGCTCTCATTCAACTTATTCCTACATCGACTAACATCGGTTATCCACCTCACAGAGAACAGAATCTCCGTAGATCCTTCTTTCGTGAAATGAATATCCGTTCACGCAAACTTAGAAACCCCATTATGTACTGTGTAAAAAAATAATCAGACTAGTTATTATACAGTAATGAGTCATTGTTATCACCTAACGTAAAAACAAGCGGTGTAATTGGTACACATTGCTGATGAGTCCCAAATTAGGACGAAATAAGTGTCTTGTGCTCAGTGGTATCTCAAAGAGTTTCTACTAGCGACAAAAACCGCGTACGAACTAATCTATTTAAACAAAAGTGATCAATCTGCAGTGTAAAACGAGACTAATCACGTGACGGACGAGTAATTCGTTTAACCCCACTGTACTCATTCTCGTATAGTTAATTATTAGCATTTATCTAGATAAATTGTTGAACATATTTTTCGTTTTTCAATGTTTTTCTGATCGTGTCTGTAAATTTTGTCTACTGTCTGTTCTTTATATATGTATTAAGTCACTCGTAAAATAAACGGTCTGGCTCCAACCATTACCATGGCCATTTGTTCAAATTTGAATGACTAAAATATTATCTTGTAATCAGATTTCGTAGTTAGCTCTTAAAAATTACTGTTGTTCAAATGGAGATAGCGGTAGCATCAGATACGAAATTAAGTTTGGGGTCTATATTTCAATAGAGTCAACCAGATGTTACAAATTAAAAGTGAAAGGATTATTATTATTATAACTTACATAAGCATTCTCCTCGAAATGGATAGAAACTAATTAATAAACAGTTCAAACATAACGTTCGATAAAAACTTGCATCCGATATCCATTGGGATCGCAGTGAAAACCAGTGAATCCATGGATGAACTGTAAGAAGGAAGATTTGTATTCAAGTACACATTTTATAATATGGTAAAACAGAATAAAAGCGTTAATCCTTTAGAGCATTAGTTAAAGTTCCTATTTATTACACTAGTATGATGCAATAGAAAATTAACAAGAATGGTGATATATATGAGTGACTTATGCATCCTGAACTCCCATACTTTGAGAGGATATTCACTTGTTAGTAGCCTGGAAAAGAAACAGTTTCACTGACATGAGAAAAAAAAGAATCACTGATTGACACTGATCACAAACGATGACTTTCTGAGTGGTTATTTTAGCACAGTACGGAAAGATGGAATAATTATATTATGATTTACCACACTTGTCATTAGGATTACCTTTTAACTTTTACCAATCAGATGACCATTCTAATAATAATGGTTCACAATGAACACACTAGTACATACATGAAACATGGTCAAAACAAATAATATGTTACTCAACAGATTCGATGAGAAGTTTTCAGGTAACAAATTCAAACATGATAATATACATTAGGCTTTTTCTATCTGACGTCAACTTAGAAAATTAGATTGCATCTTCTTTTCATTGCCAAAGCAATAGTCATACATCTGGAAAAACCAGAATTGTGTATACAAAAGAGATTGGTACAACCTCTTCTTCTACCATGGTCTTAGTGTCTCATAATTTTTTTTTCTCTTTCTTCATACTCTTCTTCCTTTACAGCCATCTGCCTCATCTTTCATCTTCTCCCTAAATCTTCTACCCCCAACTGGTTAATTTCTGTTTCTACGTTTCTCCTGTTTACATTTAATCTCGGTTTCAACATTTTATCTTATCATGCTGAGTCACCCTGTCTCAATGATTATTTTCCTATCTATCTTTTGATGAATACTCAAGGCATTAACAATTAAATGATTATAAAACTTTCGTTGTCTTATTAAAAAAATTTTTAATACCTTTTTTTATTTTACCTCACTATCACCATATCTAACAGAAGTTTATTATCAGTATTGTTTCGATAGAACAATGAGAAGATGGAGTTGGTCTGAAAAGTGTGATGCATTTGCGCTACACATTTCGAACAACCTGGTTACACATATACTTGTCAGGGCGTTTTATAAGAAAATTAATAAAGGTCAAGTATGTGTGACCAGATTGTTCGAAATGTATAGCGCAAATACATCATATTTTTTCAGATCAACTCTGTCTTCTCATTGTTCTATCGAAATTTATTAAAGGAACTAATTGCTTTAAATCAGTATTATTATCATCCTGTAAAATAAGTATATAAACGTTTATGATTGTACGGCTTTGGAAATGAATTCGCCGAAAAGAGAACTCTTTTCGTTGATCAAATCTTTCTTATTTAATATCAGTGGTCTAATGGTTAAGCGCTCGTGCGCAAAATTGATAGCTTCTGGGTTTGAATCTCGCCAGGTAGGATCGTAGATACGCATTGATGAGCAGTTCCACAATAGGACGAGTTGCTTGTCCAGGTTTTCCATGGTGGTAATCTAGCTTCAATTGACTCATGATTTCAACTATTGAAATTTCTCATTTCACTTAGAAAACCACCTAACGGTGTAGTGAACAGAACACGGGTGAGGACAATCGAATGTATTTAGTACGAAATTACAGGACTTGTTAATAAAATCTAACAATCATAAAGTAAATGCTTAATTTGCAAAATATCCACCAATTGTCTCAAAATGACCCAGAATACATTGTTATTGCATGCTCATACCAACTGCATCCTGTTTCCATTCTTTACTATTCGATCCTCTTGTCTCTCTGCTGCCAGACCTTCTGTTCACGACTAACATCATATACTACTTATGTTAATATAAGTAGCACACACCACAACGGAACAAAAAGAATTCCTCTTTTTAACCGAAAACATTGATTTTGTATGATTTCATTTATTTTGTAAATCTTATTCATCTATAATTTATTTCAATGGTTAAAATCATGAGTCGATTGAAACTAGACCACCATTGAAATTACTTATAATATATCCAGAAAACCCTTCTGATATAATTTCTTTATTCAAAATGTTCTTTGAATCGAACGTGAGCTCTCCTTTCTATTCTACCAATGTAACTGCTTTGGCAGATATACGTAACATATTCCGAAGAGCTTAAGATGAAACAGACTAAAAACATTCAGCAGTGCCATCGCAAGATATCTCCTTGACATAGGACACGAAGTTGATATACTGAAGTCTTTCAACGTAATTAAAGAACAATCAAACTCCAACCTTTTAAAATTTGCCGAAACATTAGCAATCAAACGTTTAAAACCAGATCTATGTATACAAAAAGTGATAATAATAAATCTTTCTTTACCCTGGTAACAATAACCCCCGTTTTTTTATTCATTTATTTCTCTATTTATTTATTACGTCATTACTCCAACTCTTTTAAATTACATCATACATAACTGATTGATTTCAATTCATATTTTCTTTATTACCATTAATCTATTTTCATGAGTTCTAATCAATATTTCAATGTTCTGGAACTTTCCCCCTCAAACTTTATTTATTCGAGACAAAATTTTATGACTTCATTAACTCTATCGGAATCTTCGCTACATCATGATACACATGTATTGATCCTTAATCACACTCTTATGTATAAATATGTCAATATCTGTAATAATTGAGATCATGACCCGATTGATGTTAGACCACCACAATTGAAAACCTGGAAGCACTGGACGGCTGTTTCGTCCAGTGCTTCCAGGTTTTCAATTGTGGTGGTCTAACATCAATCGGGTCATGATCTCAATCAAAAAACTTAATAATCTCCACAACCCCTATACTAGTAATCTGTAATAATGTTGAATTTCAAATAATTTAGGTTGTAAGCAGCTGATGAGAACTTGACGAAATAAAATGAATCCATTTATTATTCTGCACCAATCTTTGTTCTTTCTGTCATTAAGATAATAAATGGAACTATGTGTATGAAATATGTATATATAAAAGAAAATGTAAACCTACTAAGCATATGTTCAGCACATAACATTTCAGCATAAATCTCTTCAATTATTTTAAATAATGAAGGAATTTTCGAATAATCATTATCCATATTATTTATTGCTAATAATTGATGTTTTTTAGAATTAGTTAAATAATGGCATATTTTAGGAATTGGATAAACTATACGTTCAATTCTATTGTCTTCACGTACGATCTATGTATATCATGAAATGATCAGGAGAAAGAAAAAAAAGTACAAAATGACAGTTGAAATAACATATTAAATTCTGATGACCATGTAACTCACTTGTAAGGTATAGATTTATGAAATTGGCTTTCAGTCACATTTTATATGTGAAGGTTATCCAATCGAGAGAAGAAGGGTTCAAAATTGAAAACTAATAATAGCTAATCAACAACTTTAAAGTCTAAGCTACCATTCCATAAAATATGAGATATATCGATAAACGTTATGTGAACTACTCATACCTACCATCTTGAGAATCTTAATCATAAGGTTTGCCTCTCTCCAAATTGGTTAACTATCAATCTAATGTCGATCACTCATTCCTCATCTATGTTATTTAATATTAACATGTTTTTAAATACCAAGGAATGTTATTCTGGTGAATGTCCCAGAATAAGCCTCATTCGGTCAATGAAATTAGGTACGAATTACACCAGATAATTATTGTTAAATCTAAATCCATAATAGTTTACTTATTATCTCAAATAATCAAAGATGATGAATATGGAAATTTGTGCAAAACATAGTTACATTCAGAGTTTCTTTTTGTTAGAAAAGTACATGCGCTGGATCGACTTTAATTCATGTCTCATTATATTAAGCAATCTCTAATTCGTGTTCCCTACCACCTTAGTTAAAGAAATGTCAGTTATCGTATATATTTCAAATCAGAAGTTAGTAGCTTTAAATAATGATGTGCTTTATTGATCTCTCCACTTTCAACCTTCTGAGTCTTATTTAACATTTCACACTGTTGACCCGCCACGCATAATACCCAACTTAATTGTTCTAACCCACGTGAACAATGGTTTAAAAACAATAATGAATGAAACCACGGGTTCTTTCAAGTATACACTAGAACAAGGTTCACTGGAACAACATAAACGTAACTTCTGGCGACGAATTGTAAGATTGATCAATTTTATAAATATCATAATGAGAATTTGTGAAGACTGTAGCCACTTTTAACAGTTGAATCCATGAGTCAATCTAAGCCAGACCTGAGTTGGAATCCCATGTGTGGAATCGTAGATGCGTTGTGCTCAGAAGTTCCATATCGGGACAAAATGACTGTCCAATACTTCTAGATTTCCAATGATGGTGTAGATTACATTGATCCATGAATTCCATTATTAAAAGTTTATAGCTGTTATATTTTTTTACAAGTGCTGAAATCAATTCACATTTATAACAGTTCAAATTAGGAAGAACCAGTAAACAAAACAAAAAGAATAGCTGATCAATAAAAGTAAATAAAAGAATTTAATGTTTATCACATACCTCTATCTGTGCTGTATTAATGGTATAATGTTGAAGGCTTAAAATAATATCACTTTTACCCTTAATCAAACGTTTTATAATAGTGTTATTAAAATCCAACTTTCTGGTACCATTCAATGGAATATTGTTATGATCTGTACATTTTATTTCATACAAACAATTTTTCCCTTCTGTAGTGTTGTATGAATTTGACTCAGACCATTTGAAGCTTGATAATTCATTATTATTATGATGATCATGATTCTCAGATGTCTTCATATGTTTAAAAATTGCTGGGAAACATCTATACAACTAGTATAATGAATAGGAATAAATATCAATGAATTATAATGATAAGATTTGTACATTAATTATGTAAGTGCTATTAGCGGAAAATCACAGTAATTCTTTAAAGTTTAATACTAATCAAATTCTCTTAATGATGGGATGTAATTCAATGTGAAACTATATTATGGTTTATTGTTTTTAGTGTCAGATTTTATAGCCTGCGTTCCGTATTTCAGCGTATTAAAGCTGAAGCTAAGTGATTCTCAAAATGAAATTCAACCGTTATCTGAACTGCCGATGAACTTTTCCCATCATACTTTTCTTTCGAAGTGAAAGTAACCTTTCGACTTCTTTTTTTCTGTCTTATTAACCAAGCACATCCATTTCTCTTTCTCCTGCTGATCGACTGGATCATGAAGACGTCAACATCTTGGGGAAGCATGGAATACAGTTGATAGCTAGGATGCATCTGGACGGTCTAGGCTTCACAGATGATCTGGCTCTTCTATCCCACACGCAATAACAAGTGCAGTGGATCTCAACATACACAAAAGGAAAAGCAAGATTCTCCGATACAACACAAAATGCACCAATACCATCACAATTGACGGGGAAGATTTGGAAGATGTAAAAACCTTTACGTATTTGGGCAGCATCATTGATGAAAAGGGTGGATCTGATGCAGATGTGAAGGCGCGTATCAGAAAAGCAAGAGCAGCATATTTACAACTGAAGAATATCTGGTACTCAAAAAAACTGTCAACCAATACCAAAGTCAGAATTTTCAATACAAATGTCAAGAGAGTTCTACTGTATGGGGCAGAAACCTGAAGAACTACGAAAGCCATCATCCAGAAAATACAGATGTTTATTAACAGTTGTCTACGCAAAATACTTCAGATCCATTGGCCGGACACTATTAGCAACAACGTACTGTGGGAGAGAACAAACCAGATTCCAGTGGAGGAATAAGTTAGGAAGAAGAGCTGGAAATGTATAAGACATACATTGAGGAAAGCACCCAACTGCGTCACAAGGCAAGTTCTCACATGGAATCCTCATGGTCAAAGGAAAAGAGGAAGACCATAGGACACATTACACCGATAAATGGAGACAGACACGAGGAGGATGAACAAGAATTCAACAAAACTAAAAAGGAAGGTCCAGGACAGAGTTGGTTGGAGAATGCTGGTCGGCGGTCTATACTCCATTAGGAGTAACAGACGTCAGTAAGTAAGTATGCACACCACGTCTTGAGAATGGTCCATTGGATTTCGACTAAACGGATTCATGGGTTTGGATTCTATGTACGATCATGGATATGTATAAGTGATAAGTACAAAGCTAGTGAAAAAAAACGTGTGTTTTACTCTGGACGTTTTAAGTTGTTTTAATAAATGAGATTAATTTTTGATGAAAACTATGTCTACATTGTTAATGACTTTTATAACACCTGTACAGAAATAGGGACTAGGCTTGACTACGGTCGATTCTCATACTTTTCATTCTTTTACAAGACATAAACGTCGAAAATTGTCTTATGGTAATACTTTTCATATACCATAGGAGAAAATCTATTGACTTTTTGCAATAATCCTGTTATAATGCAATTTTAACATCTTCCCGATAAACAATTCGCATTCATTCAGCTATTTACTTCATTACGTTTATCATACCATAGAAGAACAAAATGCTTAATCAGAGAAATTTTAACAAAAAAAGAAAACAAACAAACACTTACATATTGTGTCAATATAAATAACAAATGTCCGCATTTATGAAATGATTCACGTGGATGATTCGTCGCAAAATCTGAATCCTCTGACAAAATATGGTAATAATGAATTGTACTTATCTGTAATAAATATTAAAAGCGGTGTATTACAAGCTTTGAACTACTTACTGAATATTAAAATGAAATCAACTCACAATGATGAAATCAGTCCAACAAAGAAATAGACGATAAATAAATTTTGGCTATAACATAGATCATAGATCTTCAATTATACGTCGATATTTTGAAAACATCCATTTTTCTATTGTACTATCTTTTGTTAATCCTCAATACAACGACCTACATATTAAACTCCATACTGACATCCTTGACTAATTACCTACTCCATACTTTCGTATATACTTGTCTCTCACAAAGTTAATCTGTAATCTGGGCTTGATACAAACTCATATTTGTTTATTTTTTATCGTCTCTTATTACATCCATAATAACACGGAAGACGGTATTAATTTAATTCACTTTTGTGAATTTTATTTAAACATGTTGTGGAAAATAGTTATCAGGATGTGAAGATATTCAATGTCCGTTGACCGGATGACATCAGCAACAGCCTACTGTGAGAGAGAAGAAACCAACTTCCAACTGAAGAGGAAATTGGGAAAAGACGTTGGAAGTAGATAGGACATACATTAAGGGAATCACCAAACCTCATCACGAAGCAAGTCCCAAATCGGAATCGTAAAGAGAGACAAAAACGTGGAAGGCCAAAGAACACACTGAGTTGAGAATTGGAAGCAAACATGAAAAGGATGAATAGCAACTGGAAATAACTGGAAAGGATTGTCCAGGACAGAGTTGGATGGAGAATCATGACGGTTGGCCTATGCTCCTCCACAAGAGACAACAGCAGTAAATAAGTAAGTTATGTCAAAAAAATTCATCATAGGCTTGGTACCCACTTTACTGAATGTCATACAACCAAAGTCGAAAACGTTTCTCCTAACCGTTGCGTACAAAATGGATCAGGAGTTTACACAAAGAATGTCGATTTAAATAAATTATCTTAAAAATCTTCTTGAAGAAACAAACTCATGCACAAAATAAAATATCAAAGATATTACCAGCTCTCAAGGTATCTCTATTGCTATATACACATTATGATGAAAATTTAATGAACGACAATCTACAAGATAAACTAACAAAAGCTGTTATAAGTTGTCTTCAGTCAGTCTTGATTTCACATTCTTTAATCGATCAATTATGACCACTCAGAGAAAGAAGACGTTAGACAATCTCAGTGGATGTTCATTAATCCAGTTGCTCCTTTGACAATAACTAGGCCAGGTATCTTACCAGAAAAGTTACCTAACTTTCTATCTCTCTTCTTTACAAGCATTGAAATGACATTACTTATCTGCAGTATTAGAATGTGTTTGTAATTTATCAAACTATTTTTATCATTCCCCATGATATTTCTTATTGTTTAACCATAAGTCTGACGATTTATATAATTTCAATCATTGACTTATGTAACAGAATAAAGTTTATGGAGGGTTTGACTAGAAATTGGATTTTTGCCTATATATTCTTGTTTTTAAAACAAAACTATATACATATAAAAAATTAATATCCCTCAAAGAAAACAGTACTCAAACTTAAGAGTTCAAACAACTTACTAACTTATCTAATGGACAGAGTTCAATTAGTTGTTGATAAACTTTATCTTCATGGCGACCTTCCAACACAGCTAACAGTAGCTTAATTGACAAACACTAGATTAATAAAATGACACGGCACAGAATTTTTATTAATCATAATTAACAATGAAAGGGAGTTAATAGCATGTTAGAAAATATCCCTTTGATTACTAGAGTTTGAATTCTTTCTTCTAATGTTCACTAATAGAAAATTAACTGGAATTAAAAAAAAAAACTATTTACTAGGATATATTTAAACTGCAGTTCACTAGTTAAATCACTACTTTCAACTGCAAAGTGAGGTATGAGATACACACCAAATACATACACTTAGGTACCCTGGTATCTCTCACTTAAATGAATTAGAAGGTGGACCCAGCTTTGAATGCAATAGATAACACTGGTTCCTTCCCGACTAAAAGTACGACTTGCTAATGAGTACGAACTAACATTAAAGTCCATGCTTTTTGTCAAGAACATCCAACTACTTAGCAAATCCAAACCAAGTCAATTCCACTAACTTAAAACGTATTAAATATTTACCTTGTATTACACACAGCCACAAAATAGTTGGGAAACACATTTATACAACGAAGAAGGTCAATCGCTTCATGTTAGCTTTACCTATTGAAATGACGATAAGCTATTCACTTACAAAATATCATGATTCCATGAAAACCGTCAATTTTTCATACTCTTTGTCATTTGTTAGTTGAATTTAACTGCATATAAATGTCAATGTTCACGTTACGACTAGAATTTCATGCTTTTCACTTCAAACAACTGAGTATTATTCACTGAGCTATCAAGTTCAAACGGTTATTAACTTGTTCAATGGGTTCAATACTTATATTCGAACTTCTAGTCACAATGAGATGTTACCGGAATGTTTGAGATTCAAGGATCTAAACGGATGACCAATACATAAGACTGTACTATAAGTTAGATTTCAAACAAACATTAACAATAGAAACAACTTACACTAATTTCAGCAAGTGAACATGTTATATCTTCAAGTTTATTATTTCTAATCCATTTTGGTGTATACAATATTAAGTTTACTAGTAAGTGTAAAATATTTGGACTTCCGAATAAAATTTCATTTTGATTATTCAAACAAGGACCGTGACAAAATTCAATTAGACAAGTCAAAATAAGTATTATAATTTCAGGTTGAATAAAATGTACTGAGTTATTTTTTGGAATTTGTACACTTTGTTGATTGTGATTCATTTCAAGGAATAATGACTTATTAAATTTTCTTTGATATATCATTATTGGCTCTATAATGTTCATATTATTCTGTACAATTTTCAAAGGACTGTTTTCTGTATTGCTGAAACATTTCTGTTTACTATGTGGTGTTTTATGATTAATATAACAATAGTTCAGAGTATCATTATTATGATTGTTTTCGTTGTTGCTGTCAAAGGTAACAGTATTAATTAACTTATCATTTATTTTCCACAAATTAATAAATAACGACTTGATTTCTTCAATTAAATTAAAATTTGTCACATTATGTGGTTGAACACGCAATAGTTCCTAGTTAGATTAACATGAGAAACAATTATTGTTTATAAATAAAAATAATATATTTGTAATATCCCAATGAGTAGAAAATTGGATTTTCTGACGTTTCGTGACATAGTGTAAGTCACTTCTTCAGAGAATAATCTGTTATTGTATAGAATGGAGTAACTCAGAATATATAATTAAAGTAGTTATATTTAACTAATGATCATGTAGTAAACAACCATCACTTCCGATTGAGATCTTATACAAATGTTGATAATGGTATCGTCAAAACAATACATAGTTCCAGTCTATCACACTTAATGGATAGCGGTCAAGTTGTAGATAAAAATAAGTCATTTAAAATGAAGTACCGTATTCTTTCTAGTTTTCCTTATGGAGTTTGATCTCATCACTCACATATACCATAAGGTACAATAATTCGAACTAACAATCCAAGTCTTTTCACTAATAAGAAATTTGTAACACCTTTATCTCTTCCTTGGCCGAATTAGCCTTAATAAACTGTTTACTTATAATCAGAAGGGGTTTGTGGAGATTTTAGAAATTTCACAGATTGAAATCATGAATCAATTGAAGCTAGACCATCATGGGAAACCTGGAAGCACTGGACGGCTGTTTCGTTCTAGTATGGGACTCCTCAGCAGTGCGCATCCACGATCCTGCACCCCGCGAGATTCGAACCCAAGACTTATCAGTCTAAAATATCCACAAACCCCTTCTGATAATAATCATCTGCTCACTAGTGACTAACTTCAAGAGATACTCCTGGAGTTCTAGTCAGAAATCGTTACCAGTGGAGTTCAACCACGTCTATTGTGAGATATCAGCTCACTGAAGACAATGGTATACGGTGGCGCAACTTCGTGGATTGGTTGAAGTTAGACATTAACACCATTGGATGCCGGCTCAGTGGTCTAGTTGGTTAGGCGCGAGACTGATAGGTCCTGTGTTCGAATCTCGCGGGGCGCGGTGTCGTGTATGCTCACTGCTGAGGAGTTCCAAACTAGGACGCAACGGCCGTCCAGTAGTTACTCATAACACAATTATTTGAAGAATATTATTCTCAATAATTTCTCATCAGGTTCTACAATTATATATTCAAATTATTAATCCATAAAATTGGTCAGATTTTAGGCAGAGTACATCATATAAAATAATAACATGTGAATTTTAAAGATTGTTTGTAATATAAAATCAAATCAGAATGGTGTGTGGAAATTGTAGTAAGTTAATAGTTAAATTCATCAGTAGATCTAAGATGGACCACCATTAAAATCTGAAAGCACTAGATGGCCGTTTCGTCCTAGTGTGCAACTACTAAACAGTGCTCTTCCACGATTCCGCATGCGAGTCTCGAACCTTGGGTCCTCGGGTTTCGCGCACGAACGCTTAACCTTTAGAACACTGAGCCGACATCCAACGGTGTTATTGTCTAACTTCAACCAATCCACGATATTGTGCGACCGTGCACTGCTAAGCAGTCCCATACTAGGACGAAAAGGCCATCCAGTGCTTCCAGGTTTTTAATGGTGCTCTAGCTTTAATTGATTCATGAATTCAATTATTAAATATTATTATTTTCCACACTCTCCGTATGTTTATTATTCTTCATCTCCTTTTTGTCTCGTTTAAAATGTATGCTTCAGTTGCCAACTATCTGACACCCTTCTTATTACGTATTCCTATAATTTTTCTGTGAATGTTATTTCAGTGACTACATAATTTTCAAGTCACTGACCTATCTCATATTATTAAACATTATATTCAACTTGGTATTGTTTGGCTTGTATCTTCCCATTGAGGTTTAAGAATAGTACTGGCTTCCAGTCCCAGAGTGAACATCAACTCTGAGATGCAGGTACATCCAGCTGACGAGTCTCAAATAGGACGAAACGCACGTCCTGGATTCCACTGCCAGCCACTATCCATCATTGCGTAGAATTATATTCAACTTTTATCATTCTTATCACAACTAGTACACTCGACATCCTATTATCAATTTGTACTTTTCACTTATTATGTTTATTTATGAAATGTATTCCACTATTATCACTGACTCATAAACTGCTTTGATTGGTTTAATAATTTCATAAATACATTACTATATATTAAAGTAAAGTCTAATGAAGATCTAAATGAAAACACTATTGTTCACTGATTTGTACTGTTCTATTCCATAATATGAGAAATTTTAAACAAATCCAATTGTGAACTAAATAGTCATAAAAATTACCTGAAGTCTTAAATTGTTTCTACGACATAAAGTTTGTAAAAATTGTAAACTTATCTGTACTGATATATTCTTGCCAGTTATTAATGAATTGAAACAATCTAAAATAAACAAAAGGCCAATAATGAATAACTTAAAATCATTTCACAGATTGAAATCATGAGTCAATCGAAGCTAGACCATCATGGAAAACCTGGAAGCACTGGACGGCCGTTTCGTTCTAGTACGGTACTCCTCATCAGTATGCATCCACGATACCGCACCCCGCAAGATTCGAACCCAGGACCTAGTGGTCTCGTGCTGTGGAGTCCCATACTAGGACGAAACTGCCATCCAGTGCTTCCAGGTTTTCCATGGTGGTCTAGCTTTTGTATAAACGGAATATAATCGTTCTGAAATCAATCAATTCTACTGCAGTAAAAATTCATTCTGTCCTGAATCTTACCTAATGGAACAAGTAGTAATCAAACTATCTGAGCATTAATTAAAAGTTAAGATTGCATAACTTCACGGGTAAGTTATATAAATTCTAAAAAAACACACTGTAACAAATGTTAACAGTTCAATACTTAACAGTTTGATTAACTAATGCTAATTTGTTCATGAAATTCTTGATTTTCTTCAAGTTTCCAGAATCATTCAAATTGAGAAGTAACAACAAGCATCAATGTTATATCTAGAGCTTATATTCTTGATATGCCGCGTATAACTTGATCACTTGAACGCTAGAACCCTTCCAAGTCGCAAATGAGAAGACAGAAGACAAGTGAAAGAAACGTTATTCTAGACAATGTCAAATTATAGTACAAAACTGTCAGGTATTTATAGTTTTTAGTAAAAACGAAATCATCATTATAGCTATCCAATCCGCATACGGGAAGTTATTAGCATTGTCCTATCGAGAGGCTACACGTAGAGATTTTAGAATATTCTTCCAAAAAGTGAGTAAATGGAATATCTTCGCCTCTTTCTGAGCTTCATACAGCTTCCTCGAGTTTATCCTCGAGGACCGTCCTCACAATCAACATCACTGTTTTCATCTTTAGCTTCTAGACAAAGCTGTATTACATACTCAGAAAAATTATTAGCATCAACGACTAAAAAGTTAGTAATATAATCTGAAAAAACTGAGGGGAAAATGTTTAAAAAAATGCGTATTTATACAAGGGAACAAAATTTCATTAACCACTAAAATTAACAATATCAAACTAACCTAAATAATTTGTAGTTTTTGTAAATTCTTCTTTACAAAAGAATCTATTTTTTGTTAAGTTATCCATTTGACTATAAGCATTATGAAAACGTTGAAACATAGAATTGAAGAAATCTTCATGTTGTTTAGGTTTTGACAGAATAATGTAGAAACATTCCTGTATTAGAATAATACAGATATTAAATAGTCATTTATGAACTAAACGTCTATACTATTTGATGAAAAGAAAGTGAACTCTTATTCAAGTACATATTTGTGTATTCAGTTTTGAACTAACCTTATGTATATAAAGTAAATTTGATAAAAGCGGATACAGGTTTTTGCAGTTAGATTTAACTCATACAATTTGTTTATGAGTTGCCTAGACTAGAGTGCACAGAGCTGAGGTTCAAACGTTTTATCTATCAATTTCAAACACAGTTGATTACTCACCAAATCATTGTTACACAATCACAATATTTATACAGCTTAATCTTTGCGGACAGATGCTGAATCTAAAGGTACTTTTCATTAGTCTGAAAACTTTTAGAAGCCATAAAATGCCAGATGAGTATATATTAGTTTAGTTTCTAAACACCTCGGTAACAAAGATGTTTTATTTTCACATGGAATCAAATTCTGCCTCATGTCAAATCTTAATTGCTGACTTGAAAAGAATAGTCTACACTGATCAACAGTGGAACATATAAGTTCCAATTCCTATTTTAGATTTCATAGAAGATTTTTTCAAAAAAGAACCTGAAATTTCACTGAGAGAGATTTCACGCGAGTTTTTTTTTTAATAATCTGATGTAATCTGATAGATTGGAATGTGTCACCAATATTTTATATTTCAAATAAGATACTTAGTTGCAATAACATATTTCAGCTTATAAAATGTATCATTTACTTTATACAATTGATTGCAAAACTTGTCTAATATAAAATTGATGAAGTGTAATCAAATACAAATCTCTTATTTACTAGCTAACCAGCTAAATGGAAATTGAGAATTAAATTGAAGTCAATTATCACATATTAGTAGATCAACCAAGAACACTACTGTTCAAACACCTCTAGCCAACGAGTTAAAATAAAGATGAAATAAGCTACTTGAATTTCACCAGTACACACAAATCAAATAGAATGAAAACTTGTAATTGAAAAAAATATTGAGGTACTTTTGCTAAGTGAGACGGATCAGTTATAATTCCTACTAATAATATCTGAGAGAAAATTCCAAACCTTACCAATAAACAAAATTAATGCCATTACATTAGGCGATTTGCGGAGAATATTCAGTTTGAAAACTAGTTTACATCGTGGACTGACGTTTTGCTAAATATTCACGCAAGCTGTGATGGACTGGGTTATAATATTTTAGGGGTGAAATTATTATTAATCATGAAATGGAATAATGATAGATCAATATCTCAAACTGTGATTGGAAATGTGAAGTAATGGGTACTAACTACGTCATTTAGATGTGTCAAAAAACTGAGAGACTTTGGTTCAACCTTTGCTTAGGTCACCGGTAAGTTCTGACAAGGAGGACCATATTAAAATAAACCAACTGTTCAGTGGTCTTCTGTTTCCAATGGTTGTTTACCTGAATTCAGTCTGTAACTTGAACTGACTTCACTATCAACATTGAAATACAGATAGTTGGTTTACTCAGAATATGGATATTTTGCGAAATGTATTATTTGAAGTAATGAATATCGTTTGTCACATAACTTTACTAAATGTAACTGACAGATACTTTAACCGGTACGGTATTTTTTTAGCTAAACGGTTATCAGAACAATAAAAAGAAATATAATAGTTGGCTTTCATTAATTTCCACAACTGTTTTCACATGACTAATAATAAACTACCTGTACATATTTATTACTGTGTTTTAAAAGGTTAATCGCCAACTCATTTGCCATGACAAAAATCGTTTCAGAAGTATTAGGATTTTCTAAACATCGTATAATCAGATCACAAATTCCATTTGAACATAGAAAATAATGTATGGCATTTTGACCAGTATTCGATAATCCATCCAAACTCCATTTCATTTCTAATGGTACAGACTAAATGGTATACGAGATTTAAAAAAATCATTTCAGTTAAAAGGAGATTCAAAAACGAAAATCAGAAGTTTTGCCACTAAAACATCGGATTCGCCACTGAAATTTTGAAATGATTGCTAGTCGACAAAAACCAGAGTTAATTTGTTACTAGATAGTTAGATTAAATCACCAAATAATCAGGAGTTTGAGTTTCATGTTACCTAGCATTTAATGTAACTCCGCCTGAAGTCCCTCCGGGAGCTACTGCCGGTCCCAAGCCCGGATAAAGGAGGAGGGTCGAACATGGGGTTAGCGTCCCCATCCCGTAGAAAACTAACTCGCTAAAAAAACGCTAACCAGAAAAAATTATTCAAACCTTTTAAACTCTGCCCTGGGAGTCAGAAGGTCTTCATTTAGAAGAAGTATGACGCCTCATGATGGAAGCCGAATTCCTTCGGAAGTTACGAGGCCGATGCCCCTTCTGACAACCAGAGCGACCATTTATTTAGGTACATAGAATGTTCGTACAATGTGAGACACCAGGAGAGCCTTTCAAATTGCTGCAGAAATGAGAAGATACAACCTAGAGGTACTTGGGATCAGTGAAACACATTGGACACAAGTTGGACAACAACGACTAACTACAGGAGAGCTCCTGATATACTCCGGCCATGAAGAAGAAAATGCACCACATACACAAGAGTTGCATTGATGCTGTCCAATCGAGCACAAAATACACTTATAGGATGGGAATCTCATGGACCAAGGATCAGCGAAGCCTCCTTCAAAACAAAGAAAGAGGGCATTTTAATGAACATCATCCAATGCTGTGCGCCTACTAACGACTACGATGAAGATGCTAAAGATCAATTCTACAATAGGCTGCAGTCAATCATCGAGAAGTGCTCAACAAAGGACCTGACCATTCTGATGGGAGATTTCAATGCCAAGGTTGGAACGGACAACACTGGATATGAAGACATCATGGCACGACACAGACTGGGAGAAATGAACGAAAATGGTGAGAGATTTGCAAACCTATGTTCTTTCAATAAACTGCTCATGGGCGGCACCATATTCCCACATAAACGCATACACAAAACCACATGAACTTCACCGGATCACTCTACACAAAACCAAATCGACCATATTTGCATCAACAAAACGTTCAAGAGGACGATGGAAGACGTGAGAACCAAGATAGGAGCTGATATCGCATCAGATCATCACTTGCTGATCACCAAGATGAAATTGAAACTCAAGAAGCACTGCACAATGGGGCGGACAATATCACAAAAGTTCAATACGGCCTTTCTCCAGGATACTAGCAAACTCAACAAATTCAAGATAGTCCATAGCAATAAGTTCCAGGCCTTTCATGATCTACTCAATGGAGAGGGGACCACTGTGGAGAGCAACTGGAAAGTAGATCAAAGAGGCAATCAATTCAACATGTCATGAGGTCCTGGGCCACAAGAAGCACCATCACAAGGAATGGATCACTGTTAATACACTGGATAATATTCAAGAAAGGCGGAACAAGAAAGCAGCAATCAATACCAGTCGAACAAGAGCAGAAAAAGCCAAGGCACAAGCTGAATACACAGAAGTTAACAAACAAGTGAAGAGGAGCATCAGAACCGACAAACGTAAATATGTGGAAGATTTAGCAACGGCGGCGGAAAAGGCTGCAAGAGAAGGAAACATGAGACAATTGTATGACACGACAAAGAAACTCTCTGGAAATCGCCACAAACCAGAACGACCAGTGAAAAGCAAGGAAGGCAAGGTAATCACCAACATTGAAGAGCAACAAAACAGGTGGGTAGAACACTTCGAAGAACTCTTGAATCCACCAGCTCCACTGAACCCACCCAACATCGAAGCAGCACCCACGGACCTCCCAATCAATGTTGGCCCACCAACAATTGAAGAAATCAGCATGGCCATCAGACAAATCAAGAGTGGCAAAGCAGCAGGACCGGACAACATCCCAGTAGAGGCACTAAAGGCAGACGTAGCGGCAACTGCAAGGATACTACACTTTCTCTTCAATAAGATTTGGGATGAGGAACAAGTACCAACAGACTGGAAAGAAGGACATCTGATCAAAATACCGAAGAAAGGCGATCTCAGCAAGTGTGATAACTACAGGGGCATCAATCTTCTCTCAATACCGGGAAAAGTCTTCAACAGGGTATTGTTAAACAAGATGAAGGACTGCGTAGACGCCCAACTTCATGACCAACAGGCAGGATTCCGTAAGGATAGATCGTGTACAGACCAAATCGCAACTCTACGGATCATTGTGGAGCAATCAATTGAATGGAACTCATCACTCTACATCAACTTCATTGACTACGAAAAGGCGTTTGACAGCGTGAACAGAACAACACTATGGAAGCTTCTTCGACACTACGGCGTACCTCAGAAGATAGTCAATATCATACAGAGTTCATATGATGGATTACACTGCAAAATGGTGCATGGAGGACAGTTGAAAAAGCCGTTCGAAGTAAAGACCGGTGTTAGGCAAGGTTGCTTACTCTCACCCTTTCTCTTTCTCCTGGTGATCGACTGGATCATGAAGACATCAACATCTGAAGGGAAGCACGGGATACAGTGGACATCTAAGATGCAGTTGGACGATCTAGACTTCGCAGATGATCTAGCTCTTCTATCACACATGCAACAACAAATGCAGGAGAAGACGAACAGTGTGGCAGCAGCCTCAGCAGCAATAGGTCTCAATATACACAAAGGGAAAAGCAGGATTCTCCGATACAACACAGAATGCACCAATCCAATCACAATTGACGGAGAAGATTTGGAAGATGTAAAAACTTTTCCGTATTTGGGCAGCATCATTGATGAACAGGGTGGATCTGATGCAGATGTGAAGGCGCGGATCGGCAAAGCAAGAGCAACATATTTACAACTGAAGAACATCTGGAACTCAAAGCAACTGTCAACCAACACCAAGGTCAGGATTTTCAATGCAAATGTCAAGAGAGTTCTACTGTGTGGGGCAGAAAACTGGAGAACTACGAAAGCCATCATCCAGAAGATACAAATGTTTATTAACAATTGTCTACGCAAAATACTTCATATCCATTGGCCGGACACTATTAGCAACAACTAACTGTGGGAGAGAACAAACCAGATCCCAGCAGGGGAAGAAATCAGGAAGAAGCGCTAGAAGTGGATAGGACACACATTGAGGAAAGCACCCAACTGCGTCACAAGACAAGCCCTCACATGGAATTCTCAAGGGTGAAGGAGAAGAGGAAGACCAAAGAACACATTACGCCGAGAAATGGAAATAGACATGAGAAAAATGAACAAGAATTAGATGGAACTAGAAAAGAAGGCTCAGGACAGAGTGGGTTGGAGAATGCTGGTCAGCGGCCTGTGCTCCATTGCGAGTAACAGGCGTAAGTAAGTAAGTAAGTAAGTAAGTAAGTAAGTAAGTAAGTAAGTAAGTAAGTAAGTAAGTAAGTAAGTAAGTAAGTAAGTAAGTAAGTAAGTAAGTAAGTAAGTAAGTAAGTAAGTAAGTAAGTAAGTAAGTAAGTAAGTAAGTAAGTAAGTAAGTAAGTAAGTAAGTAAGTAAGTAAGTAAGTAAGTAAGTAAGTAAGTAAGTAAGTAAGTAAGTAAGTAAGTAAGTAAGTAAGTAAGTAAGTAAGTAAGTAAGTAAGTAAGTAAGTAAGTAAGTAAGTAAGTAAGTAAGTAAGTAAGTAAGTAAGTAAGTCAGTAAGTAAGTAAGTAAGTAAGTAAGTAAGTAAGTAAGTAAGTAAGTAAGTAAGTAAGTAAGTAAGTAAGTAAGTAAGTAAGTAAGTAAGTAAGTAAGTAAGTAAGTAAGTAAGTAAGTAAGTAAGTAAGTAAGTAAGTAAGTAAGTAAGTAAGTAAGTAAGTAAGTAAGTAAGTAAGTAAGTAAGTAAGTAAGTAAGTAAGTAAGTAAGTAAGTAAGTAAGTAAGTAAGTAAGTAAGTAAGTAAGTAAGTAAGTAAGTAAGTAAGTAAGTAAGTAAGTAAGTAAGTAAGTAAGTAAGTAAGTAAGTAAGTAAGTAAGTAAGTAAGTAAGTAAGTAAGTAAGTAAGTAAGTAAGTAAGTAAGTAAGTAAGTAAGTAAGTAAGTAAGTAAGTAAGTAAGTAAGTAAGTAAGTAAGTAAGTAAGTAAGTAAGTAAGTGAGTAAGTAAGTAAGTAAGTAAGTAAGTAAGTAAGTAAGTAAGTAAGTAAGTAAGCATTTAATGTCAAAGCGTTTCTATAGTATTAAGTTAATGAATTCGCACCGTGAGACACTAACCAACGTCACACATTGTAGTAGTGTAAGAAGTTACTATTAAATATTCAGTCAGTCAATAATAACGTAGAACTTCGTACGTACGTACATCAGTTCGAGTTGCCGAACCACATTACCACAGAGATACAAATGTCGATTCAAATCCCATAGTGATAGAGGCGGTATGAGTATAAGCAGTAATCGGAAAGATTGGAGTTTGAAGATGTTTATTTAAGAGTACAATCCAGTGAAATAAATTTGGAAAGAGAAAAAATATACAAGGAGGATTCAGGAGATTAAAATTTGGGAGAACACAAAGAGTGGATGCACCTGCTTCATTGCAAACGATTTTAAGCCATGTCACTCAGGGTCTCTAACTATCGGTTGCTATCATCTCGCGGTCCCCAACCAGGTAGTCTACATCTACAAAAATGACTCAGTCCACTTGTCAGTGACTTCATGGACTTGCGCCATGTTTTGGTCTGGCCGCCCTTAGCTTTCTTCCAACCCACACCATTAAATAAGTAAAGCTCCGACTAATGTCCTGTAGAACTCAAAGGTTTGCACTAATTGACCACAGCAAGTGATCAGTGCCATGCTCATGTGTTACTTAATCCTGATCGATAGATTTCTATCAGTAATAATAATATGATATTATTATTTGTATTGCTTTTAAGAGCATTTGATCATAAATCCACAATCGAAACAATATTTTCTTTTTGATAATATTTAAGAAGTATTTTCAAAATGTCAAAACTCTTTGGAACTATATTACCATAAAATATTCACCGTATGATTTACAAAAATATATGTAAGCTACATGGTTGCATAAGATATGTAAATATCTTTGCTTTAACCTCTTTTTAACAATCAGATTTTATTACTTAACAAGTTCACTGCCTAACGACTTGTCGTATCTTGAATGATGGGCTTAGCAACTGGTGTATCTGTGTAAATAAGTATTGAGGCAGTTAATAGCGCTTTTAGATTCAAGAAGAAGGAGTATATGGAATTTAGATAAATTGGAAGAATAGTTAATTGACATTAGCAAGCATTACTCCATTTCCTTTCTCATCGGAGATAAACTGTTGGAAAACTCAGTAAATTATAAACTTACAAAATCCATAACGTTGTCAACTACTAATCAAGATCATAGTTCAGATATCTATTAAAAGGTAGTGAAAATTAAAAGCATTTAAAGAAAGCGGTCTTATAAAATTATTTCTACATAACAGACAAATAAAAAATAAAACAACAAGCGTTCAAAAAAAAAAGAAATTAAAAGATGTTTATTAATAGCTTTTGCCTACCTCCAACATAGGTGCTTTAGATAAGGAAATGAAAACTTGTAGAAGCTTGACGAACTGACTTTCTAAACCTAATTCAATCAAATCGTATGCATGTTGCACCAATCTGAAAAAGTAAGGAAAAAAAGAATTCAGACTGAAAGTGCTATAAAGGTTGTTTTGTTCTAGTCTTAAACTTCTCTCAACCCACAATTACAAGTTCATAAAACTTCAAACTCAGCACCTATAAGTCTGACTTTTAGATCAGTGATTTGGTACATCATAATTCATATTTCGAACTTCAACTGATTTGAGATACAATATTACGACTACACATTACCATAGATAATATCTGTACTCGACAGCTGAAACCCACTTTCATAGTAAAATGTCGAGAAATTGAATTTTTAGTTTTTCATTCGTATAATCGATGATTGTTACACATCAAGATATGGGAATTTGTGAAGATGTTTTGAACTTTAAGTTAGTTTTCGCAATGAACTAACATCATCTGCAGAATCACTAAAAACCAGTGAGAGCTGAGGAGCTGTTGAATCGATCACAATAACTTACTTAACTAAAAGAAAAAACCTTAGAAACTCGGTATTAATTATATCTAGTTCAAAATTCACTATAACACAAGGACGCTTAACATTACTAAGCTGAATTCTAAAAAACGTTGTGTAACTTGAGCATCATAAAAAGCGAAAAATGAATACAGTATAGAGGATAAATGATGTAAGAAGAGAAGATGAAATTAAAATTTGATAGAGTATTCAATACTGAGAAATGATCAAAGAAATTTTCTATGATTACATAATTAAAATACAATGTTTCAACAGTTACTGAACCGATTTCAATTTAGAACGAAAAGGCAACTAAACATAAATTATCTAATTCCCAATTAATAAATTCGATTACTAGTATGGGGGTTGTGGAGATTATTACGCTTTTGATTGAGATCATGAACCGATTGATGTTAGACCACCACCTTTAAAAACCTGGAAGCACTGGACGGCCGTTTCGTCCTATTGTGGGACTCCTCAGCAGTGCGCATCCACATCAATCGGTTCATGATCTCAATCAAAAACGTAATAAATTCGAATTGAATTTCCAAACGTTTTTGTTGCATAGTGTATACTGTAGTTTTTTTATTTTTCTGATGAAGGGGTAAAGTAATTGTCACAAATCAGGTATTTTGTAAATATTTACAAAGAGAAAAATCCAAAAATTATATTTAATGTTCATTGAATCTCTTCAATTGAATACACATGTACACGGAAATAATTTCTTTCTTCTCGGTATAAGTGAAATTGCATACTTTAAAAGACAGAGTTAAGAAGTGATTACTTCAATGAAAACATTCAGAATAAAACCCCTAAACTGATAATTACCATGTGCTCATTAGTGACTAGCTTCGTGAGAAAATTCTCGGAGTTCTAATGAGAAGTCGTGACCAGTGGAGCTAATCTGTATCGGATAGAAACAGGTGTCTACCTCAGTACAATGGAAGATGGTCGAGCAATTTCGTGGATTGGTTGATATTAGACACTATCACCATTGGATGCCGGCTCAGTGGTTCAGTAGGTTAAGCGTTCGTGCGCGAGACTGAAGGCCCTAGGTTCGAATCCCGCGAGCGGGATCGTGGGTGCGCACTGCTGAAGAGTCCCACAATAGGACGAAACGGCCGTCCAGTGCTTCCAGGTTTTTAATGATGGTCTAACATCAATTGGTTCATGATCTCAATCAAAAACTTAACAATCTCCACAACCCCTAAACTGATAAAACAATACTAGTTTTGTATATAAAGATTAAAATAATTGTATTTTAAATAAAATATTAGCAACATACGAGGCTATAAATGAATTATATGAAAAATCATCACTTTTAACTAATGTTGATATTTCTTGTATTTCAATGAAATTCATTGGATATTGTAGAAATCGAATTAATGAATCATATTCTTTATAAATGGATGTACTAAGTTGAAGTTCAATTTCTTTAATCATATTCTATAAGTTAGAAAAAGGAATTAATATCATAAAATTATACTTTCAAAATAAAGTGAAAATGGTTAAAGTTGAACAAAAATATAAGCAGTTGATGTTTAACGAACCGTTGAATGATATGTTGTACCAAAGTAAGTAGTAGAGTTAAATCATATTATCCGTAAATCAGGTATAAATAATGGTCGAACAATTTTGTGAATAAAGTTGAAAATAGAACCTTTTATACACCAACTCTGTTGTCTAAATGTAATGAACCTACTGTGAAGTTTGGTGGTCTTAGGTTTGATCCTTGGAGAAATTGTGGAAAGAGCAATGTTAAGAAGTTCTTAACGAGGATATATTTATTTATTTACTTATTTATTTGAACACATAAATATAGGTACAAATGGGAGCCGAATACATATGCGTCACACAAGTTATTTGATTTTTAAATGGGCTGTGCTACTGCCTGGGTGCCCAGACCGAAACAGATGGTCTACTTAGCGGGCCACAACCAGAGTCTTCGAACTAAGGGTCTGATCCACAAGGCAGTGGAGCAACGTTAGGAGATACAGTCCCATGGTAGCGGGTGACCAATAATTGGTTCGTACGCCATTTGTTCCTTTAGGACCCTGGAGCCCATATGCATCTTGGTTTGAAATGGTGGTGTTCCAACTCCCCTAGGTGGATCCCCTAAACCCACCTACCTGGTTGAAGCGCCGGGCATTCGCTTTTTTTCCTCTTAACGTCGTAAACACCTCGAGAAGACAGTGAGTAGCACTTCCGTGGGAGTGGCTGTATATGCGTGTCTATGTGGAAGCATTTCAAGAGGGAGAGGACTCTCCTCACTCTTGGCCGTACCGAGGCATTTAGGGGATAAAACAATTCCTCAATGATTCTCGGTTTTAATTTCCGTTCGGTCAATATCAATTCATGATTAAAAAATTTCTTTACAGTTCAAAAGTCCTTTATATAAAATTCTGACTTGTTATTCCTGATTGTTATGTGTTAAAGGAATAACCAAAGTTCAATGAGCTGCGAATACAATGCATGTTTATAAGGTTATGAATGAATAGAACGATTGTTTTATGCCTCTTTAATTCACAAATTTAATTGTTACTGATTCAAGAAAATCATACAACATCAAGAAACAAACTTTCCCATTAAAATACAGTAAATCATATAGAGAGGGACAAATTATCAGTAATTTGAACAATGTTGAAGAACTTCTAACTCCCAGGGCAGAATTTAGATGGTTTGAATTGTTTTTTCTGGTTAGCATTTTTTTAGCGAGTCAGTTTTCTACAGGATGGGGTTGCTAACTCAATGTGCAATCCTCCTCCATTATTCGGGCTTGGGACTGGCAGTAGATATTCGATAATCGGATGTCAATAAAAATTTAAAAATCTATATACTTTTATAAGATAAATAAAATCGGAGAACTATAAATTACAAACAAGCATTATTTTATTTAATTCGCTTACATTGAACTGCTTTTCTATATTCTTCGCAAAGTTTTGAGATATTGATCGATCTGCATCATCCAGTGTTTGACTCATTTGATCTTCACTCAAACTCTTACTCATCTGACATTGTTGGACGGTTTTAACATTGACTTTTTCAGACATATTTGAGTCGAGTGAATTTTCATCCTGCAATCCACTATCTATCGAGTCATCAGATATAATATCACTTGTAGAAATGATTTTGTCTTCAAGTGTTTTACATAAATCTGTATAAGAATTCGTCATAAAAATGTCCGGTTTGTAGGAGAATTCTGGCGAAACCGGAAGACTTGCTGTAGGAACTGAAATATTTTAGAATAAAAAAATCATTCTTATCAACGTGAGTAAAGCAATGAGACTGGGTTGATTGTGTTTTGTGCAAAATAATGGTTCCAAATAGTATGATTTTCAATTTCCAACACGTGATGCTGTGGAGATGGTTAATGTAGACTTAACTTGTGAATAATGTCTTTATTATTATTTTTATTTTTCACGCTTTCATTTAATTTATATAATCACTGGTTATAAGCTGTTGATTAAAAGGTCTGAATCTTATTCACTATTTTCAGTTCACAGTGATCATCGTTCTCTAAATATACGTGCTGCATATACACTACATCCTGTTCTTTGTCAGGTTGCTGCCGCATTAATAAGTTTTCAATAAACCTCTTACGTACATTTGAAGATTGTGATTCTCTACTCTACCTGGGCCAATCATACCTCATTGTCTTTGACTGCATTCCATATTTTGGAATTACTACATCATTATCATATTTGTGGACTTACTCTGGGACCCATTTGGCAAGCAACCACTGATCGTTTCAAATTAACTCACGTAAAACGTATATATACATGTTTCTCGTACACTAGTATACCCAGGCTTGAAACGAATGTAAAATTTCCCACAGTGTCAATCATGAAGTCATCTTACCTAAACTATTGTTGGAAACCTAACAGCACTGTATACTTATTTCGTTCTAGTATAGAACTGTTGATAAGTACATTTCCACGTCCCCATCACAGAAGATAAGACTCGTAACCTCTGGCCTCACACGTGAACATTTGTAAGTTTTCTATTGAATAATATTACTAGTATTTAAATATTTGCATTTCCGTCTACTATAAAATATACCGATATAGGATTCGAGATTACAGAAGTTACTATAAGTTTTACAGATCTTTTGGTGTACTCAATAAGTAATGCCCACTTATCTGACAAAATCAGGCGAAAGTTACACTCTAGTGAAAAAAGTATATTAACCACCTTCCCTTGACCATTTCTCCTCCTTTTTTTACCCCCTTTCAGATACCTTTCACTTTATTTTCATAGATTTTTTTTATTTGTAACTTATAGCGCTATAAAGTAATATAACATTAATTGTTTCACCGATGAACTTCGGATACAATGTAAAATTAGACTATAAGACGTAAAGATTTTTTAGTTCTATGAATCTTACAAACTTGTGAATATTTCCCGTCCCCAGTAGTTTTTAAATACTTACAAATCATAACTTCGATATACCCTTCTGAAGTGTACAGTGTATTTTTGTCACACAGAAACTGAAATAAGTATCAGGTATTCAAATGTTTGAGTTCAGAGAAACGAAAAATATTGGTAAAAATAAATCACTGAAATCATTAATTCGATTTAATTTAAATTACCAATCAACTACACCGTAATATAATCGGCTTTGAATTATAAAATTTTCAAACATAACTAATATGAACAAAGAATATTCACTTCAATGAATTTCTCATCAGATACTCTACAATGATCTCATATCCAAATTAATAATCCATAAAATTGATCAGATTTAAGGCAGAGTGAATCAAGAATTGTTGTCTGTCATACAAAATCAAATCAAATCGTTAATGTTGGGGGCTGACCAATATGAAGTTGTTAACTTGAATCAGTTTATAAGTGAAATGAAATTGTGGAATAAATAATGATCAGAATAAATATGGTCACAATTGATTGATCACTGGGTGGTGATCACTGTCATGCTTGTCTAGTCCTTATTAGTGCAGATCGAATGCTATCGATCATGTTGCAATATGGCCACCAGTCTAGGTGACTCGACACTGCGGGCACTATGTATTGAGATTTAGATGGTGGTTGGAGGTAGTCAACAGGAAACCCTGGACCCGGGTTTCGTGTTACTTGGCACTCGTCAGCAATTTGTGCTCCCTAGCGGATTAGTTCTCTTGCCACCCAGCTTTACAGTCAGAGACGTTACCACTGAGCTATCCGAGCCGTGACTAACCTCCTGTAGGACTGAGATGTAATCACCAGGGAGCACCAGTTCCCTCACGATTACAGGTACACCTTGCTGACGAGTGCCAAATAGCACGAAACTCGGGTCCAGGGTTTCCTGTTGACTACCTCCAACCACCATCTAAATAAATATGGTCAACATGCAGTGAAAGAGAGAGAGAATAATGTAATTACAAATTAGAAATTGCGTAATAATATGAATTGGGTCAGATATAGTAGATAGGGGTGAATGCTGAATAAATTTCATAAAAAGGTTATCAAGTGTAATAATAATAATAATGACAATGGTAAGATGTGTGGACATAAAAATGGACAATAATCAAATTACGTCATCATATTATGAAATTGATTATTAACTAGTTGACCCCGAACTTGGCCAGGGTAAAAGGAGCAGCTGAAAATATTTCTTTGGTTTTTTTTATCCGAATAGTGATTTCTTCAGCCGTCTGTAGGATTCGCAGTCTGACAAAATTAGGTAGACTGCTGTTAACGCGATAGATTATTGCAAAAGATTGCTGCGTGTCGGCTGTACGTCCCGTCTGAATTAAATGGGTTAAAATGGAACTAGTAACCGGTTTGACTACACCTTTGCTTAACCATACTGGAAGATGCTCACGAGCCCGAATTTGCAAATTCCTAAAACATCCGTCAATATAACTTGCTTCACAGGAGCATTTGAATCGATAGATATAGAAAAAGGTAGCTAGTCTAGGTAATTTATCTTTCAACCTCGGAGTGATTATTGGTCGTGTGGAGAATATTAGTTGTAGTTTACCCGTATTAAAAGTCCTTTGAATTGATCTGTTTAACTTCAGTCTTAGCATTTCATTCGATGCATCGCCTCTGAATTGTAATCGTCTAAACAGAGGCTTTTTATTCACAGATAACTAATTAGTTTTGTTCATTCCAAGACTGGTACACATACAAATTAAACTAAGCATAAACAAAATACTTGTTAAAACATTTATACAGATTTTCATTCCTAATTAAAATTAACTTGAAATTAGGATTAGTTCTTATCCAACTGTCGTAGTAAACATTAAGGGCTGATAGGTTACAAATACAGTTGACAGACATGTAATACAATGATCAATCATAAAGGTAAGTGAATTTTACAAAATACATCGTTATCGAGAGAATTGATGCGTATATATATAACTCACTTGTACGCATTATCATTTGTGAACATTCCATTGAAGCTGGACCTAGTAATGAATCATGGTTCATTTGCATCAGTTTATGCATTAAACAACGACTTGCATCTAGATGAAACTAAATGATAAATAAGAAAAAAAATCTATCAGTTATGTACTAGATCTATATTGATACATCAATAAATATGACGAAATGATAATGATATTGTGGTGCGTGCTATTTATATTGATATAAGTAATATATGACGCGAGTCAGGAATGTAATGTCTGGCAGCAGAAGATGGGGAAGATTAAGAAAGGAAGAGCGGGAATAGAAAGTAATTAGTATGGAAATACAAGAACAAAGACGTTCGAGACAATTATTGAACATTTTGCAAATTAAGTATTATAGTATGGTTTTTCTATTTTACCAAGTAACTGTAATTTGTGGGATTTCAATTTGTGGCTTTTAGATTCCTCTCCATTCTCTTCGCTTCCGCTTTCATTGCTACTAGAGCTTCCACTACTACTACTATTACCACTGGTACCACTACTAATAGAGCTGCTGCTTCTGGTTGATGAGCTGCTTGACGAAGGAGATGCCTCACGTTTTGTAAACTTACTGGGGATTCCTTCGATTATCCTAGAAACTGAAGGTCTTTTGGGAATATTTGGGGGCAATGATGGCTCTTCAGGACTCGGTAAGCTGTAATACTGGGGTCTTTCAAAGGATAAATTTTCGTGTCCAGATGAGGTTTCTCTTCCTTTTATGTGACCAGGATGGTGACTATGTCGGTGATCATGATCTCTCAGATGCCAATCAGATTCTCTATCGCGCGCGCGGCTTGGTTCTGGCCTTGCGTTGCGACCGTGTGATTCAGCATCATGTCTGTATCTACTAGACGAACGATAATCATAATGAGAACGTAGGTCAGGACCTTCATATTTTCTGTAGTTTTCAGCAAAACCATCTTTTCTTGATTGTTCTAAATAACCTGATCTTTGATCTCTCTCGTTAACTTCGACCATGTTATGGTGTCGGGATCCAGAATCATGAGTATGCTTGCGAAGTCGATAATAGCCTGCGTTGTGAGACGGAGACCTTTTCTGAGATTTGTGTGAATGACAGCTACCATGTCTTTGTCTGTCATGCTTTTTGGAATGCCTATGACCTTTTGAACGTTTTTCGTTTCCATAATAACTATTCTCAGGCATTTCCGGTGGACTGCGACGTCTACCGGCCACCAAGTCTTTTCTCCAGTCAGTGACAGGTGATTTCGGCCTCTGCAACAGTTTAGAGCGAGATTTGGAACGCTGACGACGATGACGAGTGGGTGAATGTGATCTACGGCGTCTTGTGTCGACCAGACATCTCAGGAGAGTGGCGATGATGACGACGGCGACGGTGTTGTTCAGGAGAACGCGACGATTCCGATGTCCTAAATTTCGATCAGTTTTTGTTGACATATATGTTCAATATTCATTGTCTCCATTCAACCACTTTGCTACAAGTTATTTTACACAGATTATATAGAATGCGTGTATCGTTCTATCTAGGGCTTTTCAACTGGATGTACCTTCATTCACATTAATGTTGACAGCGTACGTCTTTGCTTTATTCTGACAAATTGTGAAATTATGAACTGACGAAAATAACTACTTAACATACATACTCGATAAACTTGATAATAAACGAATATCTAACAAATTGCTATGACACTAAAATTAAAAAGTTGAGTTCACGCACGGACCAATGTTAGATCACCATTGAAAACCTGGAAGTACTGGATGATCATTACTGAGGAGTCGTATACGAGAACAAAACGGCACTTCAATGCTTCCACGTTTTAAATCGTGATCTAACATTTATCGGTCCATGATCACAAATAAAACTCAACAATCTCCATAACCTTGTACTAATAGAGAATTTAATTTAATTTTAGTTCATGAAATTATAGTTAAATTATTTCCGTCTTAATCTTACCTGTGGTTGTTGATGTTCCAATAACTGAATGTTGGCAAAAATTTTCGTAACATATGGGATAATAGAATCTCTGAGAAATATTTTATAATCATTACTCGATAGTCGATTAAGAGAAATCTTGAGAAAAATGAATAGAAAGTATAGTGATGATGAATAAATTATGAGATATACTAATTAATAATAACGTCATATATTTTATATCTTGTGCTTACTCAAACATAATTATGTATACTATACTTCATGTTGAACAATATATCGAAAATATAAAAATATTCACCAAGTACCTGAATTAAAGTTATAAGCACAAGATTTGTGCATACATCTGATTATTTTAAAGACGAAAACAGTTTACTTATTTTATTGAATGAAAAATATTATTTTTGATTAAGATCATGAACCGATTAATGTTAGACCACCAGTGAAAACCTGGAGGTACTTGACGGCCGTTTCGTCCGATTGTGGGACTCCTCAGCAATGAGCACCCACGAACGCGCTAGCGGGTGGTCTAACATCAATCGGTTCATGATCTCAATCAGACCTTATTAATCTCCATAACTCCATACTAAAAATATTGTATTCAGAAGAGACAATAGTTTCAGCAATTCTAATATTTAATAAAATTAAACTAATCTTATAAAGTTAGATGAATTTCTAAAGTAAAACAAATGTATTGGATTTATTCCAAACGGAATTTTCATTTATTGGTATAACGCTTCGATAAGCACTCATTGAATATATATATATATATGTATATATATTCGGTACTTAATTTAACTTAGCGCTTCTCAAAAGAATCAGTTAAAAGGTAGTAGAACAAACAGTTACATTGAAACTAGTGCCATTCAATTTACACCTGAAATATACGGGTCATAAACATATGAATGAATACAGAAAAATTAACACTGCAGTCAAAGTCTATTTCAGTTAGCAAATTTACTTGAATTTAGGGTGTTTTACTATCTTATATCGATGTGTTCTCCATTCACTAATTAAACACTTCCAAATCCTCTAATGCCAAACATTATTCTTATGTAATTGTTGATGATAATCAAGTGATTCTAAAACCCAAACCTACACGTACGAGTTTTCTTTTCATCTTAATTCTAATGTAAACAGGCTTAATAACCAATTCATTTGCATTTCTATTTTATTAACATTATTCTAGTTTACTTAACTATTTCATGGATACCGATTTAAATTTAAGTGCACTAGTATTTAATCATAGTAATGAATTGGCTGAAGTTACATTTTTATAGATTTTTCACTTCCATTCACCGATTTCAAGAATGTGAATTTTGTTTCCTTTATTTTCGATTATTTTCCAACTAACATATCGAATTAATGTTAACGATAAAATAAACACTAGATTAAGATTACACACATATATATAATTCATATATGTTCGCTCGCTCACATTGAATCCCATTCGCATTTCTACTCAAATGCACTTCATGTGCTTGGTGGCTTAGTGGTTTGCACTGTACAATAACAAACTGTAGTTACAGCTTCATATAGTCTTCTGAAGGTTATACACCATTGGAAATTATCTAGTAACAGTTATTAGGACCAGTAATATACGAAACCTAAGGAATTATCTCAAAAATGGTCTACTACACTAGAAACAGTTTTTCTATACTTCATGCTATTTATTTAGAAATACATTAGCTACAGTAAAAGGTTGTCGAAAAAAAAAGATGTTTCTTATCAAGCACCAGTTTTCATTCATTCGCTTAAAACCGCATATATTGGTTAGGTAAACAAAGAAAATGTTCAATTGTCACATAGAAAATATCATTTGATGTAAAACAGTTCATTTTTAGAGGACTTGTAATTTAGCTGTTCAATAATCAATATCATCATGTAAGCATACTGGTATGAGATATTTGTTTATAATTTATTTTAACACATAGATATTGGTACAAAGAGACACCAAATACATATGCGCCACACGAATCTCATTCGATATGTGTGAGGGCTGTGATACTGCCCGGGTGCTCAAACAGAAGCAGGTGGTTTTCTTAGAGGGCCACACTCCGAGCCTTCGAACTGAAGGTCTGATCCACAAGGCAGTGGAGCATCAAGAGGAGATGCAGTCCCATAGAAGCCGGTGACCAACGATTAGTTCATACGCCATTTGTTCCTTCATGGTACTTGAGCCCATGTGCACCATTGGTTTGGAATCCGGTTAGAGCGCCGGACATTCGCTTTTCGTCCTCTCAATTTCGTAAACAACAACCTCGCCACGAGAAGGCGATGAGTAGGACTTCCCTGGCAGAGGCTATATACGCGTGGCCGTGTGAGAGAATTTCGAGAGTGAGAACGGACTCTCCTCACTCTCAGCCGTACTAAGGCAATCAAAGTTAATGTAGTATTAATCACAACAAAGACGATAAAATATAAAACGTTTGGTTAAAAGATATAGGTGGAAAATATGAGATGATATTAAGATTAAACACTGAACACGTTCACTGATCAGATATCATTAGTATAGTTTGTAAATACAAACATAATCATGTTTAAGCTTAGCTCCATGCAACAATTTTTAACCTACTCCGATTCTAAACAATATTCAGTATCAAGGTAAACGCTATTTAGAAAATAAGAAACATGTTGTCTTAATATTTTCAAGTCGATGAAAATGTATGATTTCAGTAACTAATATACCATATTCATCTGATACTCTAAGTTTTAACGTAAAGAAATAAGTGATTTATTCAATTTCACTTACATTATCTAGTTCTTCAGTAATATCTCTCCAAAGTAAAGATAATGATTCACTATATTGTATGATAAAATTATTTTTAAAATTATGACTTGAACAGAAATTCACTAAATTTTCCATATAAACATTTCTTAATTGATATAAATTTTTACATTTCATAACTGGATGTATAATAATGTTAATTAATTCAGATAATTTAAACCATTTACGATATTTTTTAAGTAAAATATCATTCTCTTCAATTAGTAGTATATTTAATAAATGAAAAAATTTCAAATTAAATAATAAATCTTGTTTAGATGTATTATCAGGAAATTGAATGATTGACCACAATGGTGAAGATGATGATGATGATTTAGAATAGGTTATTGTCGATAAAAGTGACTCCAAAATATTTCGTACACGTGAAAAACTATTCATCAAGAATAATGTGTCGTCAAACATTGAACAGAGCTTTCAAAAAAAAAAAAAAAAAGAAACGTATAAAATAAAACAATCCTTACAATCATAGCCCAAATCTACTTACGTAATGTGTGTAATCAATGTCTAAAATGTATTACATTAGCTATAGAACAAACTAGCTGGTTAATCTATTTGTTTTTGTGTTTTTTTGAAGAATAAAAAAAAACTACATACAAAATGGATGCTTTTTTTGAAGGTTCCAAGTACATACGCTTCTTCGATCACGTTTCCTTGTTACTTTATTTCTTGTATAACAATGAAATTTTCAGTAATTTCTCTATATCAGATTTAAAAATTGGGTGTGAATCGATTACTTACTATGATTTCGGAGTCCTTTAAAACTATCTCCTAGGGCAAACTAATTAAATACGTTTTTTTTCGATACTTTGACTGTAATTTTATGCTGTAATTTTGATTGTTCCTTTAAGTAATAATAAATAGTGTCAATGAAAAACTGTCAGATCTGTGAAAAGCGTTTACATACCAAATCATCATTTTCACCTGATATAACGGTAGAATAAGAATGTTTTTTTGTTTACCATTCTCTGTTATTCTTATACGACCATATGACCGATGATCGAAGTTGCTAACAACAAACTGCATACTTGATCAATACGCTATAAAGAGACTGAACCAGATATCTGATTGACAAGCAATAACAGGAAACCACAGCATATGCTTGACCATACATTATTCAACGCAATTACAAGCAGTTACGTTAGATGTGTTCCGAACGGAAATCAATGATTGAATGCAACTCTCATGTTTAATATATATGGTCAGCTGTGATTGTCAGTCTTAGACCTGTGGCAAATCATATCTTACTTCCACCAGCCAGACACCACCTTCATTTTATACTTTTGCGGAACTACTATGCAGAAGTAAAAAATACCATGTCGTTTAACTTTAATGAAACTACTACTAAAAATTACCAATATGCATTTACTGAGAAGTATAAAGTAAGATGAAATCAGTTCCATTTTATGACCTGGTGCAGTCAGAATGACCTAAATAAGTGATTTGATCACAAATAAAAACAGTAACTAAGCGCCTACGATCAAACGATCCACTCACATGGGTATGTTTAATAATGAATCATAATAAACGATGGTTCTATTTGTAAGCATTTGTAATTTCCCGTTGCTAACATTATGCACTACAAATGATTATCATGAAGCCAACGATTCTAGTGCTCAAAACTCTGTCCCAGGTCTACTGAAACCTCGCTCCAAACTACACATTGGAGCTTTCAACGTACGCACTCTATGTCAAATCGGTCAACAGGCTTCCTTGGCTAAAACCCTAGAGTCTCTTACCATTGATGTATGCTGTGTCTCTGAAACACGCATACAGGATCCCAGTGTGGTCATTCACTTGACCTCACCTCGGCAGAACGGAGAGCCAACGAGATACACCCTTCGTGTATCTGGTGACCCGATGGCCAGTTCTCGTGGACTGGCAGGTGTAGGCATAGCACTAAGCATGAGGGCGGAACAAGCACTGCTAGAGTGGATCCCCGTCAACAGTCGTCTATGTGCTGTTCGGCTGAACGGCTGCGTAAGAACTCGGAAGGATAGGGACACACGTCGTTGCCTTTTTGTCGTTTCTGTCTACGCTCCCACTGACTGCAGCTCAGATGAAGTGAAAGATGAATTTTACAGAAAGCTTTCTGAACTTCTTCAGAAAGCTAAACGCTCAGACATAGTACTCGTAGCAGGTGATTTTAATGCTCAGATAGGTAGCTTAAACCAAACAGAAAGGCATTTAGGTGGATATTTTAGTATTCCGACACAGCGAACAGATAATGGTGATCGTCTGCTGCAGCTATGCTCAGACAATCGTTTATTTTTAGCAAACACAAATTTTAAGCATAAGGAGAGACATCGTCTAACATGGCGACCCCCTACACCAAACCAACGATGGACTCAAATAGACCATATTGCCATCAGTCATCGTTGGAGAGGGTCGGTAGAAGATTGTCGCTCATTCTGGAGTACCTGCTTGGATTCCGACCATGCCCTAATACGGGCACGCATCTGCTTGCGCCTCACTGGACGCAAAAAAGTCACATTAAAAAGACCCGTTAGAACTGAGTTGAGTAACGAGAAAACCAAAAGTAGGTTCCAGGAACAACTGAGGTCACACTTAGGTAGTTGTGAAGACGAGGCTGACCCAGATGTTGCTTGGAAGGGCATACAATCAGCTGTGGAAACAGCAGTGACATCTATTAGTGACTTAAACCACAGAGTTGCAAGGAACCAGTGGATTTCTTCAAGGTCTGTCACACTGATGGATTCTCGCAAAGTCGTCTCATCAGGTTCTGAACATGATGAAGAGCGAAAACAAATCAGATCTAGGTTAAGAAAAAGTCTAAGGAACGACCGTGAGCAGTGGTGGGTAACGAAAGCAAAAGAGATGGAAAAGGCGGCGACTATAGGAAACACAAGACAGCTTTACAGACTAATAAAAGAAACTGGAATTAATAAGTCAAGTGTAAGTGAGATTATTTCGGAAAAAGATAATACTCTCATCTGCTCCCAGTCCAGACGTTTAGAACGATGGGCGGAACATTTTAGAGAACAGTTCAGCTGGCCTTCAGCTACTCTACAACTACCCTCCATTCCCAGACAATGTGAATGGAACATTGAAGTAGGTCCCCCAACTCTTGCTGAAGTTCAAAAGGCTATAGTTAATCTGAAACGAGGAAGGGCAGCTGGTCCAGATGGATTGGCTCCAGAGGTCTTTAAGGATGGTGGTCCAATTTTAGCGATTAGGTTGACTAATATTTTAGCTAAGATCTGGGAATTAGACTTTATCCCATCTGACTGGTCGCAATCACTTATCGTCCCAATATATAAGAAAGGGTCAAAATCATCCTGTGACAACCACAGAGGGATTAGTTTAACAAACATAGTATCTAAAATACTGGCCTCGATAATTATCAGACGTCTAACTAAGACTCGTGAACTACAAACTCGAGAGAACCAAGCTGGCTTTAGACCTGGTCGTGGCTGCATCGACCACATATTCACCATTCGTCAGGTTCTAGAACACAGGCATACCTATCGGCGTCCGACGATGGTGGTATTTCTCGACTTAAAAGCAGAGTTTGACTCTGTAGACCGCGAGACTCTGTGGCAGTGTCTGTCATTGAAAGGCGTACCTCAGAAGTACATAAACCTTGTGAAGGCTCTTTACTCGAACACTACTAGTCGAGTCAGGGCTTATGGCGAACTGTCATCTACTTTTGCAACCTCAAGTGGTGTCCGTCAAGGCTGTCCACTTTCTCCATTTCTGTTTAACTTCATCATAGACCTATTGATGGAAATAACACTCTCGTCGACTGAATTCTCGGGTATTGATCTCCTTCCAGGAGGTCCACTTATCGACTTAGAATACGCAGATGACATAGTCCTGTTTGGTGAAGACGCTGACAAAATGCAGAGTCTTCTGGTAGCACTAAGCAACAATGCCAGAATGTTTGGGATGCGCTTCTCTCCCTCTAAATGCAAGTTGTTGCTTCAGGACTGGTCTGCATCAACACCTAAACTAAGGATAGGGAGTGAAGTAGTCGAACGCGTTGACAACTTCACTTATCTTGGAAGTCTGATCAGCCCTAATGGGTTGGTGTCTGACGAAATCTCAGCACGGATTCGAAAAGCTCGCTTGGCTTTTGCCAACTTACGTCACCTTTGGCGAAGGCGAGATATCCGTCTATCAATAAAAGGACGAGTATACTGCGCGGCAGTCCGTTCTGTCTTACTTTACGGCAGCGAAACATGGCCTTTAAGAGTAGAAGACACCCGTAAGCTACAAGTATTTGACCACAGATGCCTTAGAAATATTGCTGGCATCTGCTGGGATCACCGGGTAAGTAATAGTGAGGTTAGAAGCAGGGTATTAGGGAATGATGGTAAATCAGTTGATGAGGTTATCAATCTTCATCGACTGAGATGGTTGGGCCACGTATTACGTATGCCTGAACACCGATTACCACGACGTGCAATGCTAACCGGTGTAGGGGATGGTTGGAAAAAAGTTAGGGGCGGCCAAACCAAAACGTGGCATCAGTGCTTGAAGTCACTAACTTCTAGTCTTAGCCATGTTGGTAGATGCAGACTACTTGGTTGGGGTCCGCGTGACTTTCGTAACCAATGGTTGGAGACTCTTGGTGACATGGCTCAGAATCGATCACAATGGCGTCGGTGTATACACTCCCTGTCTTCCCTTAAACTAAGAGATTAAAATCACTTCATATCTTTCTTTCTACGAACTAATTCTTCCTTCCTATACTATATCCTTATTGCAACCTTTGACCTAACCACTCCTATGAATCCGGTGTTCATCTTGTTGTGCTAATGAGGTATGGCAACCTGGACCGATGCACATATGTGCCTGGTCCTACGTTGTAGCTGACTGACTGACTGACTGACTGATCATGAAGAGACTAATCAATCCTGACCGTTGCTGTTGCCTTGACGTGGTGGTCAAGCTTGCTTATTGTGGTGAACCGACAGGGTAATACTGGCTGGAACGTTCGTTCATCAATGTTTTATCATGCAAGACAGGTTGTTTGAAGAGCGATAAGACTAAAAGCAGCAAACCCAAAGTCCGAGGGCGAAGTCGTACTGCTGACTGTACAGAGGGGTGATGGCAGTAAACGATGCTTCCTTCATACAATACGCATAACAGCGATACTGCATTTCCACAAAGGAATGGTGGGTTAGAAGAGGTCCACACTAAAAATGCACACCTCGACTTATCCAGCAGATATCGGTCTGTGGCGGTAAGGTTCAAAAGAGCACATAGCTAACGCAAAAATTACTCACAAAAAGATCGTGTGTAACTGGCCTCAATCAGTTGTCCCTTGGGTATTGCAGTCACGCTTTCAGGTCACTAAACCACTCTGAACCCGATTTCCCTTTCAGGTACCTCGAGAAGAACCCTTTCATGGTTTGGGTGACAGGGACGTGATAACCACCCTCATACATCTAAAAGGACTCATGATCAATTTCCCTTCTCAACTTCTATTATTCCTCCTACCTAGACTACCAACTATGAACCTCCTCCTCAATTATCACCATGGCCAACGATTCTAGTGCACGAAATACTGTTTTAAATCTACTGAAACCTCGCTCCAAACTACACATTGTAGCATTCAATGTACGTAACCTATGTCAAATCGGCCAGCAGGCCTCCTTAGCTTAGACCCTAGAATCTCGTATCATTGATGTATGCTGTGTCCCCGAAACACACATATACGATCCTAGTGTGACCGTTCCCTTAACATCACCTAGCGTCCGTTTATCTAGCGACTTGCTGGCTAGTTCTCGTGGACTGGCTAGTGTAGGCATAGCACCAAGTATGAGGGCAGAACAAGCACTATTAGAATGGATTCCTGTTAACAGTTGCCCGCATTGTTCGGCTAAACTCAGAAGGGTAGGGACATAAGTCGGTGACTTTTTGTCGTTTCTGCCTACAGCCCGGATGAAGTGAAAGATGACTTTTAGAGAAAGCTTTCTGAACTTCATGAAACTAAATGCTAGGACATAGTACTCGTAGCAGATTACTTTAATGCCCAAGTAGGTAGCTTAAGCCTAACAGAAAGACATTTAGGTGGGAATTTTGGTATTCCTACTCAGCGAACGAGTAATGTTGAGTGTTTGCTTGCAACCGTGCTAAGATATTCGTTAATTCTTAATAGGCACTAATTTTAAGTATAAGGAAAGACATCGTCTAACATGGCGACCCCTTGCACCAAACCAAAGATGAACTCAAATAAACCATATTGCCATCAATCATCATTAAGGTGGCTCAGTAGAAGACTGCCACTCGTTCTGAAATACATGTTTGAACTCTGATCATGCTCTAAAACGCGCACGCAGTTGCTTGTGCCTCACTGGACACAAAAAAGCAACATTAGGAAGACCTATTAAAATTGAAATGAAAGACGAAAAAATCAAAGGTAAATTCCAAAAACAACTGAATTCAGACCTAGGCCATTTTGAAAACGAGGCTGACCTAGATGTTGCTTGAAAGACATACGAACAGCTGTGGAAACAGCAGCAAAATCTATCAGTGATTTGAACAAGAAAGTAAAAAAATCAGCAGATTTTTGAGACAACTATTGCAATGACAGGCTCTCGTAAGCTTTCCCCATTAAGTCCCGAACACGGTAACAAGCGAAAACAAACCAGATCTAGGATAACCAAAATTCTAAGGAACGATCGTGAGCAGTGGTTGGCAACGAGAGAAAAAGAAATAAAAAAGGTGGCAACTATGGGTAACGCAAGATAGCTTTTCCGGAGAATAAAAGAAACTGTTCTCATTGACTGACTGTTCGAGAACCGATCACCTATCAGGATTTCCTCCTATGGACTTAGAATACGCAGATAACATAGTCCTGTTTGGTGAAGACGCCAATAAAATGCATCCTTTTGATAGCACTGACAAGCAATGCCAGGATGCTTAGAATGCGTTTCTCCTCCTCCAAATGAAAATTGTTGAGACAGGACTGGTCTGCGCAAGTGCCTGAACCAAGGATAGGGATCGAATCAGTTGAACGCGTCGACAACACTTATCTTAGAAGTATGATCAATCATAATAGGTTGGCGTCTGACAAAATCTCTTCACGGATTGAAAAAGCTCGTTTATAGCTTTACAGCTTTCTTTCTACGAACTACTTATTTTCTCCTGTATTATATCCTTATACACAATTTTCCTATTATATATTAATACCATTGAAGTAACTGCTTCAATGAATTTGACGTTCATTTTGTTGTGCTAATGAGGTATGGCAACTTCGACAGTTGTATATATGTGCCCGATCCAACGTTGTAGATAATTGACCGACTGACTAACCCTTAAACCCCCATAGATAAACTGTATTACTAACGTTGTACAAGCTAATGACTGAGTTCAGTAGATCAGGAGATACCATATCGTTGTTTAAAGTTAAAGGTATTAAGTTTAAGTCTCAGTATGAACATGAACACCGAGATGCAGCTGCATTTAACTGACTAGCCCCAAAAACGGCTAAACCTCCTTCATGTGTTTCCCTACTATCCACTAAGAAACTTCAACAATAAAGGAGTTGTTTTATTTTCTTTTTCTTACCTCATTTGAAATCATTTCTCGTACTGGGCTTAATACTTCATCGTTCGGTTTCACAACTGTTATCAGCACTTCGAGCCAATGCACATATGGACGGGTTTTTTGGAGAAAAAAACAAAGTTTTCTAATGGTTGGACGGTCAATCATCATGCACAATTCCGTATTGTCTTTTAGCATCCACAAGCAGACTTCAGCATCATCAGTCTATGAAAAAACCATGAAATAAGCGAACACCGTATAAGTACCATAAGATGGTGTTTCAAAAGTAAGATTATTTTCTCATAATTGATGATTATTGAGGTATTAAGCACTTAAAATACATCAACTTCACAGTTCTGAAGCAAATTGTAATGATTGAAGATAAAGACTGGACTGGAAATAGTTTGAGCACCATATCAGAAGTGTTTTTTAATCCAGTATGAGGAATTATGAATGTTAATCAATAGTTTGCCATTGGGAAGACCCAGATTATTCTTCTAAAAAAGCCCAGAGTGGTCATAAAAACTCTGGGAAACATTTTATCCAACCAGCATTGAATAGTGGTTTCTCAGAAACATCAAGAAAATAGAAAGTCACGTGTCACGCTTCTGATTGCATAATCACTATCCTGTTATCATGATTAGTAGGGTTCCAGAACCTCCTAGAAGCCCTAAACCATCTGAAATGCTATAAATACCCTCAATTTCGTGTGCATAAATAAACTTTGGAGTAAAACATTCCTTTCATACATTGCGTCTTTTCTCTCATGTCCAAGTTGTCGTGTAGATTTAGCCTAGGGTTATTAGAAGAGCTAAGGAAATCGATTCAAGCGTTCAGTTAGAATATTTATCAGATGCAAACTTTTTATATACGCCCCTGAATAGGTTGTGCGACTAACATACAAATTGGTGTGTAAAGATAAACAAAACAGGATAAATCATTGAAATAACTGGATGGTAATAGGAACACGTAACCCAGATGCACAAGTCCACATCCTGTAAAAGCAACCATTTCTTGGGATATTTTTGAAGATTGATCACTTTGAAAACAATTTGAGGCATAAAATAGCATTAACTAATCAACCATTTTATATCAAAGAATGGCAAAATAGCTATTTCGTTTTAGCATCTGTTTTCAGAGCGCTGAACACCCACTACCTCATTGGGATTTGATACCCAATAGGTTCATTAAGTGTGTATACTGCACACTCTCTAGGTCAAAAAGTTTCCCTATTTCACTTGTTACGTATAAACCACACTAAAGAGTTACATGAATACAAAAGTATTAACTTTTTTCATTTCTGCTTTAATAGTTTGTTGTTGACAATAGATTCTTACTTTCTTTATATCTAGAACTAAATTCAACTTTTGATAGCATGCTGTGGCATAAATGTAGTGGTTAAAGCGCTTGACCTTCAACAGGACGTTGGAAGAAAGCTGAGTGCGATCAGATATAAGGTGACATCAGTCAGTGAAGCTATTGACTGTTAGACTGAGCTGAATTTGAAGAATTAAACTGCCTGGTTGAAGTCGACGTGATCATCTTAATCGATGATTCAATACGTTATTTGATGTGGCTTACAAACGGTTACAATAGCGTAGATTCATTTGCTCTCGATGTTCTATTAGATATTGTTTTAAACTTATCTTATACCTTTTGGTCTGAGAAATAATACATTCATCTGAAAACATATTGTGTAGACTTGATATCCTTATACGACCAATGATACTGTTACTACCTTTACTGCTCTGGCACATGACTTGATATTTAAATTTAATTGTTCTGCTATAGTATGGTAACTTGAGCTGATGTGTATGTCTCAAGTTCTACGTTACTTATGACTGACTGATAAGCTAATGGGGTTTAAGCAACCAATTAAGATTATTAATCCGCCTGGAATAAATGTTTGGCTTAAGTCAAATTACATAAACCTGTAATTAGTAATATGAGTTAAGTGACATTGAAAAACAACAAATAAATAAATAACCTACTTCAGTTGTGATGAATTTATCAAGATATGGATATAATAATTTTTGGTTTATCTCATTGTTGTAACAAAATAAACATAAAATATATTTCGTCAAATGAACAATCTCATTGAATACAACATCGGTACACTAATTGTTTTTGAAAAAGAGAAACAAACAAACAAAAGAAACATGAGAAATGTGAAATACGTTGGTTATAGTGTGAAATTCAAACTTTTATCACACAAGAAACATTCAAAACATTTAAAACAATAGTTGATATATGCAATTCTATAATAATAGTTACCATATATTTTTACTCGATATAAGGTTGACTACCTCCAACCACCATCTTATCTCAACATAGTGCATGCAATGTCGAGTTACCTAGACTAGTAGCCACATTGCAACTTGGTCGATAGCATTCGATTTGCACTAAGAATGACTTGACACACATGAAATTGATCACCACCCATTGATCAATCAATTGTGATTACATTCCAGTCGTACAGGAGGTCGGTCGCGGCCTGGATAGCCCAGTAGTAACGTCTCTGACTGTGAAGCTGGGTAACTCGGGATCGAATCCGTCAGGGAGCACCAGTTCCCTCAAGATTACAGGTACACCTTGTTGACGAGTGCCAAGTAGCACGAAACCTAGGTCGAGGGTTTCCTGTTGACTAGCTCCAACCACCATCATATCTCAATAAACATCTATTAGCTGAATAAAATATGAATCATAGGTTTGCCTCTTGGTATCCAACCCGACGTTATGGTAACTAGACAAAACTTCACAATTTGTTTCATGTTTGAGTCAGATTCACCAATTATCGATAGAACTGATTTGTGCACAAAATTCGTTATCTAAGTCATATTATGTTACAATCGTCTAGAAGGACCACTTTCAATGAATTAAACTGTCGATATAGTGAAAGGATTTAATGGTTGTTACATACGAGAATTGTTATAAAGTGACTGTGATTAATTTACTACTACAAATATTCAAGAGTAGAGACATTATAAGCTCGACGATTCACCCTAAATGAGCTTCATTAATACTGAAATTCATCATTAAGAATAACACGGAACATAGAGATAGTGTTGAATATGTGCAGTTCAATTCCAGTATTAAAAGAGTAACAAACTATACTGTTTTTTAGACAGATAAGGTAATCATGATTCTTGTAGGGAATGTCCTCGGATCAGGTTAAAAGCATTCACGCTGATAAAAACACAGAAATATAACATACGTTGTACATTTAAAAAAGTGAACATAAAAGAAACACATATCTAGTTCCAAACGTTTTGAAATTCCAACCTTGCCATCTACAATCAGTAACAGTTGAGTCTTAAAATGTCAAAGACCTCATCAACTTCACTATTCGAGCCAGAAATGAATTTTTTCATGGACTGGCATCACGGTGTGATAAAACAAATTGTATGCCTTGGATAAAATTGCTCATCGGAGTGTGCTGTTGTTGAGCGCAAAATATGGCTGAGACTAGTATACATAACAGTGAAAAAAAACATTTTAGGTCTCTATCAAAAATATTCAAAAACTTCTAATCGTTTCACTTAATAAAGAAACTGCTTTTTCGTTTGTCACAGTCTCCTGATCAATTTTTTACGGACATAGTTCTTATATGGATGATGATGAACATAATGAACGGATATTCTTGTTCTTAGAATATGTAAAATACAACAAAACTCACTTTGAATCGAATATTCAATAATTCTTTCAGTATAGTATGCACTCCTAAATGACGTAAAAGTTGTTGTATTTGTTCAAACGGAAATGATGATGACGATGATGATTTATCCATAGTTCTAAGTATTCCATTATTTATTTGTGTACTGATTTCAGTACTAAGAACATCCATGACATTATTTGATTTCTGTTTTATGATTGGAGTCAATAAATCATTATGTTCTAATTGACATAAAGATATTATATGACAAAGTATCTACATTTAAATACGGAAATGTAAGGAGAAAAAGAGACAGAATCAACAGAACAAATATATTTGCAAGAAAAGAAAACAACAACAATACAACAACAGTACATAGCCAGTCGTACATTTTGAATTCACTTAAACAAAACTGAAATGAAAAAGACAAGTTGGTTGATCTAAAAGGAGTTCAGGGATTTCTAATATATATATATATATATATATATCGGTAAAGCAAGAGCAGCATATTTACAATTGACGAACATCTCCAACTCAAAATAACTGTCAACCAACGCAAAGGTCAGAATTTTCAATAAAAATGTCAACACAGTCCTACTGTATAGGGTGGAAACTCGGTGAACTATGAAAGCAGTCATCCACAAGATACAAGTGTTTATTAACAGTTGTCTACACAAAATACTTCGGATCGGTTGGCCAGACACCATCAGCAATAACCTACTGTATGAGAGAACAAACCAGATTCCAGTCAAGGAAGAAATCAAGAAGAAGCGATTGAAGTGGATAGGATACACATTGAGGAAAGCACACATCTGCGTCACAAGGCAAGCCCTCACTTGGAATCATGAAGGCCGAAGGAGGAGAGAGAGACCAAGGAAAACATTCCGTCGAGAAATGGAGACAGACATGAGAAGAATGAACAGAACTTGAATAAAACAGGACAGGATGGGTTGGAGAATGCTAGTCGGCAGCCTATGCTCCATTGGGAGTAACAGGCGTATGTATATAACACCTTATTTAAAGTTTGGTTTTTTTTTGAAATATTTTCCTTCAGCATTCAAATTTTAAAAGTGTAAGAATTAACCTACTGAGGAATTTTAACCAACTAAAACTCGTATTTAATATTTTTCCGATGGTGAACAAAAGAAATTTAACTGGATATGTGAATTAATAATAATAGTCTTTACTTATATTCATACATCATGATGTGTGTCAGTAAAGTAACCATGGACATAGGGGAAGTTTCTAATCTTAATCAAATGAGAGGAATATAAGTAGTGATATTTGAACAACTGAAAAAAAGAATGCTACTTTATTTTGATGTGATGACTTGGATATTTTATTTAATTCAGTGTTTAATTAGACCTTTCATTTATTTGGTAATCATGGATGGATATTATACACCTAAGTTGTTGTCAAAATGTTTATAAGAGTTTAAATTTATAAAATGTATATTCATGAACATGCGTGTACCGATATCATCGATTTGGGTAGTCCTAATATCAAGAATCAGATCAAGTTGACTAGGTGATTAGATTATGTCATGAATAAAAATTGTTGAAACTGATAAAATGGGATTTTTAGATGTGCTAATTACATCTATCGGGTTACTAACCGAATATTTCTGTGTTGAATATTATCTAGCCAATCAAATCGAAATAATTGAAGATGACTTTGAACATTCAACCATAAAGACATAATTTACAGTGAAATTGTATTTGTTTGTTTGTTTTTATTTATCAAAATATACACATGATGAATTATTGAATCAGTTTAACTTACATCTTTAACCAAAGCATAATTATTTATACAACTACATGGAGTGTAAATCTATCAAATAAATATTTTGAAAAAAATTTATTAACATTACAATTTAGTGTTTTATATTTATTTAGAAATACAAATTACATTGATGGTCATTTATATCACATGTTTTTTCAATAGTTTTATTACATCAGAAAGTATTTTGTGGATATTATAGTCCATTGAAACCTGACTATCTTGAAAAACCTAAAAGCACTGTCCTCAAAAGTGTACACCCACGATCCCACCTACCCCCCTTCGAGATTCGAGCCTAAGACCTATCGGTCCCGTACACGAACGCTTAACCTCTAGATCACTCAACCGGCATGTAACAGTGTTAATGTCTAATATCAGTAAACTTGAATCATGTTCATCACTAAGACGATATTGATTTTTATTTTATGTACTCCAACAATATGGTTAAAATAAGACATAACGATCTTTTTTGTTTTGTTTACATGACCTTATTTACTCTTTACGTCACTATGACACTGAATATGATAGGAAACATTGATTCTGATTTTGATTACATTTTGTACTATGGTTTATTTACGTCATCCAAATGTATCTTAAAAAATTATAATAAGACTTTTGTCTTAATCATACAAAAATGCTATTGAGTTCATTTGTTTTCATTTACAAAATAATTGACTTGATTTTTATTATTTTAATGTTATAGATTTAATGAATATATACTCTAATAAATAAATCCTATAAATGCATTTTATGCTTGGTTTGATAGAATCAATGCAACTCCTTGTGTATGTGAAGCATTTTCTTCTTCATGGCCGGAGTATAACAGAAGCTACACTGAAGCTAGTTGTTGTTGTTGTTGTTGTCCAACCTGCATCTAATGTATTTCACTGATTCCAAGCACCATTAAGTTGTATCTCCTCATTTCTTCAGTAAGTTGTAAGATTCTCCTGGTCTCCTACATTGTACGAGCATTCCATGTACTTTAATAAATGATTGTTCTGGTTATCAAAAAAGGCATCAGACTCGTGACTTCCTAAGGAACTCGGATTTCACCATGAGGAGTTATAACTCTTCTAAATGAAGACCTTCTGACTCCCAGAGCAAATTTTGAATGGTATGAATAATTTTTTCTAGCTAGCGTCTTTTTAGCAAGTTAGCTTTCTAGGAAATGGGACCCGTAGTAGCCTTAGAGGGCCTTCAGGAGGACTGAAATATTTCTAGAATGGATGTTTTTGAAAAACACACTGTATATTCTTACTATCCTATTCCTCTTTGTATCTGTATAATAAATTTTTTTTTCTGATTTACATTGGAAATCAGTAATATATTGAATGTGAATAGTGAATTTATGTTAATATTGATTTATACACGATGCTTTATGCCTTCTTTGTCATCAATTATTCATATTTAGAAAGTAATTAATGTATCTTAAACAATTATACTGCTTAAAATAATCTAATCTAAATAGAATTTCAATATTAATAATAGTATTAAAGATTCCCATTGTGAAAATTAGAACAACACATATAAGCGAACAATTGTTTTCGATTAGGTCATCATCAGACTTTACTCTAATTTACATGAATATTGATACAAAAATGTTAAACTAATCAAGGCAATATGAGTCAATAATCTTGACATATCTCATTGATAGCGGTCATGCTGTAGATAAGTCGAAATCATTTCGAGTGATCTATCGTATACCTCCATCATGTCCCAACGGAGTTCGTTCCCGCCTCTTACATATAGTTGAAGCCATAGGAATTCGTACATATAACCCCAACTTATGTGTACAGAAGAAATTTGTGACCTCTCTATCCCTTTCATGTCCAGTTATAACTTAACAAACGACTTTTATTTTATTTCGTTATCATTAACCTTTTTTTTCACATCTAGTATTTGTTTGTAGTCTTCACTACCTAGTTATTTACACACTTCTTATTGCGTAATGATTTTAATGTTTTGTGTTGACTATTCCAAGTCTATTTACCCACGTTTGTTTGACCTTCTGTTTCCAATGTTGAACTATTGATAAGACTTTTGTTATCGTATTTTACTACTATCTTACTACTATCAATATACCTGTCTTCCTACTATCAATTTGTATTTTTACTTATTATGTGTGGTGACCTATTCTATTTCATTGTGATTATTGACCCATATTACCTTGATTGGTTTAATATTTTCGTATCAATATTCATGTATAGTAGAGTGAAGCCTGATTCCGATCGAACTGATAAACAATTGCTCGCTTACATGTGTTGTTCTAATTCATAATAGTAACAAAATAATAAGTCTTACTTGAATATTATTATTATTAATTGAATTAGTCATACAACTTTTATCATGCATCCATAATTCAGATTTTTCAATTAAACAACGTAATGTATCTAAATGTTGTTTAAGTTGACGATAAATTTTTATTCCTGTATCTGATACTAAAAGTTGTACCTAAAATATTAAATAAACAAAAATAAATAATCAGATGGGGTTTTGTGGAGATTTTAGAAATTTCACTGGTTGAAATCATGAATCAATTGAAGCTAGACCACCATGGAAAACCTGCAAGCACTAGACGGCTGGTTCGTTCTAGTATGGGACTCCTCAGCAGTGCGTATCCACGATCCCGCACCCCGCGAGATTCGAACCCAGGACCTATCAGTCTCGCGCCAGGCGCTTAACCAACTAGAACACTGAGCCGGCATCCAAATAAATAAATAAATGTATTTATTGATTAATTACCTGTTTTAATTTATTGATTAATTCTTCTTGTTGACTAAAATGTCGAAATAATAATTGTAATGATTTTAATTTTAATTCAACATTAGTTGATATACATAAACGAGCCAATACACCAATTAATAATTGACCATTATAACCATCTATATTAAGAATAGTTAATTTGTTCTCTGGTGAATTCTGTCTTGATAATTCATTAGTTTCAAGATTTTGTGATGGATTGCTTGAAAATAGATACATTAAATAAAAACTTATTACGGGGAAATTATCGAATTTTTCAATGTTTAGCTTATTATATAATTAAAAGAAATCGTTGTTTATAGTGGTATCTCAAGCAATAATTTTGATTTATATCGTCAAATACTTGTAAATTCATGCATTTACAGCCAAATTTATGTTTAATGGACAAAAATGTACTTACCGCGCATCATTGTCTTCTGTGAGCTGATATCTCACAACAGGTCTGGTTGAACTCCACTGGTCATGGCTTCTCACTAGAACTCCAGGAAATATCTCTTGAAGTCCGTCACTAGTGTGCAGATGATTATTATCAGAGGGGGTTTTGTGGATATTGTAGTAATTTCAATAGTTGAGATCATGAGTCAATTGAAGCTAGACCACTATGGAAAACCTGGAAGGTCTGTTGCGAGATATCAGCTCACTGAAGACAATGGTGTACGGTGGCTCAATTTCGTAGATTGCCTGAAGTTAGACATTAACACCGTTGGATGCTGACCGGCTCGGTGGTCTAATGGTCAAGCGCTTGCGCACGAGACTGACGGGTCTTGAGTTCGAACCACACGAGTTGCGGGATCGTGGGTGCGCACTGCTGAGGAGTTCCACTTTAGAACGAAACGGCCGTCCAGTGCTTCAATGTTTTCCATGTTGATCTCGCTTCAAGTGACTACTGATTTCAACTACTGAGATGACTAAAATCTCCACAAAACCCCTTCGGATAAAATTTAATTAATTAAAGTGTACCATTTTGCTATTCTTCTGTTAGATGTCTAAAAAAACATTCAATCAATCCCTTCCGTTTTTTCTACATAGCTTGTAAATAATGAAGAATAATGAACTGTTGATTAGTTAGTGGTTGTCTTCAATAATTAATGAATAAGAAACTATCTTAGATTAGCTTCTACATTTTTCGTTTAAATGAAATGACAAACATTTTGGAACAAAATAATTTGAAGTGCATACATGCGTTCTCCTTTTTTTTGAAGACAGTGCAATAAATCATCATTGTTTTAGACAGCCTTTCATCATACATAACTAGTCACATGAATTAACCTAACTGATATGTAATAAAGAAATAATGCCTATACGATAACTAAGGGCGGCCAGCTTGAGCATTTGGGCTACCTGTTCCTGCCATCTAGATATTTCAACAAGTTATCTATTGTTGTTTGTTTTAATATATCATTATGCTTATTAATCGCATGACCTATTCTGCTGCGTTTCTGAAAAGTGTACAACCTTTCGTTGTCAAAGTTACAGAAAACTCAATAAGAGACAATATGTTTGCTGGCTATGTACAACGAAAAGAATGTACATTATTCAGATATTCATTCAGTGAAGTGCTAACATCTAACTGGCAATCCCTCAATATTTATCGTCAGGACCGACCAAGAAGAAAGAAACGGAAACTTGTTGAAATACTTTGTGCTGAAAATTCTATATTGTGCCAAAAATATAATATTGAATAAACCAGATAATAATAATAATAATAAATAATAATAATAATAACAGATTAATTAAGATAACACTACCACAAAATACTGATTTTCTTCCTCAAGTTAACAAATAAATACAAATTCTCCTCTCATAAATAATCTCTGTATTATTTCACATCTAATGAGTCCTAACTAATGTTTGGTATGAAATAATGTTTGTTATGTCACTTGTTATTTCTATTTAAATAGCTCGGTGATAATCTAGTGTTTTTTTTAACCGATTTAGAATTGCCTAACATTACTACTAACTTATAAAATACGTAATCAGTTTAATAAATAATATCCATTTGACCGAAATATACATTTACATGAGTTCAAAAGATGAACAGTATAAATTTATCTTTATTGTCGAAGATGTTTTCAAACTTGTTTACACTAACAATATGTTCATATGAGACACTAATAAATATCTTTTTTTTGTTGAAAATAATATAATTCTCTGAATGTTCACTTACTTTAAAGGAAACAATGTTAAAAGCTGATTTCTAATTTCATTTGATAATTCTGTGAAGAAGATTAAAAAACGAAAATGATTATCACATTCCCTTTACGCTATTTTGTCGTTTGAATAGTATCAACTATATGTAATGCTAATAAACATTATTATGATGAAAAGTTCAAATGATTAAATAATTTAATCAATCAAACCCTATTGACATACAGCCCCTAAATGCTCTGATACAGCCGAGAGTAAGGAGAGTCAACTCTCCCTCTCCAACAGCTCTCACATGGCCACGTGCAGACAACCACTGCCAACGAAGTCCTTCTCACTGCCTTTTCGCGCCATGGGGGTTGTTTACGAAATTGAGGGGACGAACAGCGAATATCCGGCACTTTAACCGGGGTGATGGATACGAAGAGGCCACCTGGGAGGGAGGTTGGAAAACCTTGATTCCAAACCAATGGTGCACATGGACTCATGTATCCTAAGGGAACAAATGATGTTGGTCACCGGCTGCCATGGGACTGTATCTCCTTACGTTGCCCTACTACCTTGTGGATTAGACCTTTAGTTTAAAGACTCTGGGTGTGGCCCCCTTAGAAAACCACCTGCTTCGGTTTGAGCACCCGGGCATTATCCCATCTCTCATACAAATCGAGTGATTTCTGCGGCGCATATCTATTTGGTGCCTTCTTGCACCTATGTTTATGTGTTTAACTAAATAAATAAACTGACATATAGACGCTTTTCATAACGTTAAACACATTAGTAAACTTATAAAAACGTTCTTCTGTTGGTGTTGTTGTTAAATGCAACAAACATTCACTGAGCGTCCAGAATTATAATCTTAAAAAACTAATACACAAATGATAACTCCAGTTCACCAGTTGTCTGTAATATACTGTTAGGATAGTCGGAAAAATATACCAATAATTATCGTGTTAAGTCTATGGTGTCCTTGGACCTTAAATGTACATTTCCTACTGGTCGATGTTTATTTCACTTGTTAAATATTTTGTAAATGTTGTTTCCTATTTTATGGTACGATGTGGTATGCTTGATTGGTATATAAACAAAGTATGTTTGAAATATAATGATTCATAACTCAGAGGCTGTGACTTGCGTTATTGACTCAACTGGCTGGGACAGACAGCGAAGCAGTGCCAATCAGGGCACTAGGTCGTCCACTACGTGTTTACGTGTCCACTGCCACTGTAACCGATCGATAAATAAACGCTGCTTATCAAAACCTGCAGTCACCCGTTACAACATATACATTTTTCTTTTTTTTAAAAAAACAAACAAATAACTAATGAAATTATTCAATCATCGTTATCTATCTTACACTACTGAATATGTCATCATCAACATACTTAATATTGAAATTGTTGAAAAAAGAGTGAGATATTAAAAAAAAGAAAATAAAAAAGAGAAAGATGTAATCAAGACAATTATTCATTAATATTAAATAAATTGTTTAGATACGCGTGTTTTGTTGCAAAGATACATAATGGGTGATATGAAACTCATTTTCTTAAAATGGTATTATGTGTTTTTTTAATAACATCGACATACATATTGAAATCAATCCAATTTATCAACCAATCAGGAAAACCATGCATAAATATGGCAACAAAAATCAAACCAGTGGGAGACACAACCAAAACAAAGAAGTGAACAATGAAAAATTTAAGGTCAATAAGAACCAATCAACATCGAGGTGCACAGAACAAGCTGTGAAACACATATGGAGAAATTCGAACACTTCACTTCTATCTGAAGTTTGTGCTGATGATGTCGTTCAGAAGAACAATGAAAGCTCCACGACCAAACCATCCAGCTCAGAGAACAAAACTCCATCAAAATCATCCACCTGAGCTACAAATCTTCTCCACCATCTCAACATCGACATACGTTAGCTCTGTTGTTTTATTTATTATTACTACGTTATCTAAAATTATATACGAATAGTTGGCAACTAGATTACTTGTTTCCTATTTCTATTTTCTTTTTCAAGGCATAGCGACTAATTTCTATGAATTTTATACAATTGCTTCCCTTTATGAATTTAAATAAAGCCAGAACAAATATTGGGGACACTATCAACATTTTGCACGCTTTTAAATTCATCAACAGACAAAGAAGTACAGCTGCTATTCGTTTTGCTGAAGCGATCGCGATAAAAAAAACTTAAATCGGATTTATGTATTCAAACAGAGACAGTAATAAACTTATTATTTCCCTGGTCATCCAATTTTTTTTTGTTTTTTGGTTATTTGTGTTATTTTATTTAAAATATTTAGTTTGTGTTATATTCCTCTTCCATTACCGAATTCTTAAACCACCCTTTCATTCACACATTTCCACTCACTTGATCCTCTTAAATTATGTGAACTCTTCTAATCCAATTCAATTATTAGGTAACCCATCTTATCAGTTTTTAATTCCATGACTCCTTCACTAACTCTAAAATTATCACACAATTTATCTTATCTGTATCTGAACTCCACTCAACTATTACACCATCCATCCGTAATGTTTCTTTGATTCTAACACCTAATAATGACCTCTGACCTGTTCTTGCATATATATTTATTTGGTTGTAAGCAGCTGACGAGAAACTTCGAAATAAAATGATTTCATACTATTCTGCATCAATATTTGTTCTGGCTCTATGAATTTTGTTTACCAACGATTTAATTTTACAAATAAAATTATTAATCTTAAATGAAAATACCATAATGAACGTGTTTTGTCCAACAGTGTATCTACAAACATGACTTAACTTCCTATCTTAATAAATGATAGCATTAAGGTACAGAAAGACTTTCTTCTTATTTTTCCATAAACAGTGAACTTTTACCAGGGATCAACAGAACATTGTGTGACCACATTTATCGCTTTATTACTTGCTGGTTATTTGTTGAAGATGACTGTAAACTTCAGCAGTCGAAATAATAATATATTATTCGTTGAAACTAATTGTTATAAAGGTTTTTCGCTACTTTTTCTCCATTTATTCTTTTACATAGGTCCTGACATTCTTTTATAAGGTTAACTTTCTCTATACTAAATCTTATCATGTACACTTTATGAATAGTAAAATAGATGGGAAAATTTGAATTTAATTTTTGGTTATACTGTGGCGTATGTTACTTATGTTGACAGCCATAAGTAATATGTAACATCAAATTGAAAAGAATGAGCATGTAAACAGAAAGTAATTTTAATAATGAAGGAATAATTAAGTTTCAGACAATTAATGGAAGATTTGCTAATAAAATATTAAATGTATGGTTTTTTCACATTTTACCAAAGAACTTTGTAATTGTTTTTCCTCCCCCCTCCACATACACACTTGACTTCTCGTGTACTACAATAAAATATCGCTCCTGTAATTCTTATGAAAATCAAGTTGTCTAAGCAACTGTTAAAATATAATCATCGTAGAATAAAAATTTCATGTCGATTGAGTGAAAACAAAAAAATACCAAATTATAATTTAACCCCATTAAAACCACTAGTTTTATGTTAGAACATAAAAATTCAAGCTTGAGTTTTATTAGTTCAAATACTCTATGATCAATGTATCTATTGTGCTTGTGTGTATTGACTAGAAATGATTAATTCTAATTAAGGATGTATAATAAAATATTTAATTACCTATAGTTTATGCGATAGTTTAAAGGGAACGAACTGTAATTAGTAAAAACAGAACTGTTCTACATTGAAGTTATTAATATGATATTTTTGTTGGATTCGTTATATTGTCTTGTTTAATATATGGACTAATATATAATTAATGTAATAAAATTTCTACTTTATGGTTTTCCTTGTCATTTAATTTTAATTATTTATGAAATACTATTGTGGTGCGTGCTACTTATATTGATATAAGTAGTATATGACGCGAGTTTAAAACGTAATGTCTGGTAGCAGAAGTTGGGGGAAGATCAAGAAAGGATGAGCTGGAACACAATTCAATATGTAAGAAAACGCATGGACAATGAAATGTGAGACAATGGGTTGATGTTTGTAACAGGAACAGTCTGGTTTAATATGATGGATTAATATTTTGCAAACTAACAATTTACTATATGGTTTTTCTATTTTACCAAGTAACTCTGTAAATTCGTTTGTCCTCACACGTGTTCTGTTCACTTCACTATATTACTGCCATATAATAGCACAATATAGTATCTAGGGTTTACTTATTTTGTGGATAATTTAGTGAAATCAGTTAACCATTCAAATCTCAACAACTATAATCATTGAATCATATTCGTGCATAGATGATTATCGCTTCGTCAATTTACGTATATAAATATCTCGCATACTAGAAATTAATCCCACTTCAAATATCTTGTTATTAATCATATTTAGATTATCATAAGAAATTTTCTTACCTAGAGTTTGCTTTTTTTCCAAATCCTCTAACTCCAAGTCATTTGAACAAGCTTCTGGCTGCTCAACGCTTCGAAGAGTAGTTAATAAACAGTAGATTTGATAGTCTACACGAACGTCTAAAATATACTAAAATGCATAACAAGGTAAATGGTAGTTGAGAAAAATCAGAATCAAACAAAAACTGTAAAACTATACCAATGAGGAAATGTCAACTAGTCACAAAAAACAAACCACGTTGTCCCATCGATAAAACCCTGTAAAAATTTCCTAGAAACAAAACATATAATGGGATCAGTATCCCTCGGTAACTTCATCCTTAGGTTGAAAAATTAGAAAAATCTGGTTAAACCTTCATAACAGCCAACGTAATCCAAATTAGAAAGAAATACATTGTTCCTTTCGTCTTTCAAGGTCAACGAACTACTATGTATTGTGGTTAACAAAGTTTCTAGTACAGTCTCTTCACATTTAAGCTCATCTTCAGTACCTTTTTTTAGAAGCCTGACAGGATCTGATATACATGTGCATCGGTTTTTCTGGACATCCATCATATGGACATACAGAGACATTAAAAGTGAAGGACTAAGAATAATAAAACTATCAAACATTAAAGAATGTTATTGAGAAATGTGATGTATATAACAATGTAGTTTTTGGGACGAACAGAAACATGCAAAAAGAGTTCATTATTATAATTGTTACTGATTTCAGAATATGCCACCAAAGGTTTCGACTATTTAGTCGTCGTAAACATTAACGATACCATCAAAAAGGGTTAAACAACAATATAACTAGTTTCTTCTGAAATTTTAAGAGTCAACCACGACAGCAATGGTAAAATCTGGCATTTTTATCTGCAAGGAGACAGTGAGTTATTACTCTTATAAAACGTCTTTGTCTACTGATAAATAATATTTCCTCTATTTTCTTCCAGTTAGATAATATTTCTCTGAATCGATTATAATCGTTTAGATAAATATGATTACTTTTCATTCTCTTGATTTTGGACATTTGATCATTAAGTTAATTTAACCGACATACTTCATCCATCTGACTCGCTATTTTTCTTTCTCATGATAGCACAAGCAGAAGTGAATTGTTGTCTTCTGAGGCATACTTTCATTACTGACTTGAATTTTTCAGTCACATAAGTAGTATACAATAACACAATTTTGTGCATAAGTAACACCTTTAATTTCTTAATATATATTCTGTCATTTTACAGTCACGACAGCATTACCAGTTCGACTGTCTCAGTTATTGTAATACCTTTAAAAGTCATCAAGTAATTACTGCTACCATTACTAATACTACTCACACTTCTACTACTACAATAATACTAGCACTACCATTACAGCCATTAGAACCACTATTACTGATACTGCTACTACTATAGTGGTATGTGCTACTGTTGTCGACAGATATAAGTAGTGTGTATCACCAATCGAAAGTGAAATATCTAGTGGGAGGTTAGGAAGATCGGAGAAAAAAGACTGAAAACAGAGAGTGATTAGTGTGGAGACGAACAGACAGTCAAGTCTGAGACAGCTGACAGACATTTTGCAAATGAAGAATTTACTGTATGGTTCTCAAATTTTACTAAGAGATTCTGTAATTTTGTGTTCAAATAGATTTGGTTGTTCCTGCCTTTGTTCTCATTCACTACACTACTATTACTTCTACTACTGAAGATAGTTCATTTAACATTAAATAAAATCAGACCAATATTATATCCGTCTTATTCTGTGTACACCATTCCATATTTGTTTATTACAAATACAAATGACCATTTTCTTGCACAATAAAAAAATTTATATCAGATGGGTTTTGTGAATATTATAGTAATTTCAATGGTTAAGATCATGAGTCATTTGAAGCTAGACCACCATGGAAAACCTGAAAGCACTGCACGGCCGTTTCGTCCTATTGTGGGACTCCTCAGCACCGTTGGATGCCGGCTCAGTGGTCTAGTGGTTAAGTGCTCGACTTGGGTTCGAATCTCGCAGGGGGCGAGGTCGTGGATGCGCACTGCTGAAGAGTCTCACATTGAAACTAAACGACCGTTCAGCGCTTCCAATTCCTCCTTAATGGTCTAGCTTCAACTGACTCATGAACTCAACTTTTAAAATTACAATTAAAGTGAATTTTTCACTGGGTATAAAATAATTTTTCATTCATAACTTACTTCAATGATATCCAGAGTCTTTAATTTTAAATCAAATAGTTTCTTATCATTTGAACTATTCAGTATTGATGATGAGTTGTTCATCTCCTTCACTTAATGTTAGGAAAACAAATAAGAGATATGTTAATGAAGAACTGTATTTACTTTTCACTAAGATAGAATTTACCTAAAACAAAAGGCTAAATATCTTCATTTAGTAAGACTAGACGATTAATTATTATGTATTATTACTAAGCTTTGATTTGACAGTTTTAAAATAATTTAATCAACAGGTAGATTGTTAATAGTAGAAATAATGATATAGTTGTTAAACCTTAATGAATAAGAAATTGAATTACTGACGTTTCACAACCTAGTGTTGCTTCTTTAGAGGATATGTAACCTAGTTAAATTAATACAAGATTAAACAGTACCGTTGAGATTATTAGCATGAAAATTTGTAAAAATTGTTGAATTGTTTAACTCGTATTAATTAGACAACCATTTGAAACCAGGTAGAACTGGATAACATTTTTTCCAAGTGTATAACTTTCTAGTATTATATGTACACAAGACCGCGCCAGAGATCATAGTCAAAACATGCAGGCTTTGAGGCGCGAATGTTATACTTATTATCGACATGTTTCAACTTCACTAGTCAAAGTTTCTCAATAGAACGTTTCGCGTACATGAATTAAAAGCCCCAGACTAGATTATCCAAAAGTGAATATATGACGAAAGCTATCTTGAAATGATAATATATTTCAATTACTATTTATCTATAGTCATGATGTAATCTGTAAGCGTAGAAAATATTTAGTTATAGATAAAATTGTTATATGCCCAATAACTATTGCTATTCATGGTATACTAGATAGTTGACCTAACCCATTTTGAAAACCTGTAGTAGTGAATATGTTTTGCCTCCTTAAAAAATAAACTTTTATTTATTGTTACATTGAACATTTTTTATTGGAATTGTCTTCAAGCGAAACAGATTATCAGAATAGTATTCCAATAAATATCATAGTACTATAAATTTATTACTTTTGACGAAAGTTTACATACTGAACAGATAAAAATGACTCATTTACCTCGGTGTAGTAAAATATCGTATAACACCAAACTGTTTTGTGTTATTTGTGGAATGCGATGAATTACTTAGTATTGTAATTGTTGAGTACAATCATACTCCAACTGTTAGCAACACTTATACACCCATGGAAACATATATCAAAAAGACATATGGAAAGAATTATACTTTAACCTCTTCTGTCCAATAAGCTAAGAAAGAGCTTCAGTTTGAACGCTTTTTAGTCGTGTAAGACTATATATGCAGATACAATTAGCAAGGAAATAACCATTGTGGAAAGTTATCTAAAGGATAATGGTTATCCAATAAATATGGGAAGATAAGAACAGGGATAATATAGTTTGCTCTTATCAAAAGAAAACTTGTTTTCATGTGAATCAACTTTGAAAGTGACGAAATATCTAAAGAGATCGATTCTAGGCTGTGCTGCGTTGAAAAAGACTTATTCAGCAGCAAAAATCGTCTCAATTAATCGAATAAACTGCTTGTTAAGACCCTCAGAAGTGAGTAATTATTAGCTTTGCTTTACTTCCACTGTATATAACAGTTAACGTGTGCATGTTGAAGCAGATATATTTGGGCGACCGAAAAGAAGGCTAGTATTCACATCTCCGAGAACATTCTTCATAAATGGAAACCACGAGGTCAACATGCCTTCAGTATTATGATCCCCAGTCATTTACTAGATAGTGAAACACAAAGTTGAGATTTTATAACCATTCGAAATAATTCACCAACAAATTACTTGAAAGCCACTCATAGTATAGGCTTAAACAGAAATTATGTATCCAAAAAAAATGTAATGTTGTCACTCTTGCTTCCCTATGATGACCACAATTCCCAATGTGTGGTTGAGTAACATTTCGGGTTTATGATTAAAAATTCACTTTCTTCACTCATTCATACATGTTACCTAAGCTTCACTTATTTTCCTCTTATAATCAGTCCATTTTTGTTGCAGTCATTACATAACAACTGAAATCAGTACCTTCATTAACTTATCTCTATGTAATTTTAATTTTTTCTTCCAGAATTGTGATATTATTTAACACAGAATATTCAAAGATAATTCTTTCATATTTATTACTGTATATTCATATTCCTTGATCAAAATATTTCTAATGTTATGACATTAAGTATGTACACTGTTTTGCTTTTTGAGCAATTAATATAATTGATTATAGGTTATAGAAAGTTGACGGGTTATCATTAAATACATGCATTCATATTATTCTGTTATGTATCTGGTACATTCATTAGTCAAATTTATAAATGGGAAAAACTGAATAAAATTTGTCTCTTCAACCCCCAAATTATTAAAAATACCCTGACTATTTGGTTAAAATCAGAAAGAGTTTTGTGGAGATTTTAGAAATTTCACTGTTTGAAATCATGAGTCAGTTGAAGCTAGACCATGATGGAATACCTGAAAGCACTGGACGGCCGTTTCGTCCTAGTGTGGGACTCCCCAGCAGTGCGAACCTACGATCTCGCATCTCGTGAGATTCAAACCTACGACCTATCAGTCTCGCGCCAGGCGCTTAACCAACTAGACCACTGAACCGACATCCAACGGTGTAAATGTCTAACTTCAACCAATCCAAAAAGTTGCGCCACCGTACATCATTGTCTTCAGTGAGCTGATACCTCACAACAGACCAGGATGAACTCCACTGGTAACGGCTTCTTACTAGAACTCCAGGTTTATTATTTATTTTATTTATTAACAAAGGGATGAGCGTAACTCACGTAAATCACCTAATAACATCAATGATGTAATTCATGAATCATTGTATGTGTTCATAAAGTTTACTTACTTTTGCATAAATAAAAATCATTTGTACTCCCCAATTGATTGAGCATGAATACAAGTTTTTGACCAAGAAGTAATAGTTCTTTAATATTGTAAAGACCAAAAAATACCAAATTCTTAGAAAGATTGATAACCTATAAATAAAAAATTTATAGTTTGTTGTTGTTAATAAATTATATGTCTGTATATTGTCAATTTCTAACTGTTTCAACTCTTAGTTGAATAAAATATGAGTTATAAATTGAAAATTAGATTAACTTAATTACCAGTTGTCTACGCAAAATACTTCGGATCTGTTGGCCAGACACTATTAGCAACAACCTACTGTGGAAGAGAACAAACCAGATCTTAGTGGAGGAAGAAATCAGGAAGAGGCGATTGCAGTGGATAGGACATTCATTGAGGAAAGCACCCAACTGCGTCACAAGACAAGCCCTCACATGGAATTCTCAAGGGTGAAGGAGAAGAGGAAGACCAAAGAACACATTACACTGAGAAGTGAAGACAGTTATAAGAAGAATGAACATCAGTTGGATGGAACTAGAAAGAAGGCCGAGGACAGAGTGGGTTGGAGAATGCTGGTCGGCAGCCTATGCTCCATCGGGGGTAACAGGAGTAAGTATGTAAGTAATTACCCAGGTAAAATAAACAGTGAATAGTAAACAATTAAAGTTTTTTCTCTCTTCAAAATGATAAAAGGGAACTATGTGTATGAAATTTAAATTATAAATTTGTCAGAAATCCTAGATCTTGCTTTTTTTAAATAATAGTTATTGATTATCATAGATATGTAACTACAGTATCTAGGGAACCAATGCTCTGTGTTTTGTTCGAACCAGTTTCGGCTTCATGTCAGGTTTATTATAACTTTACCTATAAAGTTAAATCACAAAACATACAAGTTAACCATAGATTGATTATTACTAATTGACCAACTAGTTTATGTCAACGCAAATTACAGATTATATAGCAGAGTATTGTCAATTACATGACATTAGATACTATGTAAATATAATTGAAGTTTGTAAACCAATTAACTTTCATTTACATTTTCTTTTTGAAATTAACTACTGATCTTTTGTAAGTTTTCATAACATAAAATAGTTCAATAAACAGTTCAGTCTATTTATTAGTGTGTTGTTTAATCTTTGGTTACATTAACACTAGCATAACAATATTTACAGAATAAATCAAATTCATTTTACTCCAAATTTTCTCTCTTTAGTTACCAGTCTAAAGTGAAAACGAAACCTGACACCATATTTTGTCATTAAGAAGAATTATTTATTTGTAAGTTATTGATTTGAAGATTGGAAAATTTTATTAAGAATTACACTACTTAATTGCGATAATAGTAATATGAAAAAGGTGATATCATAATATAAATTCGGTATATAATCTATGTTGATTGAAATCTATATTCTGTGTCAAACAACGAGTAAACAAACAATATTGAAATGTGAAAAAGGAAGCAGAAATGATATATATTAGTAGAAAACAATTCAAGGAAAGACAGAGTGAAGTGAACACTGATTCAAAACTGTATGACACAAAGAAATGCGAGTAATCCAAAAAAACGGTTAAAAATCAAACTGCCATGGTAATTCCAGTTTATTAAGTGATTTTCCTGTATGACACTCATGAACTACATGCATACATCTATTAGATATCTATGCATGCTGCATAAAGCGATGTATATACATTAGAGCATGTACATTTATTTACACATGATACTTTTTCTAACTTGAAACATTTGTCAAGTGGGTAATTTTATGCACTACCGTTTAGTACCAATTGTTTTCTGCTTTCTTTGTTGTAAGTTTTCTAAAAGATTACAACGTACACTAAGTACTTTTTATGTACATTGGAAATGGTTGATAACAAGCGTTATCTAACAATTATCCCTTTCTTTCATTGGTATTGATTTTTATGATAACTTTCAATCAGTATTAGTTTTATAAATATCAGTGCCATGTTAACCGAATTATTTCGTTTTGTCAAATACATTAACAGAAAATAGGAAATGAAAGTATATGATATATATTTCTCAAGGGGAAGAGAAATCACTTATTATCCTCAGGCTTTTTTCTATTGATTAACCCTAGGTGATTTAAATTAAAAAGAAACAATAATTAAATGTTCTAATCACATCACTTATTGGAATCATTGTCTAATTAACTTGCCTCATTTGTTAAATTAATGTAACCGGGTTCAGATAAATAAAAACCATTGGAAAGTATATTATCCAAATAATCATTTACAAAATTCTTGATTTTCATAAAATTAGTTGTGAAATTTTCTTGTTTATCTGTGGAACTATTTGCTTCTTCATAACTGTAAAATAATTTGAATATAATATAGGACATGTACTAACATGTTTGGTTTACACAAAGATCAATTAAATAATCACTTGTTTGTGTCTGTTTGACAGAGGTTGTTTGTTTTCCAGTAAATTATCATTTACAGAAATGGTTTATAGGAAAGAGAATCAACAAAAACTCATCATAATAAAACATCTTCGGTTGAATTGAAGGCTTCCTAGTGGATTATATCACAAGAAGTAAGGACATTCACTAACAGAGATTAAATTCAGATAAATTTTCATTCAATTAGCAATTTCATTTCCAAAAATAGGCCTTACTGTTTGTTCCTTCAAACATTTTGTCTTGAAAAAGCTCTGAGATGTTATACATGCTATATTACTGTGCTACCAAATCTAGTGTAACATAACTAAATTTTGATACCCAACGTGATTACAAATATTACTTTGAATCTCAATTATGCTTAAGTAGTATCCATATTGGATGAAAGAAATATTATGACGATAACTATCAAATCTAAACAACAGTCAGATGTCCGCAGAGTGAGATCACGTTTCATATGTATAAGTAAGACAGGGGTATAGACAGAAAAGCTTTTGGATCAAATCATATCTGATGTTATGGTATAAATGATGTAGATTCACACATGGCTTATTTTATTCTACGGTGTAACTATTTACATCTTTTGCAGAGTCATCATCAGTATTCCGTCAACTTCGAGAGTGAACAGACTTTTTGACTGCTTGCACAAATTTTTTTGAAATGCAGCTACTATGATTCGTATACAATGGAGTCACTAAAACGGACAAGGGAGATGTTTCTAATTTGACACTGGATCTGACGTGACTGGGTGCGTTGACGAATTAGACACTGACAGACGATGACGACTTCATGAGAAAAATACGAGAAGACGGAAACTCACGAGAAAACTGAGGTATTTCAAAGAAAAATAGTGAAATAAATAATAATCAGAATATATAAAATATTTTATAAGATAGTTTTACCAACAGAAAGGAGTTTTAATTACGTAGCACTGACTCACTCCAGAGGTTATGATAGTTATTTTTATTACGATAATCCCAACAAATGATAATATTGACATTGGTCAAATCTAACAACAATAAACTCAAACCCTAATAATTAACTGATTAGTTGCTTTTTGTAGGTGCTAAAATGTCTCACGACTATCAAGCAATTCTTTCTAAGTCTTCATTATATGATCATCAATGAATAATCTAACAATTAATGGTTAATTAGCGAACACTAGATAGCTTCTTAGAAAACTTCAATAGTAATGACCGGAGTAGAAACTCAGGGCCAATGTTCAAGGTCAATCCAATGTAATCCAGGGCTCAAACATCTGGCAATGATTGTAAAAATGCTTTGTCTGACCTCAATCAGAGAATAATTCAAGCTTTGTAAAGCTTATGACATGATTCACCTAACAGTATTCTAAATAAGAAGGGTAACAACAATGCTTTGATAAGTTTCGATTGCACTGAAAAACTTTTTATAAAGGTGACAATCGTGAAAGTTTAAAAGTATTCGCAATGATTGAGATCATGAATCAGTTGAAGCTAGATCACCATAGAAAACCTGGAAGCACTGGACGATCAAATCGTTCTATTGTGGGACTCCTCAGCAGTGTGCATCCATGATCCCGACTAGCAGGATCCGAACCCAGGACCTATCAGTCTCTGTCGAGAGCGCCTAACTATTATACCACTGGGCAGGCATCCAAAGATGTTCAGTCAGTGGTATTTTAATGCCATTAACTCTTCTCAATACTCAGTGCTTATAGCATATTACTAAATCGAAAATGCTATTTGAAAAACATATTGTACTTGGTTGAATAATACTTGCGATACACCTGTTCAACTTTTGGTCAAATACTTGTTTGATACGAGAAATGTCTTATATTATAAAAACAGAATCGTAAACTTTGATTATACATAATACAATTTGTACTTTCAAAATGATTTTACCTGGAAACATCTAACTTTGTGCCTAATGTACTCCATAAACGAGCATACTGAATAGGTTGATGCAATTCTTGAGGATCTCGATCTACATGAAGATTTAATAATAACCGAGTAAACGATGCACGGAGACTAGGTCTAAGCCGTTCATTCCTCATGCATCTAATGAGATAATAGGAAAACAAACAACAACACAATGAATAATTTCTAAAAAGAAACAACGTTTCGAAGTTTGTAATTCTAGAACTAAAGTGAGTATAAAAGGGAAGAAATTAGGAGGAATTAATTTTAATAGTGTTAAAGCTTGTTTGCCATTAACTATTTTCATAAAAACATTTTTAATTAAATCAAGATATATTCTGTGTCAACTGCTATTTCTAATGTTCGTGATAATCAAGTTGGAAATATTGTATCACCCAATTTGTACACTGACATTCATGGATGTGAAAACTCAATACTTTCAGTTCATATACAATTTTGATTGAGATCATGAATCGATCATTGTCCGACTACCATTGTGAACATGCAAGAACTGAACGGCCGTTTTGACCTGGTATAGGACTCCACAGAAGTGCGTATCCACGATTTCGCATGCCCGATATTAACCTAGGACTTTCAGTTTCGTGTGCTTTACCTTTAGACCACTTAGCCAGCATCCAACGATATTAATCTCTAAGTTTAGCCGATCCACGATATTATGCGACCATCTTCCATTGTCTTCGGTGGGTAATTGCCTCACACTCAACATAGACTATCTACACTGGCCACGGATTCTCGCTAGGACTTTTAGAACTATCTCTTGAAGCTAGTCACTAGTGAGCAAATGGTAATTATCATGATCTCAATCAAAACTCAACATTCTATGTAACCTTATAAATACAATTTTCTTTAAGAACAAATAAATAATAATTCTGTGTTTTTAAGTAAAAATGTATCAAGTTTGCACTTAATGGGATTGCGGCAGTAAACTCAAGTTTATAGAGTTACTTAAGTTTAGACAAAGACTAAATGACCACTGATACAAATAAATTATCTTACACAGTTTACAACCCTAATAGATTTATGGGTGCATACCATTGAAGAATCTCATACTAGGACCAAACAGTGTCCCAACACTTTCTGGTCTCCAACGGATATTTAACTAAAATTAGCCGGCAATGTAAACTGTGAAGTTCAAAAACCTCCGCAAACCCACTATTCTAAACTATCTTCGTTGAATCGGATCTTGTAACAGTGGCTGAATAGTAACTCAATGAAAAAATCGAACACTTTGAATTTAACTCTCCAAGTACTTCAAACTGTGGCAAAGCAGATGTCCAGTAGTTCTATGCTCTTAGTGATCTCAAAAATGAGTCAAGAAGTATTGTTTTAAATAGATTTTTCTTCTTAAACTACAACTAAGCCAAAAATGAAGTTATATGCGTAGACTTTTTGTAACTAAAAATAAAGTGCGTACTAATAGTTTTATTAATTAAATGGTTATTCAGTGATACAAATTGTTGCAAAAATGTTAACCTTTGATTGACGCAGCTTCATACTAGCAGTGAAGAAGATTAACAATAACAACTCAGTAATGTAACTCGAAAACTGCAAACAGTATTGTATTAAACTACCTAGTTTTTCAAATTGAATAAGGCGAAGAGAAGGGTTTGAACCTGAGATAAATTAATTGAACTTTGAATACTGCTACCATTGAAATCACCCCCATACCATATGAGTAACAATAAAATAAACAATTACATTTTGACTGTTCCTGTGGAACAAGTTATATTGGTTGAAGTTCTAGGAATTCATATTTTCGTACTCATGAACACCTCCCAGCGTGGCTAAACAAAGGTTTGATGAAGAAAGTGAACAGCTCGATATTGGCCCATTTAGTACAAACTATTCAAACGGCTGAAGCAGCAGCCATCCGGATGAAGAAACTGGAGCTTCGCGTACAAAAGAAATATCTTCAACCACTCCTCCGCCCCCGGCCAACCTCAAGGCCAATTAATCAATAGTAATCTTAGCTATCGAATGACCTAATTTGACTATTGTACCTAAAATCTTTCGTAGTCAAGCGTAATTGTCTTTATTATTTTTATTCACGAATCTTTGTATTATTATTATTATTGTTATTTTTATTTTTATTATTATTGCTATTACTATTGGTTAAACACTATTAATAATCTCCTTAATACATGATTCATTCACTGTGCATTCATCCTTCCTTATTACGTTTTAATAATTTATCACACAATATAGTCTTCCACTAAACATTTGATCCAACTGTAATTGCATTATTATTTATCTCTCTCACTCTATGTTCCATGTTTATTGTGATTATGGATCTTAGAATTTTCACTTAACATATAAGCATATTCATATTAACATTTTATATAAGTCATATCAACATGAACAATTTTATTCTATTTTCCAGTATAGGGGTTGTGGAGATTGTTACGTTTTTGATTGAGAAGTCGCGACCAGTGGAGCTAATCCGTGTCTGGTAGAGACAGGTATCTACCTCAGTACAATGGAAGATGGTCACACAATTTTGTGGATTGGTTGATGTTAGACACTAACAACATTGGATGCCGACTCAGTGAGCCAGTAGGTTAAGTGTTCACGCGTGAGACTTAAGGCCCTGGATTTGGATTCAGGGAGTGGGATCGTGAATGCGCACTGGTAAGGAGTCCCACAATAGTCGTTCAGTTATTCTATTTTGTTTGAAAATCCTACTGTTCACATACAATAACTTTAAACAATGTACTTTATTCTTACCTAACCATTTTTCGTCTTATTAATTTGGATATATATGAATTATCAGAAGGCGTTTTGTGGAGATTTTAGTAATTTCAATAGTTGAAATCATGAGTCAGTTGAAGCTAGACCAACATGGAAAACCTGAAAGCACTGGATGGCCGTTTCGTTCTAGCATGGGACTCTTTAGCAGTGCGCATCCACGCCCTCACCCCTGCCAGATTCGAACCCAAGGCCTACTGGTTTCGCGCGCGAGCACTTAACCACTAGATCACTGACCCGGCATCCAACGGTGTTAATGTCTAAATCCAACCAATCCACGAAGTTGCAACACCGTACACCGTTGTCTTCAGTGAGCTGATATCTCACAACAGACCCGGTTGAAATCCACTAGTCACAGCTTCTCACTAGAATTCCAACAAATGCCTCTTGAATTCAGTCACCAGTGAGCAGATTATTATTATTAGAAGAGGTTTTGTGAAGATTTTAGTAATTTCAATAGTTGGCATCATGAGTCAATTGAAGCTAGACCATCATGGAAAATCTGGAAGCACTGGAAGGCCGTTTCGTCCTAGTATAGGACTCCTCAGCGGTGCACATCCACGGTGGTCTAGCTTCAATGAACTCATGATTTCAACCAGTGATATATATATATATATATATATATATATATATATATATGAATTGTAGAATATGAAGAGAATCTATCGAAAAAGAATATTCTTCATTCAAATATTAGTTGCATAAGAGTTAAGAATTTTCCCTAAAAAACAAAAAAAAAACAATCTCACTTCAATAATAAATGAACTGATAATTTTGTTGATAAATAATTAATAGCAATATATTGTCGTTGTTGGCATAATAAAGCAAATAAATCAATTTGTGCTTGATAATAATCTAAAATTAAATAACATAATGTAATTGGTTTTGATGATATTTCATACATTTCTTGTGTTGATTGATTCATTACAACATCATTTAATATATTCAAATTAAATTCTAAACCTTTTTGTGTTTGATTCCATTCTGATTGATTTAAAATTAAATTAGAATGAATATTTTTCCAAAAATATTCATCCATTAAATAGGTTTGTTTCCAGATTAAAGTAACAATATCTGTTGTATAGTTGTTGTTTTCGGAATCAATAAATGTTTTGTTGCTAAGGTAAAAATAAATAAATAAATAAATAATAGGTAATGGCTTTTATGAATATACATTTAGAGTATTTTAGTATTAGTGATTATTTCAATTCTAACTTTCAACAAATAAGCAATTTAAACCTTTTAAAATTTTATATATTGTTAGATCTATCGAAGCGTCTAGTTCACCTGATTGAGATACACGCGAAACCGAAGTTCCAAAACAACGACTTGTCTACAATAGCTGTTCTTTATTGAATACTACACAAAATCTAGTTACAAACCTCAACTTGTGAAGTGCCTGGGACGTTTAAACGCATCCTTCAAATATGAAAATAAAAAGGCTTCGATAGTACAAAAGACAGCTGATAACTGTGTCTATATTTGATAACAGTTTATGAACAACCGAAACCCGAACCAAGAGCAAGACAATATGGAAACTGCTGCGTTTAAGAGAATGCACGAAACTGCTAATAACCGCCGCAGTGATTAAGTTAAAGTAATTGAAATGATAAGTACAATGATAGGTACAATAAACGTAATAAATATATGTGAACACTACAGCTTGCTTTACCACATAGGTGTAAAAATTGTTGGGAATACAACGGCTTACTGAATGTAAATAAGTAGTACAAAACAATATACAAAAAAGTGGAAAGGGAGAGAATGGAACAGTGTAAGACAAACTTAATATATATAATTTATGAAAGTTCAGTTAAATCATCAGAAACTGACATCAACAGATAAAGTATATCAGTAGTAGTTGACCTCTAGTAAGGTTATAAGCATACACTGCAGAAATATTCCCAAATTGGGGTGGAAAAACAATAAAGTGCCTAGATTTTCAATGATACTTAAGGTACTTTCAGTTCGTGATCATTTACATACCTTGACATGAATATTTGCGATTTGGTTGATTCGGCTCATCGTTGATATTTTATATTAGAATGGAGGTTTATGGAGATTGTATTAATTGTAATAGTTGAGTTCATGAGTCAATATAAGTTAAATCACCAATAAAAACGTGGAAGAACTGGATGGCTGTCCCAATTTGATGTAAGACACCTAAGCAGTGCGCATCCACGATCTCGGATGCAGGACTCGAACCTAGGACCTTTGGTCTCGTGCGCGAATGCTTGATCTCTAGATCACTGAGTCGACATCCAACGGTGTTAATGTTTAACTTCAATCGATCCATGATCTTATGCAACCATTCATCCCTTTTCTGAGGTAGATGCCTGTCCCTACTGCTGAGAAATTTCATATCAGCATGAAACGGCTGTCTAGTTCTTCCAGGCTTTAATGGTGGTCTAGCTTACATCGATTCATGAATCTAACCATTAAAATTGATACTTAATAGATAATGTGCAAATATGATTTACAGATTATTTCGTCGTAATTCAGAGGAGGATTTCATCTGATGTTCAACGGTATTTAACGTACAAATTAGTCAGAGATAATATAAATTAAAATAAGAAAACCTCTGTATTGGTAATCTCCATCCCTGGATAATACAGTCAATAAGAGGAAATTATGCTTGGTTTATTGACCACTGTTTTCTCGAACATTGATTAGTTACGCTTTAGTAATCGATTTAAATGGGATTTCTAATAAGATTCTTCCAATTGCTACTAAGGCGTGATGAACAAAAAAAAAAGACATTTGTAGACTTCATTCATCTTCTAATATAACACGTTTGAAAACTGATCTTGCCAGAAAATCACACAAGTAATTCCTATCTGATCATCAGCCATAAACGTAAACAAAAACAAGGTACGTGAATTACCAGTTCATACTTTCTTCGTTTTCAATCATCAATATTACCATAAATGAATTTAACCAATAAATTCAGTCAAATAACCAGAGTTAAATCTAACAAAAAATTATTCATTTGTAAATAGTATTCTACATTAGTTACTCACCATGTTTCTACTAATAGATCTTCATTATTCTCAGATAATAGTTGATGACAAATAAGTTCTTGTGTAACCGGAATTGCTACACCACAAGAACTACATAACGCTGATAAATAATTCAAAAATCTGAAAACATAAAGAATAAAGTAAATAGGTTTCTAGTATGAAGAATGAATAGAAAGGATGATTTGTTACTTTTCCAAATAATGTGTTAAATATTTATAGATGATTTAACCATTGAATATCAATAATAACCTTATGTTAAAACATTGCACTGAATTAAATCCACATTGTTATTCAGTGATTATTAATGGTTTCAGTTCCATGCTGTATCTTCAACTGATTCATTTTGAAACAAAATAAATCGAATCAAATTCACTCGATCGAATGAAACTGCTGTTTAAAGGGTACTAAATATATAAGAAATATTAATAGTTGAGATCATGAGTCAATTGAAGCTAGACTACGATGGGAAACCCGGAAGCACTGGATGGTCATTTCGTCCTATTGAAATTACTACAATCTCCACAAAACCCCTTCTGATATAAGAAATGTATAAGTTTTCGAAGAGAAATAATCAAATGATTCCAAAACAAACGCATTTACATTTACTCTATTTCCCAGAATATTTTTTCGTATGCTAGTATACTATATAACTAATGTGCTTCGCGTTCATTCTAATATTTCTCTTGACTTGTCGTTGTAAATAGTGATGCTTTTAAATCATGCATAACTGTGAGATATTTTAAAATGTTGTCTGCATCGATATTTAACATCTATTCGAAGTATTGTTCTGATGATGGCCTTAGCATAATCAAATTACTGTAATAAACAAAACGGACGAAATTATTCACCGTTTTCTCCAGCTGATGGTGTACTACAACCCCTCGTCTTTATGATAAGTAGAAACTCATACATTTTCGTCAGTGATGGATGGATTATCTAAACGGATTATCATAAAAACGAAACATGCTCACCGGGCTTCAATATTGTCACGTACTAACGAAACAAATGCAGAAACTTCTAGTTCACCAACACGTTTTTCAAGTAACTGTCGATTGTTATGCAATAGAGCAGTAATCGTCTCTGATGCTCTTATACCTAAGCCAATATGAGTTTGCATCAAATTCAGATACTGTGCTAGATACTCCTAAAACAATGTAAAAAGGATCCATTTCATATTTGATATTTTAGTAAATGTAGTATTAAACAAAGTTTACAAAATTAAGGAATACATTTTTTTGAAGTCAGCATGGATTAACCACATTTTTACCACATGTTACAACAGTCAGATTGTCTAGAACTCATCTATTGGTGATGTATTTTTTAAGTTGAAGCTTTCATTGTCATTTAGAATAATATTATCAGTTCCTACTTTAAATAAAAATGAAAATCTCTGAATTAGACAACAGGATCTCAATCAACTTGTTCCTTTGACCTCTTTATTGATTGATTATGCTTATGGGTTTCGCTTTATTCAGACGTGCTTATATTTGCATTAATTGTAGTGTTCAACTGATCTCCCTAAAAGCGATTGATTGAATCAATGTCGAACAATCCTTTGACCTGTTTGCCATACTTCTAGGAATTCCTCATAAATTGTACAATGTCCTGGACCGAGAATTTAGTCATTCTGTGTTCAAATTTGTGTCTATAGTTGACTATACGAGTCGATACGAGTGATAATATCCCGTATAACAGAACTGCTAACCCATATTATTGAGCTAGTAGGTTAGTGAGATGTTCATCTTCTCGGATATAACAGCTCTACAGTTAGTCCAAATGATAAAATTCTGAACTGATTAGACCTTAAGATTTCCGAATGACTTCTCTAAGTTTATTACTTAAGTTAATTCACTATCAATAGACATACCGATTTACATTTAAACTATCAGCATTCACCTAGACTACAAATATTATCTACCATGTTTACAATGTAATAAAATGTGGATCGTTTTTATTTCAACAACTGGAAAATACAGTTTTTCTTTAACTGAAAATAAATGGGCACCTACATTTATATTATATTACCTCGTCATAACTTCACGGTCACACCGACAGCAACCATGTGCTCAAGAGTCACTAACTTTGATCCGAAATTTATAGCGTTCTGGTGAAAAGCTGTGACCAATGAAGATAAACCGTATCGGTTTTGAGGAAATTCACCACGAACGACAGTAGAAGATGGTTATACAGTAACGTGGAATGATTAAAGTTAGACCTGTACACCATAGGACCTCAGCTCAACGGTCTAAAGTTTAGGCGTCCGCATACGAGGCTGAAGGTCCTGAGTTGAATTTTCAGTCGCAAAGTCGTGGATGCGCCCTGCTGACTAGTTCCACACTAGGACGAAACGGACATTCAGTACATTTGGATTCTTAATAATTGTCTAACTTAGATCGACTAGTTATTTCAGTGAAACTAAGACTAACTGGACTATTTTACTATTTCAGTAATGAAATAGTCGTTAAATCAATGATTTCCAAAATATTGGTATTACAGAGAATGGGATTTGTACTGTAGTGGCCAAGCTTCATTAATCAATCACCTTGATAGCCGTTATTATATAACTCTCAACGGTTTTGAAATCAGAAGGCAACAAGAAGCGGCGACTACATTTTATTAGCGGATAGCACATATAACAAAGCTGCAAGCGAATTTGAAGCAGAGAGGCGAATGTGTGTATGTGAACAAATACAGAGGCGAACTCATAGTCAAATCGAATAAGGCGCAGCTAGGCAAGGCAATGGCTAATAATAGGATTCAAGTACATATATACATGGGGAAGAGAATGACTCATCGAGAGGTATTTAAGCGGTTAACACTAGCTAGATAGAGATGTGCGTAGGGTATCATGTGACCAAGAGTATATGTTTATACAGACAAGACAGTGATTATAATGGTGCAAAGAAAGATGCGAATTGTTACTATCCGAATAACATTATCTGTTAAGTGAGTCAATATAAGGAATTAACAAGATTTAACCATAATCAAAACTTTGTAGGAGAGTTGTTATAGTAGTATGGTATTTATCAATGTATTAAAACATGATGAATGATGTTCACCTTAAGTTTCAAATATGAAAATTTATGACACCCAAGATTAGAAGCAAGTTTAAAAATTTCGTCCTCTTATATTGCCTACTTATAAGTAGAGTGTCAAAACTAACGTTTTTTCCAAGAAATACGTTCTTACTTACTTACTTATTTACGCCTGTTACTCCCAATGGAGCATAGGCCGCTGACCAGCATTCTCCAACCCACTCTGTCCTCCACCTTCTTTTCTAGTTCCATCCAATTCTTGTTCATTTTTCTCATGTCTATCTCCATTTCTCGGCGTAATGTGTTCTTTGGTCTTCCTCTTTTCCTTTGACCTTCAGGATTCCATGTGAGAGCTTGTCTTGTGACGCAGTTGGGTGCTTTCCTCAATGTGTGTCCTATCCACTTCCAGCGCTTCTTCCTGATTTCTTCCTCCGCTGGGATCTGGTTTGTTCTCTCCCACAGTACGTTGTTGCTAATAGTGTCCGGCCAATGGATCTGAAGTATTTTGCGTAGATAATTGTTGATAAACACCTGTATTTTCTGGATGATGGCTTTTGTAGTTCTCCAGGTTTCTGCCCCATACAGTAGAACTGTCTTGACATTTGTATTGAAAATCCTGACCTTGGTGTTGGTTGACAGTTGCTTTGAGTTCCAGATGTTCCTCAGTTGTAAATATGCTGCTCTTGCTTTGCCGATCCGCGCCTTCACATCTGCATCAGATCCACCCTGTTCATCAATGATGCTGCCCAAATACGTAAAGGTTTTTACATCTTCCAAATCTTCTCCGTCAATTGTGATTGGATTGGTGCATGCTGTGTTGTATCGGAGAATCTTGCTTTTCCCTTTGTGTATATTGAGACCTACTGCTGCTGAGGCTGCTGCTACACTGGTCGTCTTCTCCTGCATCTGTTGTTGCGTTTGGGATAGAAGGGCCAGATCGTCTGCGAAGTCTAGATCGTCCAACTGCATCTTAGATGTCCATTGTATCCCGCGCTTCCCTTCAGACGTTGACGTCTTCATGATCCAGTCGATCACCAGGAGAAAGAGAAAGGGTGAGAGTAAGCAACCTTGCCTAACTCCGCCTGGAGTCCCTCCGGGGGCTACTGCCGGTCCCAAGCCCGGATAAAGGAGGAGGGTTGGGCATGGGGTTAGCGTCCCCATCCCGTAGAAAACTAACTCGCTAAAAAAACGCTAAGAAATATGTTCTACTCACATTTTATTGCCATATTCGTTTCATGTTTGAAGTTTCACTAGTCCTAACCCAAAATATACGAATAACATTTTATCTATCTGAATGTATCTTTAGTTATAAAACTATCAACATTACATTAAAACAAGTGAATTAAATTCACTACTCTTCAATTTTCTGATTAGAAACTTCAATTTAAACCATGCTCATTCAACCAGTTATCTCATTTTATTCTTTTATTACCCGAAATCTACATATACTTCGTTAATTATATCATTAATTGATTCAAGCTTTAAAATCCTCTATTACCCTCTTTGTTGATATTCACAAATTTCATTTTTCATATAAAATTAAAGCAAGACACTTCATCCTATCTTTTTAGATCTATTTGGATATTACTAATTTTCATTAAACCATACCGAGACATGTTCATACTAACTTCTGATCAATTTCATTCCTATGAATCCGTACAAAGTTCAGTTTTATCATTTACAACATTAATTGATCACACTTTTTCAGAATCTGATGAGAATTGAATGAATGAATGAATGAAAATGAATTTATATTGCATATGTACATTTTAAGTTAATAAAACGGGAACTAAAATCATGAAGTTTCTTAAACCATAATTCACCAAATTTAAACATTGAAAGTATAACAGATAAGCTTTAAGAATGAATAATTTACACAATATTAAATATTTTTTAAAACTATTATTATTATTATTATTTGCAAAGATGGATAGTGGCTAGTAGTGAAATGCAGTTTGACGTGTGTTTCGTCCTATTTAGGGACACGTCAGCTGGATGTACCTGCATCTCAGAGTAAGTATTCACTTCGAGGCTCTAACTCAGTACCGTTCGCTTCAAACGACATTGCATTATCCACTTAACTACTGAATCCTGAAAGTCACTTGCTTGTGCAATAAGGTGACAGTAATAAATCGAATTCATTATCTGGTAAGTGGCCTTTAAACATTTACTAATAAAATACTGATCAATCGCAGTCCTAAACATCAATGGGAAGATTATTATTATTATTTCACTGATGATCTACAAAATATAAATAGAGTTATATCATTTTTAATGTTACCTGATTTTTTCTATAACCATGTTGTGATAATGTAAGTATTCGATAACAAAGATTTCCAACAGTTTGCCAGGCTAATATTTCATTTTTTTCATCTAAATAAATATCTTGTTGTTGTGAATCAATTGTATTCATTTCTGTTTCATGTAGAATAGATATTAACGAAATATCTGGTTTCCATATTAAAATATTTGAATTAATTAAATGATTATTTACAATTGATGTAGATTGTTTTGGTAAATTACTAATAACTTTACTGTTTAATATATTAATGATCTAAGATTAATAATAAAGAGAAGTAAATAATAAAATGCAATAAACGGTTGTAAGATCAAATATCAAGACTAAAGAAGTGTAAAAAAACAACAAATAACTAAAATTAAGCGCTCGCGCGCGAGACTGCTAGGTCCTGGGTTCAAATCCCGCGGGCAGCGGGATCGTGGATACGCATACTGAGGAATCCCATACTAGGACGAAACAGCCGTCCAGTGCTTCCAGGTTTTCCATGGTGGTCTAGCTTCAAATGACTCATAATATTTCAACTATTGAGATTACTAAAATCTTCACAAAATCTCTTCTAATAATAATCATCTACTCGCTAGTCACTGACTTCAAGAGGTATTTGCTGGAATTCTAGTGAGAATCCGTGACCAGTGGAGTTCAACCGGGTCTGTTGTGAGATATCAGCTCACTGAAGACAACGGTGTACGGTGTCGCAATTTCGTGGATTGGTTGAAGTTAGACATTAACACCGTTAGATACCGGTTCAGTGGTCTTATGGTTAAGCACTCGCGCGCGAGACTGATAGATCATGGGTTCAAATAACTAAATGTTAAAATAAAAATTATGAATAATTGTCAAGTTGATTCCATAATCAATAGATGAGTCATCTGTGGAAATAGTATGGATTATGTGTTATTGATGTTGTCTAAAAAGACAATGAAATCCTCAGGATTACATTATCTGAGAAATAGAACACAATATCTGCAGAAAGGAACACAACAACTTTTCAGTACTCTTCTCTTGTGATTGTGTTGATTATTATCATTACATTTCAGATTTTAAATCAATTTTAAAAACTCTTAAGTGTTGTCTGATGGTAAATGTCATTGTTTGATTTTGACAGTTATTTATTAAAGTCAATCAGTCAGCTACAAAGTAGGACCAGGCACATATATGCATCGGTCCAAGTTGACGCACATTTTTAACAAAACAAGATGTACACCGGATTCATATAAGCAATTAATTAATTGGTTATAATGTATAAAAAAAGATTTCATATTAAGGATATAGTACAGAAAGAAAGAATTAGTTCGTAGAAAGAAAGATATAAAGCAATTTTAACCTCATAGTTTAAGAGAAGACAGAGAATATATACACCAAGATCATTATAATCGATTCTGAGCTACGTCATCCAGAGTCTCCAACCATAGTCACACAGACCCCAGCCACGTAGTCTGCATCTGCCAATATGGTTTAGGCTAGAAGTTAGTGACTTCAAGCACTGATGCCACGAGTTTAAATAGTTATCTAATAAAACTATAACTAAATAATCTTCTAAAGAAATTAGTTTAAAGTCATACAAACCTTCGTAGATAATCAGTTAAATATGAAGAATACCAGCTACTACTTACAAAATGTAGCAAAATTAATGTTAACTGTTTATTTAAATCCTCTGAAGACATCCATTTATTATGAAAATTTTATAGATCTAACTTCAGCCTATCTCAGTACACTAGGAAATCAACTCTTCCTGATTTTTTTAAGAACAACTAGTGAGGGTTTTGAGATTCGAATTCCTTAGGTTTAGTTAATATAACACACTAATCTATATACCCACTATATTAGCAGCAATATATTTCATCTAAGAGTACTCTTCTAAGAACAGTTAAAATAAGTCACAAATAAATGATGATGATAAATGGTAGTTGTAAGTGATCTTATTTTAAAAACAATTAAATTGGATAAACAACATGTAGTTGACTTTGTTCGATTCAAAAGCATCGATGTTTCAAGAACTTTTCATTCAGCCTTATGATATTTCCCTGGAGATAGACTCTCGAGAATGATGAATTAATAGTAATGGGTCACACACAAAAAAAGTTGAAACCTGACAGTAATAACTCGAATTCATTGCCTAGTAAGTGGCCTATAAACTTTTTTTTTTCAATTATATCTATAATTACTTCCGTTTGTATATTGAATATTTTGTATTCATCAAAAAATAGTTTCGTTAATTGTGTTATATCATCAATCACTCGTTCACAATTTCATCAGTATACTCAATCGATTAATAAATTCACAGTTTACAATCCAATCAATCAATTCCGATCATCATACATCGATTGAATTTAATCGGCACTGAAGGCTAGTCAATAATGATATTGATTACTATTCAATAACCGATAATATGGTTATTACAATTTACACCATATTGCATAATCAATAACTAATATTTAGTTTTCTAATAAAAAAGATTATCTAATAATTCATATAACTATAAAAGTTGAAATCCAGTTGTAATATCCTCTGAATCAACTTAGAGAAATTCTAGTCATAACTAACTGAATAGGAACAATAGAATTATGCTTGATAGCTGATGGAGATCACACCTATCACTTGTCAGTAAAGCTTACCTCTAATTTTGAGGGAATTGATGTTCCATGTGATATTTGAACTGTGTTACAGAGCCTTACAATCTGGAATGCTATCACTGAATTATGTGAGTGGTAGCAAAAGAAATATGTTAACAGCATTAATAAAGTAATAATTCATTTCTATTTAGTGTGTGTCTATACCATTGTTAATAACTAAAAGTTATTAATTGATTAATCTTTGACTGAGTTGTAGTTATGCACTGTTGGATATCTTCAAACTGATATGAAACAGCAGTTCAGTCCTATATGTTTTTCAGTAGTTGAGAAGCTTAAGTTTGTCTGAGACGAAAACTTAATATAAAAGAGAATATATAAACATAATTATTTTAAAATAATTAAGAACTATTCATGAAATATGTAATATGACTTTTTACTTGTGCAATAATATTGTGTTCACGTAATAACTTCTGTCTATCCCGTAAGCCTATTTCACTTTGTATAGTTGGATTGGTTGACTCAAATGTTAAACGTGTATTCCCGTTAAGAAACATTACTAACTCTGATAAAATAAATATAAGTGATCTGTAATTGAAAACATATAAAGAAATTAGTTACTACTAATGAGAATGATGTCCAAAAAATAAATGTGTATTTCGCTTCATTGTAAAGAACATTTAAAAAAAACAAAATAATCCATGTATTAAGTATGGGTTTAAGTGCCCATCTCTATGCTACACTGGTTGAATGTGATGGTCAAAATGAAGTTATTGACAGTCAAGCCGAATTGCGGTGGTAGGCTTAGATCAGATTAGGGTAAGAGCGATTTTCGTAGCCAATAGATAGAGACTATGGGTGATATTGCTCAGAATCGTGTGCAATATGGTAATTACATTCATTCTTTGGCTTGCCTTAGATTCTAAGTTTTTAAATCGTCTTATAGTTTATCCATATATTCCTTGTAGACTATATCTTTTATGATTAATCTTTTCTACTGCCATTTATATCAATGATGTTTGTACTTCTCTGGCATCTCACTGTGTTTATGTAGCGTGTCAACTTGAATCGATGTACACATATGCCGAGTACTACTATGTATATGACTGACTGACTAATGAAAATACCACAAAAGGTGTCATAGAGTTCAATCTCACATACTTCTGGGTGAAAGGAGAGTACTTCAGCTACAAGGCCGCTGCAACATAGTCAAAGTTTTTTTATTGAAGCCATGGAGCTAGTTATGCAATAATTTTAAACACTATGTGTATTTCTATGTGCAAGAAAACACAACAATCCTATTTTCAAAAATACATAGATATTCGGCACAATAAAATAAACAAATAAGCTTTGTAAAATCCAGGGTTTAAAAATCTGTTTTTAAACTATTTTATGCTTTAAACTACAAAGTTAAGGATCATTTATAAGTGATAAGAAATAAAGTGTTGATCATTAGAATTTTGACGTACACGAAGAGATATTTACTTTTATTACACATATAATGCTCATTTATAAACTTGAAACGATGCTAACTATTCATTTATATCTAAGCCCAAAAACAGAATTCTGTAACTGTATTTGTGGTGACTTGATGGTAAGAGTGTTTAACTTTTAAACACAGAGTCATGAGTACGAACTCCGCCTTGCCTAATTTAGCTTGGGCGGTCGGATAGTATTATGATTCTTTGTACAAAGTGTGATTTCAAGCTGAGTCCAAGAGCATGTACACGAGAACTGAGTGATACGACTCAAGATGATGTTGGACTTTGTCTAATATAGACTGATTAAAGGAAAATGACCAGCTTCCCTGTTTATATATTCAAATACCATATTTGTGAAATCCATAACATACAAACTGATTGGCACGGTTGATTATTTTTTGGAATAAAATGAAGATACTGGTTAAAGAAAGGCTTTTTTTGGATTCAGAATTCTGTTTTAAGTAGAAAACTTTAAAAGAAATTTACAATAAACCAAGTAAGAAATAAACTTATATGGCAATTAGCAATAAAAAACTGAGTTTTACCTCATTTGAGTTTCTGTTAACCTTCCTTGTTCATTCAATATACAGAGAATAGCTTTAAGTGCTTTGAAGGAGTCGCTGGCAAAATCCAAATCTCTCACAACATTCGCTGGTACGGGAAGAATAGCGAATACTTCTTTGTTATCTTTAAACGAAGTAAGATTAAGCTAAAGTGTTTAATTCAGATTCAAAAAATATTCATCCGTTAATATTGTCACACAATGTCAATGGTAATTAGTATTATTACTTGTAGATTCTCGCTCATGTTTACGCTAAATAAAGCCAAGTAATTGTTATCTTAAACTATAATAGATTCCTCTGGGATAGAACACGATGATTCATAGCTTATACTATACTTTGAACAAATAATCTTTCTAGATAACATCAACACTTCTATCTTATGTTTGTGCTGATAACGTTACTTAAAAGGATAATGAAAGCTTTAAGACTAAACCAGCCAGCTCAGAGGACACACCTCCATCAAAACCATCGCTACTTACTCACTGAGATCTGTAACATCTCGTTGAGCATAGGTCTACGACCAATATCCTCCAACCAACTAGGCTCTCCTTTCCAGATGTTCCCAAGTGTCATTCATTCTTGTGATATATACATCCGATTCCTGGAGCAATATATTCCTTAGTCTGCTCCTATTATTTAACATTAAGGATTCCAACTTAGCGCTTGTCTCGTGATCCAGTTTGATCAAAATCATCCTACTGAACTACAAATCATTCTCTACCATCTCCATTCATTTTGAATCTACCAAATTTGAGATGATTAAATCTCGCATATTATTTATTAATTTATTGTAGAGAGACACGGGTATATGATTAGCCACAATAAATCTGTTTCATTTATCATCAATAAAAATGTGCCCTTACTATAATTTGCATTTAATATCCCGGCATAATAACAGTCGTTTGCTTCAAACATCTAAATGTATACGCTGATCATTTCTAAAACTACATAAGGCCTGCAGTGTGTAAAATACTGCAAAAAACTGAAAATAGATATTTGTAAACGAACTAGTTAGTATCCACTAATGATATTTAATCCAATCCTAAAGATCGTACTTAATCTATTGGTAAACCATGTGGAAACTAACTCAACTAACTGAATGTAAAGCTATTTCATAAATAATTTTAGATGCAGGGAAATAAAGGTGATGAAGAATTATCTGAAACAAAATTATTAGACATGGGTTTCAAAACAAGTTAAATATTGGATTAACCATTTTATTTTTATCAGAATGCGTTCTGTGGAGATTTTTTAGAAATTTCACTGGTTGAAATCATGAGTCAATTGAAGCTAAACCACCATGGAAAACGTGGAAGCACTGGACGGCCGTTTCGACCTGGTATGGGACTCCTCATGATTTCAACCAGCGAAATTTCCAAAAAATCTCCACAAAACCCATTCTGATAATAATAATAATAATCACCTGCTCACTAGTGACTGACTTCCGGAGACACTCCTGGAGTTCTAGTGAGAAGTCGTTACCAGTGGAGTTCAACCAGGTCTGTTGTGAGATAGGAACTCACTGAAGACAATGGTGTACGGTGGCGCAACTTCGTGGATTGGTTGAAGTTAGACATTGACACCGTTGGATGCCGGCTCAGTGGTCTAATGGTTAAGTGCTTGCGCGCGAAACCGGTAGGTCTTGGGTTCGAATCTCGCAGGGGTGAGGTCGTGGATGCGCACTGCTGAGAAGTCCCGTATCAGGACGAGACGGCCGTTTAGTGCTTCCAGGTTTTCCATGTTGGTCTGGCTTCAATTGACTCATGATTTCAACCAGTGACATTTTATTTTTATTCATTACAATTATTCCATGTCATTAACTGTTTTATATCTATTTATATCTTTATATCTATATTTTAATCGAACGGAATTAGTAATTTCATTACCATGTCATCAGTAAAATAAAGTGTATTTTTTTATGGCATCAGTGATTCTTTTGATAACTTTTTATCTACCTAAAATAGGCCTTAAAAATGCAAAACTAAATCAAAAGATAAGACAGTACAACTATCGAATGTACAAACCTTATACATAATAGGTTTATCCGCGTCAGTATCAATAGGAATATCACTAGCTTTAATCCACATTCGTGAGGCTGTATGACAAATACGTACAAATGCATTATTTGGTATAAATCCATCACTTTCTTTATAATGACTTGTTGAATCCATCTCAAAAACAGTTTCATATGTCGGTTCTTTGGATAAAGTCAGAAAAGATTCGATACAACCATCATCTTGGTCTTGTTTACAAAAAGCACCTTGTTCTCCAGATTTATTGTTTATTTTGATAACCTTAAATAAAGAATTTTAAATGTTACATGAAACACTTCATTATTATCAAAATATCAAGAAAAACACTAACATTCTAACAGAACCTAGAATTAAGTTTTTGGATATTAGGAGAAACCAGTGTTTTAAACAAACACCATCTCAAAATGCTAAGTGTAGACATGAATTAATTTCCAAGTTACTGTTTATTATCTTTGATAAGTGGAAGATGATCAGTGTGGAAAACCACCAAAAAATGACCAGGGTACTGAGGTGGCATACTGAGACGTTAGGCTCCCTAACTTAACAGTAGCACTAGGAAACCAGTTGACATCATTTACAGTTTTGATAATTGATTGATTAGTAACCCTTGACCGATTAATATGCTATGCTGAAATCTTCATATTTATCTTACCAGTTGCAATAAGTATAAGGGAATTGAAGTGGTATGTCATTTGTTAATTTATACTTTTTAAGTGTCAACAGATTTTTACGATAATTTTCATCCGCTCTACTTCATAATATTCCGAGAGAATCTACCAAAAGATTTCTGAGATGGGTAAAAATTGAACCATTAATTAACAGGAAAACGTAAGAGAGAGGTTGACTATGAGTTGTTTTTCCGTTGACAGAGCTACGATGTTTTCCCGTCAGGTGGCCCCAACGACCATCAGTGATCCTCGTAGCTTATTATGTGTAGCTGCACTGGTTGAGGAATCAACGGTACTATCTGAATAAAATGTGGTCAGAGAGTTTAAATTTGTGACATAGTGGTTAGGAGATGGATGACTAAACTTGAACTTATTAAGTAGACTAAACTTAGCAGTTTTTCCTAGTCTCTTGTATTTTACTTGCTATGATTGATTTGGTTGATGACAACAATGTTTAATTTAATAATTTACTATGATTATTTATAATTTAATCAGCATCAGATAAACTTTACCTTAGGACAGAGATATAGTCCAGTAATTAAATGTTTTAAACGAAATAAACTGTTCCAGTGTCCAGCTCCAGTACGCCTACAATCCGAATGAATTACCTAGTAAACGCAAACACAATTAGAAATGAGGCGAGGTTTTCTACAAAATATTAATTGATATTAATTTGATTGCGTCCAACATATGTTTAGACTCATACATTTATTGATCTCTCAAATGAACAAGACTGTACACAGAAAACAATCTACTTCCAGATACGTTTAAAACTCTATAAGCTATGTAAGACGAGTACACTTTTAGCAATACAATTATAATAGTCAGTGTAATTACTGGTTAATAAGACCTATGATATTTTCAAGGTCATTTTATTTAGAGTCTCTCATGCTCATGAATTGAGTAAGGTTACAACCACAGATGCTAACTGATAGCTATAGTAAATGTACAATTTTTATCACACACGTATATACCACCTACATTCTTCACTATCATCTAAACATAACCATTATACATTTTGTTCATCATTACAGAAATTACATTTTTCTGGCTATCGGTTAGAACGAAACAATTAAATACATAGTTTTAGAGCCAGTATCTTTCGTTGCCTATAATCATTCTAAAACTTTGTCGCGTTCATCTTAATTTACCACATCTAAAGAGGAAATATATTTTGTATGTCGTTTACAAACTTTTAAACGGTTCACAAATACAGTGACGTTTTTATGTAAACACAGTAAATTAAATATAACAGTAGACTCAAAACATTTTATAACATTACTACAAATAAGGATACATATTGGAAAACGATGCAGGACGTTAAAATCATTGAAAATTAAACGAAATGCGATTATTTACTCGGATACAAAAAAGATATATCAATCTACAATAATATTTGAGTATATAACTAAAAATTCGGCATTTGATAAGGAGCCTTGAATAAATTTCTTGTTGTCTTATTATTCCCAGTAAGATACACCTTCCAGGTGCTAATGTTTTTCAAGAAACTTATTCCTAACATAATCACCTAATAGAACCAAGACACAACCAACAATAGTACCAACGAATCTTTCACAATGGCTCTTCTATCAACAGAACTTAATATGTGTCATTTATGTTATGCATTAACTCGGTTACTTTACTTAGAAACTAGGCTCTGTAGCACACGAGACCCTTAATAAAAGTATTCAGTGCCTCCCCAATAAGTCCGTAAACCGCCTCTTAGCAGTTGACAAGAAAACTAAGATGGAAAAATTATTGTGGTTTTGACCAACGATGATACAATGTAAACTTCATGAGTATTCAATGAAATTATGAGGTGTCCCACTATTTCATACGCTAAAGCTGTAAGTCACAGAACTTCAAAATTTTAAAATGATGGTTTAAAACATGCTTTATGAATAATCCTGGTCGATTTCATGAAAACAATATATTTTCTGATATTGTGCTTACGAACAGAATATAACATTTCCTAATTAACAAATGTATGTTTTAAAACCTTCAATAAAAGGAAAAATTATAAAAATCATGTCAGCTAACTAACCTCAACCTCCCATAATGCTTTTGAACTTTTGGCTGTAGTGGTAGCTGCTCGAAATGTAGTACGCAAAAATACATGTAACTCATTTTCATATGTATCACAAGTGAGAAATTTTTCTGCTTCACTATGAAACAATCTAATGATATCACCCTAAAATTTAAATCAATTATATTCAAGTTTCACACTGATTACATCATAATGCAGTTAAGACAATATGATGATCTAATTCAATAATTATAAACAAAAGAACACTACAATAGATTATCTTAAGTATGTGAATTCAGGAGAATATATCTAGTTTACTTTGAAATTACACTAAAAGCATTTGCTTAAGGAATTGCATTCAATAGAAAGTTCTTCAATATTCAATAGAATGATCATAGAATCTCAATGATAATTAGTTGCCATAGAACTGGTATTGATTAAAACTTATGCCTGTATGTAATATCAAAAAGTAAGTTAAATTATTACATAATCCAATTTTATTGTATCCTGATATTGTCAGATGAAATTCATTACAGTTTACAAATTAAACGTGTCTAACTGACTAATAATTAAAGTAGGCTATCATTTAACTTAATTATATATCTAGATTAAAGTTACTAGGTTTCAGATGTACAACAACAGGGAATCAATTTATGCAATAAAAGTGAGCTGAAATAAGCATTTAAAAGAATATAAAATTAAATATGAAGAGTTACATAAAGAAACTTCAGAAAGTTACTTCATTTGTACTATTGATAACATTCATTAACTTCTAATATCCTTTGGATTATAATAAGTAATCTTCAAGATCTCTAAGTATCGAAACTTAATAGTAAGTGATTTCATATCCACTACATACTTTGACTTTCAGAGACTTTTCAAGATCTAATTTTACAACATCTAATATTGTAAGATGGTGGACAAGATTTGTAGCTGATGGAGTTTTGTTCTGTAAGCTGAATGGTTTAGTTGTGGGACTTACATCGTTCTTCTCAACGACATCATCAGCACAAACTTCAGGCAGAAGTGAAGTGTTCGATGTTGTTCAGAAGAACGATGAAAGCTCAACAACGAAACCATGAAACAACAATTAATCCACCAAAAAAAAGTGACAATAAGTAACTTAAATATAATAAACTGTAAACATTACCCCTTTCAATATATGTTCTAAATTATCTTGATAACTTAAATAAAGATTAATTTGCCAGCTGGTATTATTATTATTAATTTCATGATGATTAGTATCAGACATTAATTTATGCTGTTTAGTATTTGAATTAAGTTGTTTAATGTTCAATGCACAACCAGCACGACAGGCGAATAGAGTCACTTTATCCCCGATCACAACCTATGGAATATAATTTCAACAAAAAAAACACAATTCATTATTCAATTAACTTTTAAAACATGTAGATGTTTTGCATTATATAGTGAGGTTTATTATTGGGATTACTAGAATAAATGATCATTCTCAAGTTACTGTTAAGTCAGTCAGTCAGTAACAACACAGAACTTCGTACCTACATACATCAGTCCGAGTTGCCATACCACATTAGCACACAAATACAATTGTCAGTTCAAATCCCATAGTGGTATAGGTAGTAAAAGTATAAGCAGTAATAGGAAACATCAGGGTTTGGAGATGTTAGTCAAGGAGTATAATCCAGGGAAATAAATTTGGAAAGAGAAAAAAAAGAAAGGGACATGAAGAGTCCAGAAGATTAGAACTTTGGAGAACACAAAGAGTGGATGCACCTGCTCCACTGCAAACAATTTTGAGCCATGTCATTCAACATCTCTAACCATCGGTTGCTATCATCTCGCGGTCCCAAACCAGGTAGTCCACATCTACCAATATGACTCAGTTCACTTGCCAGTGACTTCATGAACTTGTGCCATGTTTTGGTCTGGCCGCACCTAGCTTTCTTCCAACCTACTCCTACAAAATAAAACATCACACGTCGTGTCAGTCGGTGGTTGGGCGTACGTAACACATGTCCCAACCATCTCAACTGATGAAGTTTCACTACTTCATCAAGTGATTTGCCATCCTTACCTAGTACCCGTTTCCTAACAACTGCATTACTTACTCGATGGTCCCAGGATATACGAGCAATGCTTCGAAGACACCTATGGTCGAATACTAGTAACCTATGAATATCCTTTACTCTTACAAGCCATGTTGCACTGTTAAGGGTTTATACGTAATATTGTTATCATACAAATATACACAAATAAAGCTCAAAATGGCTATCTATTACTTAACTTCTATCAAATAATACTTTTTTTAAAAACTTATATATTAAATTCTTGTTACTAAAACTTCACTTATTTAAAATGATTTACATGACCACTTGATATCATCTGAAGTCAGTTAAATAAATAAGAGTTGATAATCGATTGTAAATAATGACTTTATTGTTAGGTTGTGGAATATCAATTACTGTTTCGTAAACTAATGTCTTGAAATTTAGAACTTAATGCCACAATGGAATAATGAATGAATAATTTTGACTAGTCACAATCAAAAACTACCTCTTGACATATTAACAAAATGATGTGAAAATCATGACAAAATAAATAAACTTCATTAAGGTTAGATAGTAATAAAAACAAACTTTTAAATTGAAACGTTCACACTCACTATTTGATCTTATTTCAATAGTCTTACTACTTAGTACCTATAATGACAGTTATTTTACTATTGTAATAGCAATTGAATTATAGTTTTAATTATTTTTTCCGGTTGGCGTTTTTTTTTAACGAGTTAGTTTTCTACGGGATTGGATCGCTAACCCCATGCCTAATCCTCCTCCTTTATCCTGGTTTTGGACCGGCAGTTGTCCCAGAGGGGTTCCAGGCGGAATAGCAATCACCATAAATGAATGATCGTGGTTAGATTTTCATACACGAACAGTCACTTTCGCGGTAGTTTGCGTCTATTTCGCAAATTAAATTAATATTCTTTAGTATTTTCTTATTGAGTTTTCGTCTAAGTACATACATAGTAATTTGTTGAGATGATAAAAATAACAATTTTTTTACTTTATTTTATGACGACAATCTAAATTACTTAACCGATAACTGGGGACTTAAGAACAAATAAGAGTGGGAATAATTCAAGTTCTACTCATTAGAAATGTATGATACATAATGAAAATACATTTCAGACAATTTACATTTGATGAAGCTCATTAGAATCAGAAACGTCAGTTATCAAATGACAAAATATCTGAATTGATAATTTTTCAAACAAACAAAAAAGACCTACTGATTTAAATTCAATCAGAAAGATTGGTAATAGTTTCGTTTCTTAACTTACCGGATCACCTATTTGTTTGTGTTTATATGATGGTTGAATTATAAACCATGATTCATCACCTTGATATTCTTCCAATGTAAAACGTACAGAAGCATCTTTAAATTCAGGAGATAATTGCTTTTTAGCTCGAAGTATTTTATTCGACTTTACGTGAAGAAGCTAGAAATATTAAGAGAAAAAGAAAACTACCTTTCATGTTAACACTTTTAGTAAATTGTAGTGGGAAAATAATAAATTATCAATAACCATAACATTTGATTATATTGACAGTAAAATATTTAGGATTGAATTCATCAAACAGTATGGTCATAGAACGTAGCATGCTATAGCTTATTCTTTTCTATCTGATATGGTGAAGATGATGTGAGTTACTTTTGCTGTTACATCCCCTGATTCCAAAGTTTTCCTTGTCATGCTAGACAACATTGACGGCACCAATTAAAGGAATTCATATGCTTTATTTATTCACAAGTTAATTACATTCCATTCACTTTACTCGACACAATGGTCTTCATTACTTGTTGCTTTGAAAGGCAATTAATACACTGCTAAAAATTGTATGTATAAGCAGATTTGTGAATAACAGTGTCAAGTTGTAGTTCTGTAAATCCGACAGAATTTGTCATTGAAGTCCCCAAACATTACCAATATCCTTTTGGTTGGTATTTCGCTTCACTATGTGCAACAACAGACATTGAAAAGCAGCTTACTGTCGGTTTCAAAACTAGTTGTGCTACGACTTATTGACCCTATTCCTCCACCTCATTTCTGCATTAAAAACTGTATGCATATCTTCTGTTTGTGACTTCGGTTGTCATCACACCAAAACAGATGTTAAAATCTATGTGTGAAAGACATGCATATAATGTGAACTAAACCTTTTTCCGATGAATAATTACGCTTAAGCGTCCAAGAGGGGTCACAGGATTAGTAAAACACCAATGTAAAATTTCTTGAATGTTCCTTTTCTAAACTGAACTAGCTATTAAATCTAAAAATGATAAATCATAACAACTTCTTTAACTTGAGTTGTTTACAAACATGATTTTCACATTATATCAGCATTTATTGCAGAACAGGCGTTTCAAATACCTATTGACTTGACTAACTTCTATATCGTAGACTCTGGACATGATCAGCCGTTTCGTCGTAATAACACACATACTATCATGTATGATCTGGTTTTTGACTAATGAAACGTTAAAACTAAATTATAGATGACCGACGCTTTTAATTAAAACCAAACATGGAAACGAACTAAACAAATGCCTTGCATGTGAATTACTATTTTAGTAACATAAGTAACGAGACCTCAAAAAAGGACAATCAAGTTTAGAGTTTAAAACGTCAAATATTAGTCAAAATCAAGTTTGTGGATTAAGGAAACGACAGATATATATTTAATGATACAGTAAACATTTGTATTGGTTTCTATTCATATTCGTATTTTGTCAATCTATTATTTAGTTTCAAATATTTAAAGCGATTAAGAATATTAATTCCGGAAGTGTACACATCAATTAACCGGTCACACTTGTTAAAGAATTTCCGACTTTATTACAAATGTGATTCATTTAAACCATTAGTCATCCTATTTCCAGTCTGTAGTTTCCATATTGTTGATTGTTTATATTCTTCATTCTTAACATTTGGTGAACATTCTTGTAACTACCAGTTAAAAAACTTCCGCCTCGTATTACATTCATTCTCCCTACCTTACAGATTCGTTCGTTGACTAAGAAAATTTCTGGTAACAAAAAGCGTCCAAGCTAAAGTAAACTAGCTGAAGACTGAATACTACATGTATATTTAAAAATCCTATTATTTTACTTATGTTAAACTAAAGACAGTTAGATGAATTCACTACAACCTAAAATCTATATGTAGATAGTAAGAGAATCAGGTCAATTTTATGGAGTGGACTTGTTGTGCCATTGAAAAGAATAATCATGAAGTGGAAAAATACTAAAAATAGTGTCATAATCCTTCGAAGAGCAAGAGATAAATAACCTTACCTTCATAAAAATGTTAAACTACTTAGGTTTTTTTCTGCTGAAATTATTAAATTTATTAACTTTATGGTGTCATTCGACTGTAAACCTATGAATATAACAATCAACTAAATAAAGGTACGCATGATGAATAAACTTGTTGAAGTAAAATTCTTGCAATATGAGCGAATGATATGACGTATTAATTTTTATAAGCACTTCAATTTACTTTAGTAAGTAAGGTATAAGTTCCCCTACCCTTAGAAATAGAATTGTTTCAGTAAGATAGAATTCATCGTATGAAGTTAAGCGAACCTGGTTTTCTCATAGTTTGGGAAATCGTCATTGTAGATATATGTAACTTTGATCCTTTAAATTATTCTAGAAGCATTCCGTTAAATTGTTCAATATTCAGTGTAAAGATATTGGGATTCAACTAATCTCAAAACAGTATAAATGGCATGGAAGATCAGTCGAGAGGTAGCTTAGTGGTTTAAGCGTTCATTTTAGGTGGTTGAAAGTAGCCAACAGTAAACCATGAACCTAGGTTTTGTGATTTGAATATTTCCTCCCCCGCTAAATAAATGTAAAATGTGACAACAGATACACATTTGTGTTAGGTTCTACATTGAATATGACGACTTGACTGTCATGCTGCTTAATATCAAAACAACTAACTGACAAGAAAGAGTATTAAAATGAATATAAATGTAATGAACAAAGCACAGTTAAGTAAGGTTTTAGAAACTCAGAGGAAAAAATAGTGAAACCATATTATTCACTGCTGACACTCTTAATTTACGTTGGCTAAGCTCATTATTCACAGAGTTCCTAAGTTTCAAAAACCGTGATCACGTAGTCAGTAGCCATCTAGTATTTTTACACTAAAAACATCTAGTTTAACAAACACATGTAATGTTTTGAACTAATCAATTTTAGTATATTTGAATGAACACTGCACTCTCATTAAAGAGGTTAATTTTCCATAGCTACATTAGCTAAAGTATTTTGTTTTATCATTTTGATGCATAAACTGCGAGATTCCAAACATATTTTTATTAATAGCTAGTGTTTTTAAAATTTGAATATATATTTATATACATTTAGTTGTAGCGGGAACACAAGTTTTAACTTCTAAATTCAACTAGAAACGCATACAAGAACAAATAATCTTATGTAAACTTTGGGTTAGGAAATTCTCAGTAGAAAAACGTCAAGTACAGTGATTTAAAGAGCAGTAATACTAAGTTAGAAAACAGCAATACGAAGACAACATTTATTTAACACATAGAAATTTCGCTCAATACAAATAAATCAAACTTAGGACATACGTGGCTTGTGTATGTCAGGTGACTGGCTCGTTAACATTTATGTAAGCACTATTTAATTGAATAGTTCATCATTTAAAAACGTTTGCTTGCCTTCTTATGCACTCGTAACAGTTAGTAGCTTCAGCAACCAACAAAATAGAGTGCTTTCATAGATTAGTTTTTCCTATCGGGCCTCTTAGCAATTAAATAAGTGAAATTTTCCAATGAAGGCAACGCAACAGGTTATTAGAAACTCAAATCATACGGACACGAAAAACCGTCCGCCAAACATTCAGATTATGCAAGGAAACGAAAACTTTGCGTCCTAGGCAAGTCTTACAATAAGTAGTACTTGTTCTTTACACCAAATAGACCAACTGGAGCTACCTTGAAACAACAAACGGATTGAACCTGAAGGTACTTGGCAATAAACTTCAGAATGCACTTCGTTAATCAAATTTACAAAATAAAGGTACTTCTATATTTCTATTCTGAAGAACAATCAAGCTTGACATACTGTTCTTTAAACTTAGTAACAAAATATGAATGACCCCAGATTATCGCAGGGGTTATCATATACTGTTCTCTCTGAAATTATACTTATTCGCACAGAATAGTCTAAATAACAAACAGCCTAAGTAGCAAAAAGATATTGAATACTGATTGCAAAATTATTAAAATCAAAGAAATAGACAAACAGCAAGAACCTTCAACTTCTAAAGGAAATAAATACAACTGAAAGTTCCTTCTGATTAAAGTATCACGAATATATATATATACCGATTTGGTTCACTTCTATTAATCTAAGACCTAGTGCAAATATAAAATTCATCTCATTTTCCAAACCATATCACTGTTTTTGACGTCTCTTTATAAAAATAACCGAATATGCTATCACTATCAAACCATTAACTGAAACCTAAGATTTTTCTCTAGAGCTTTAAGTACTCTGACACCTTAAGTACTCGAAGCCGTCTTAATAACTACTCTGAACCTTATCTAACAAAGGGTCTATCACGTCACCATATATAAAGAGGGATATAACTCTTTTCGAACAAGTCCAGGTATCAGCAACCAAAGCAATACTTAGACTTAGAAATAAACCATACTCATCTCTCTTGGAAGAGCCATTACTAAAAAGGATAAAAGTGGCTACGACTACAATGTGCCACTCTAATCATCAAACCTCTATTTAAAAGAGTAATTATTAGACATTAAAACGAAACCATAATTAACTTGGTAACCGCCTCAAAAGCAGAACATGAAAGAGTATGTAATAAAACATTTTCGTGGTGAGTGTCCCTAAAATATAGAATCCACTGGCCAAAACGATAACATTTTAACCTCCCACAGATTTGTCTAAAGAATAACTCGACGTTTTTATTATTCCCAGTTTCCCTACTCTGCTTATCATTTTATTATTAGTTCCTTCATTACTCCGGACTTGTTAAGGATCGACCGAGAATTTAACATCCCTTGCAATATAGACTCAGAAAATAAGGAACTAACAGTAATTATCCCCGCTCAAAAAAAACCTAAAAACTATTTACCTGGATAATGTTACCATAATAAACTACGGACTCTTGTAAACGTCTTTGTAATTTGCTGTCCTGCTCATTATCACCCCCAAACTCCTCCTGTCGTTGACTGTCAGACTGAAATTAAACCTACGATTAGTTTATCTGGTCGAAAACGCGTCTCGTTTTCTAAACAATTTTCATTTAAATACTTTTGCATAGCAAGTATAAAGAACCGACAATCTATCAAGTAAGTGACCAAAGCAACACGTTACCCCTTGTTAACGACGTTGCAAAATTTCCTTCGCTTTTGATCCGTGTTATGTTTGGTTTATTGCTGATTTGACTGGATTACTCACTAGTCAAAGACAAATCAAACAACTAACCCCTCCATACATAGCAATCCACCATCTTCATCGTTCGAATAAAATGTTACTTGATCTCCAAAGTGTAATAACTCGACGTTGTCTTCACTTTCAGTCCCAAAAATCATAAACATCAAACAGTTAAGAATTCGACGTACGTGTCTAAGGTGTTTTCGTGCCTGTTCATAAAGCCGCAACAAACAACAAAAAACAAGTTTTCAATACCCAATATTACGTCACATGTGTGTATAAATTTATTGATTTCTTTCAGCTTCCTTCTTCATATCAACAACAAATTTGGGATTAGGTCCAAAATCGATAACTAGGAGATTTTCTGGAAGTATGATTTGTATTTGTTTTGTTTGCAAATATAGCTTAGTTTGTCTGGAGTTTGTTTAAATTTCAGGACTACTTTACCTCAAGTTGTGTCACAGTAATTGATTTTATCACTTATAGTTAAAGAGAATAGAAAAGATACAGAGAGGGCAGATTAAGAGGTCAGAAAACGTAGAAACATTAAAGTGGTAAACGACAATATGTTTTATGGGAAAAAACATGCAGTGGGAAAACGAGATACATTGGATAGAGGAAACCTGTATACAGGCAGATGTTAAACTGTCTGACCTCGTCTAAACCTCCTTACCGGTGGTCGTGCTGCTAACTCAACTGATTAACAATTATAAGTCTACAGACTAGTTACGTGAAGACAATGGATCCCACTTTCATCCTATGACTCTCACTTTATCCAGCTTCAATCACCTCAACTCGTTACTCTATAACAAAAGTTGGCACCTATCAAGTTAGCCATTTCTCACCTCATGGCCTCTACTCTTTAAACGGCAGGTTTATTTTTGCTATACATGACATTTTTTCTTGCACTTTAGGGTTTAAAGCTGATCAAACTTATCGAAATAGTTGAAGATGCCACAGATACTTGAAGTTTGACAAAGCTTTAACCAGTGTCAACTCGTAATAGGAATCGTACCAACCAAGTGAAATCAAAAGACAGAAGCGGGGAAGTTCGAAGGTAATATTTGAGGATCGACTGATCTAGATTGGCTAGCGATTGTAGGGGATGTTGAGCAACGCGTTCCCACTCGTGATCTGGTGCGGATGCATGACCGAGCGCCTTCACCTAGGTGAGTCCATTAAAACCAATGCGGTTAGCATCCACTGTCGAAGACTTACAGGGATATTTATTTTGAGGATTTATTTACCGCTACACAAGGATGGATAGCGGCTAGCAGTGGAATACAGGACGCGGATTTTGTCCTATTTGGGACTCTTTGTCTGGATGAATCGGCCTCTCAAAGTTGATGCTCACTCTGGGGATCAAACCCAGTACCATTTGCTACAAACGACATCGCGCTAGTCAAGTGGATGGGAAATTTCAAACAAGCAACACTAAGTAATTTAAAACTTCACCCAATTGCACAAGCAAGTGGCTATAAGGACTCAATAGCTAGGTAGGTATCGCGATGGTGTTTAAAGCGAATGATACTGAGTTCAAGCCCCAGAGTGAATATCAACTCTGAGATGCACGCACGTCCATTCGACAAGTCCCAAATAGGACGAAACGCACATCCTGGATTCCACTACTGACCACTACCCATCTTTGCCCAGAATGCTTGTGAATTAAGGCTATATCGAGGCAGTCCGCACAGTATGCACACATGCCAACAAGGGACTAACCAATTGCAATTCTTAATATCAATAAGAAAATTCAAACAATGCCAAGTGAATCTACTGAAACGATGTTTATATCCACAAACATTGTTTTCGTACTCAACTGAACTTGGACGGTTTGTTGAGTCATCTATTGGTAACAATTTCCGCCACGCATATTCCACACTCGGCGACAACAATGCACTTCCGTAAATGAGTATGCTTTTCAGAGTAAGTTCCTACTGCCTTTTACAAACTCCAGAATTTCAACAGACACCATTAATCGTCTTTTAAATCGTTGCTTAGACCTCCCCCCAGCCAACAAGTAGATAGCTGGAAACATTATAAGCTCACAACACTAAACAGCATTAGCTTCCTCTCTGTTGCAATTAGACAAATAACTCACTAATCTTATGGATGCTGATCTACTAAGGCCGACCATACAAAGCTGAAAATCGGTCATAAAGTCTTCTTCTCTGATTTATGGAATGGGTGGCTTCATCCTACGCCATCCTTAGAGCCTCAGATATTCAAAAGGGATACAAGGTTGCGATTTCTAGAAGCTTCCATCTCCAGTGGATCTATCCTTGACCATCAGTTGCACGTCGCAACGCAACTTTCGTGAAGCGCGCCAACTGTGATACTGACTGGAACCATCTACATTCATATCTTATAAATTATCAACCCAGCTGAGTAATTTACTACAGTGTGTATTGTGTCATTTGTAACAATTTGATCTTGCCTGTAAACTGGCATCCCTCATATAACAAACCGTTTTATGAGAATAAATTGTTGTTATTATCATTATTATTACTAATGAAGTTTCGTAACAAACCATTTCATCATCTAAGCGGATTATGTCAGGTTACTTCATCATTAACTATCAGGAGACACAATTACTTGTACAGAACATTGATTTTTCCACGGAAATAAGTTAAGCAATAGTTCGCACAATAATTATAAGAAAATAAAAGACCAATATCCATGGGAGGATGGCATACGTATCTTGTAAAGAGTAAACCAAGGCTTTGTTTTTAAGGGAATTTTTGTTATGAAACCAATTAGCTATCTGGGTTAAAAATAACAAAGGATGCATGTTCTTCAAATTTTAGGTTTCAGGTATAAATAATACCTGGATCGTGTGCTGATTTGAGTGTCTGTACTCTACTTTTATTTATTCCTAAATGCAGGATATGGTCGAATTCTTTTCTCATTTTTATTTCCATATTGGGAGCTAATCTAGCTCCTTTCTAGAATTCAGGCTGTCCCACTGTCGTCATCATCATCATCATCGCCTGTTACTCCCAATGGAGCATAGGCCGCTGACCAGCATTCTCTAACTCACTCTGTCCTCCGCCTTCTTTTCTAGTTCCATCCAATTCTTGTTCATTTTCCTCATGTCTATTTCCATTTCTCGGCGTAATGTGTTCTTTGGTCTTCCTCTTTTCCTTTGGCCTTGAGGATTCCATGTGAGGGCTTGTCTTGTGACGCCGTTGGGTGCTTTCCTCAATGTGTGTCCTATCCCCTTTCTGCGCTTCTTCCTGATTTCTTCCTCCGCTGGGGTCTGGTTTGTTCTCTCCCACAGTACGTTGTTGCTAATAGTGTCCGGCCAATGGATCTGAAGTATTTTGCGTAGACAATTGTTAATAAATACCTGTATTTTCTAGATGATGGCTTTCGTAGTTCTCCAGGTTTCTGCCCCATACAGTAGAACTGTCTTGACATTGCACAATTTTGCAGTGTAATCCATCATATGAGTTCTGTATCATATTGACTATCTTCTGAGGCACGCCGTAGTGTCGAAGAAGTTTCCATAGTGTTGTTCTGTCCACGCTGTCAAATGCCTTTTCGTAGTCAATGAAGTTGATGTAGAGTGATGAATTCCATTCAATTGATTGTTCCACAATGATCCGTAGAGTTGCGATTTGGTCTGTACACGATCTATCCTTACGGAATCCTGCCTGTTGGTCTCGAAGTTGGGCGTCTACGCAGTCCTTCATCCTGTTTAACAATACCTTGTTGAAGACTTTTCCCGGTATTGAGAGAAGATTGATGCCTCTGTAGTTATCACACTTGCTGAGATCGCCTTTCTTCGGTATTCTGGTCAGAAGTCCTTCTTTCCAGTCTTTTGGTACTTGTTCCTCATCCCAAATCTTAATGAAGAGAAAGTGTAGTATCCTTGCATTTGCCGCTACGTCTGCCTTTAGTGCCTCTACTGGGATGTTGTCCGGTCCTGCTGCTTTGCCACTCTTGATTTGTCTGATGGCCTTGCTGATTTCTTCAACTATTGGTGGGCCAACATTGATTGGGAGGTCCGTGGGTGCTTCTTCGATGTTGGGTGGGTTCAGTGGAGCTGGTCGATTCAACAGTTCTTTGAAGTGTTCTATCCACCTGTTTTGTTGCTCTTCAATGTTGGTGATTACCTTACCTTCTTTGCTTTTCACTGGTCGTTCTGGTTTGCGGCGATTTCCAGAGAGTTTCTTTGTCGTGTCATACAATTGTCTCATGTTTCCTTCTCTTGCAGCCTTTACCGCCGCCGTTGCTAAATCTTCCACATATTTACGTTTGTCGGTTCTGATGCTCCTCTTCACCTGTTTGTTTACTACTGTGTATTCAGCTTGTGCCTTGGCTTTTTCTGCTCTTGTTCGACTGGTATTGATTGCTGCCCTCTTGTTCCTTCTTTCTTGAATCTTATCCAGTGTATCAACAGTGATCCATTCCTTGTGATGGTGCTTCTTGTGACCCAGGACCTCATGACATGTTGAAATGATTGCCTCTTTGATCCCCTTCCAGTTGCTCTCCACAGTAGTTCCTTCTCCATTGAGTAGATCATGAAAGGCCTGGAACTTGTTGCTGAGGGCTATCTTGAATTTGTTGAGTTTGCTAGTATCCTGGAGAAAGGCCGTATTGAACTTTTGTGATACTGTCCGCCCCATTGTGCAGTGCTTCTTGAGTTTCAACTTCATCTTGACGACCAGTAAGTGATGATCTGATGCTATATCAGCTCCTCTCTTGGTTCTCACGTCCTCTATAGTCCTCCTGAACGTTTTGTTGATGCAAATATGGTCGATTTGGTTTTGTGTAGAATGATCCGGTGAAGTCCATGTGGTTTTGTGTATGCGTTTATGTGGGAATATGGTGCCGCCTATGATCAGCTTATTGAAGACACATAGATTTGCAAATCTCTCACCATTTTCGTTTCTTTCTACCAGTTCGTGTCATCCCATGATGTCTTCATATCCAGTGTTGTCCGTTCCAACCTTGGCGTTGAAATCTCCCATCAGAATGGTCAGGTCCTTTGTTGGGCACTTCTCGATGATTGACTGCAGCTTATTGTAGAACTGATCTTTAGCGCCTTCATTGTAGTCGTTGGTAGGCGCATAGTATTGGATGATGTTCATTGAAATACCCTCTTTCTTTGTTTTGAAGGAGGCTTTGATGATCCTTGGTCCATGAGATTCCCATCCTA